TTTGGTATAACAGTGGTGGAGAAGGACGAGATTGGAGAAAGAATCAAATAGCGTTTCGAGCATCATTTTTATGCCCTGGCCTCTTCTGTACTCTGTATATTTTGTGTGTTAGTAGAAAAAAGGTACGATGTTGCTTGTGTTGCCCGAGAAGCATTTATAAACACGACAGATAATACTGTTGTCACACGGTGAAAGAATGTGTGCCTGTATGCATGTTATCTTGTTTGGACTTTTAAAATTTTTTCTTCGTCTTGTTTAAAATAAAAGGAACTAGATACTATGATCTTTCCTGAGGTCTGTAAAATTGGAATAACTATTCCCAGTTGTAGCATAATAAATAGCAGATAAAATACAATTTTATAATTTTTCAAGTTTGTTCTCCAGAGACATCAAATATCGAATGGCTTTTCAAAGTGAGGGTATGGATGTGGGTGATTTAGTCATTTTCGTCTACACCCATACCCACACCCTTCTTTACCAATAACGCATACGTATAAAACCGGACGAAAACATCGTTCAGGAAGATTCGAAACTCGATTAACTATAGAATATCCTTCGATTTGAGTGTGCTTACTGCCTTGAATCATTTGCTAATATTTCTTCATATGAAAAACTCCATTTTGCCTCATTAAACACTTAACCGTCACTTGATAGATATTTGCGATTTTCGATTTAATCAGACTACTTGGCCATTTTATAAAAATATCAAGCCAGTTTAAAGCAAATCACATAAAATAATTAACTACTTTATTTTCTCCTGAGGACATTAATATAGATCACTTGAACCAAACGCTTCTTGAGTCATATATAATTTTTTCTACTCTTTTTATCCTATTATAGAAAAAATGATCCGAACGTCGATCACCTGGTTATTCGCCGTAATTTGTACAATTCATTCTTGCCCATTGCCAAGAAACGTGCGCAATTCTCCTTTTGGCAGAGAGATCCTTCGAAATTAATAATTGTTGTTGGTAATGGTACTTCATCTTCATGTAATCAAAACAGTCTTTCAGCTGCGTTTCTCAAGGGTGGTATCATTGCATTTAATTGTGGTGGACAACTAGTGATTGTCGCTATCAATATTGAATCACAAATATCAAAAGCTTTACGTGGAGGCGATACTACCATAGTCGGGAGTGTTTTCCAATATAATAAATGTTCCAATGATGTAGTCATTTTCAAAAGAATCTGGCTACTGGGAATGGTGGCGCAATCAGCTCTGACGGAAGAGGAAGAAATAATACGATATGTGGAATCAAATTGACGGAAAACCAAGCAAATAAATATGGTGGCGCATTTTTTCGTGTATCATATAATGGAGATGAACAAAACAATTTCGCTGCAGTTTTGGTAGATAATAATTTCATTACGAAAACTGAAAATGGACTAGCCGGTGGGTTATATTATTCAATATGGCAGTGCATCCGTTCACAATACTGCCATTGCTAATAATTCAGCAGATAGTGCCGGTGGATTATCTTTGGCTAATGAGAAGCCTGTAACATTGAACAGGGTTAATGTTTTGGACAACAAAGCATATACAGGTCTAGGTGCTGCAGCATTTAGTTTCTGTAGTACATTAGGAACATTTTCAAATTCAGTCATCACCAATAATATTGTAGGTAATCCATGACCAGTCAATGTATGTACAAGTATGATGGCTGATGGAACAGGTGTAATTCACTCATCAGCTAACAAACAGAATCAGGCTATCAGTGCACAAGTAGCATATTCAGGTCCAACGATTATACCTGGCTTACAAACTAAAAACGTTTCTTTTTGTGAATGATTTTATCCACATCATAAACTATTGGTTTGCAGTTTTGAATCTTTACCTAAATTCTTGATTGATCAAAGTGAATATTTTATGAAAACTAATTTTACTAATCGAAAATCAAACTATAATCAGGTTCAGCATGCAGGCTACTGACAAGTAGACGACCGTGCTTGTTTGTGTCGCACGTAATTGATCGCAATAACAGATTCATAAGTAATAAACTGCTTTTTTTTCTATTAATGAGGTATGAAAACGGAATTGAAGTAGGTTAATCGCGACCCTATATTACAATATATTGAAACACAATGAGAACTATTAGAAGCCAGAGGTTTAATGGTTTAGAAAAAAATTGTCAAAATTGACAATATTATTTTTTGAGAGTACAGTTAAATGAAATAATTCGGTACAATAGCTGTAGATGAACCACATTTAAAATTTCTTGCTATTAAACAACCAGGATTGGTTGAGCTGGAGAATTCCTAAAGATTGTCGAAAAAACAACAAATCAATTTTGTGCTGAATACAGTAACAGTAATAATTATTAGCTTACATAGGCACCAACAGTTGGTTTTGTCTTTGATCGCAATTTTCCATTGAAATCATAGACTACAGGTTGATTATCTAAGTATCCGCTGGTATTAATCAATGGAGATCCTACAGCTGGATAGAAATTCAAGTTTTGAACATCAGCAAAGACATTGTTTCCGACAGTGAAAATTCCGTTGGCTTGAATTCCTGGAGCTCCAATAGGGCCATTCACGGCATTATTATAAATTGAAAGACCTATTACAATTAAACGAATGCGGTCAAGACAGCAAAAGTATTATGCAAGTAGCTTCAGTTATATTCACCAGCTAAGTTAGTGGCAGATGTGATTGATTTTTGATTTCCACAATACAGTACATTATTTGCAATGATAATGTTATTATTTGTTACACTGTTTAAACGAAGACAAGCATCTGCTTGCGACATGTAAACAGTATTGTGATTTATGGTTACGTTTCGAATGTAACCCACAGTGGGATAGACTGAGTTCTGGATGATGCCAATACCAGCAAGGTCTAATTGTAGAAATAAATTAGGATTCATAAGTTTTATGCTGTTTCTTAGCAAGCGTCTCTATTAAAATGTTTGAAACGATGAATAGTTTCAGATCAATTTTTAAGAACATTCACTGTTTTACCTAATTTTAAATTATTTAATTTTGAATTCTCAATGGACAATGGTAAGTGTTTTTTACAGAATCTAAACTAGTTCTCATCATGTATTATGCTTCTATGGGAAAAGAAAACGTCTGCTTGTCAACAAAAAAGTGTAAGTTGTAAAACATACTTACTGGCATTAATAATAATATTATTTGTGACGGTTGCTCCTGATGTACATTGTATACCAAGATCAGCTGTGCCTGCTTCAATCGCCAAATTACCCGTAATTATATTTCTTCCACGATTATAATCATCATAAACAACAATACATGGCCCAACAACTTTATAACAAGCATTGTTACGAATTATTACATTAAATGAACCACTCTACAAAGACAGACATGCTTCTATGAAAAGAGTAACCCAGAACGAAGTGTACAAATTTACTTTAACTTGAAATCCAGCTCGAGCACCTCCTTGTGAACCGAGTGTATCATGGCAGTAGTTATGTTCAAGAAGTGAATCTCGTACACGACATCCATCATTTACACAACCGAAATAGACACATTCGCCTGTTGTGGCACCTTATTTTTCCAAATAGTTTCAAATTATAGATCAAATATACTATTGATAGTATGCTCACCGAGTGCATTCGTATTTTTGATTTCACTATTTCGCAACGTAAGATTGAAGTATTCATTTCCTCCGTCGTTTGCTGAGAAGGCTGTACCCGTAGTATCATAAATATAAATATCATCGAATATTGCATTGGATGTCACTATATGTCAATGAAATGAGAAATATGAAAGCACATCGCACATGCTTACCAGCTGGTCCTAAGCGTAAACCTCTAGAACCTTTGGTAAATGCCAAATGTTTCAGCATATAATTTGACCCTTGAACATTGAGAATATTTTGAACATTTGCACCGGCTTGTGCACATTGAATGATTGGACGTGCTTCATTGGGTGCACCTTGAATAATAATCGGTTGTGTTAATTGACCATTTAATGTCAGTTGAAAATAGCCAGAACCCGCCGTCGTATAAGTACCCTGGTGAATGGTGGCAATGTCACCAGCTTTCAAATTACTTAGAATCGATTGCCAGTTCGAAGTACCAGTGGTAATATCGTACACAGTACTTTCCGTGTAATAGATAATAGTAAAAAGAATAAGGAACTTTAGAATTGACATGAATTTGTCTACAATGTTGATGCAAAATAAATATTAAACTAAGATCATCATTCGAGTTGACAAGTCAAGGATGAACCCTGTAAAGCCTCACGAATCAACTATGATCACTTTGAACAGTCTAATCGGTTTTTGCTCACTACACTCCCGATATTCTAGGACCAGCATGACTGTGGGTGTTATTTTACGACAATGGCAAGAGAAAAGAATGAAATGTTTCAAGCCAAAATTACCAATTTTTATATGAACTCGTTTTTCAAATCGCTATGGTATTAAGTTCCAAAATAAAAAGAATAATAGTTAGAAAATATGACACTGGATGGTTCTTAAAATAATCCTTCACATATGTTCTATGCTTGATTTCAATAACAAGAATCAATTACCTTTCAATCATTGTCTTCAAGCTGAGATTAACGGGCTTGATATTATGTGACAAGCAGCCTATCTCTTGTGTGGGCTGCCATGGATTCAGCCATTAAATAGTACTTTTCATCAATCAATAATTCACAGTAAAAGGACATTTGGAAATATATCACCTAAGATAGATGGAATTGAAGTATGCAAAGAAGCAATATGAAGATGTCGTCAACGAATATTTTAGTAATGTTTTGTTCACAATTGATGATTATGTGTAATTTCTATTATAACATAAATCAGGAGAATTATCAAAATCCAGCATAAAGATCGTCACACATTTTTTTATATCTTACAAGATTTAAGAAAAATAAGGGAGTACAGTTTTTGAGTTTATCGATGTGCTATATGGACGCATTACAAAGCTGCTTTGAGAGAATATTCTTCCAATAAGACTTGATATAGTCGGCATTGACAATATTGAGACGAATCAATTACAGATTGCCTATTACATAACTAGTGAAATAAACTAATAAAATATTTATCTCATCCTCGGAACACGCAAATAACAATTGTATCAAGCATGTTTTTGATATAATATATATATCGTGGAGCAGTGACAATGTTCGACGAAATTATAACTTCCTCAGACACATTTGACGAATTTCTAATTTTTCTAGCATCGTTATGACTTCGTTAAATTTGTCCGACTAAGTTAAAAGTTCATCGAATGGTGTAACTTCTCTATGACATACGTATACGTCAGCGTCCAAATTAACATTACCTGCAATCGTACATTCGTCTTAATAACTATGACATTCGACACTGGAGGCACATTCATTGATTGAGATCATTCTCTTATAAAATAAATAAAGAATACAAGTTCATGCTAAGATTGGATTGAAATAGTCAAATGAGTCTCGAGTTGACTTAAGCTAATCCCAGAATAAACATACAATTCTATACTCGATGATAAGTATCGTGCTTGAAAAAGTTATATTCCTATGATTTAGTAAGTTCAATCTAAGTATAGTATAGTAAAGTAACATAATATAATGAACTGATATATTGAACAAAAATTTAATAAAATCGAATTCGATTCATTTTGTTGATTGTTGCAGCGTGAACGGTTTTTATGATATTTTATAGAACAGAAAACATGGTTCTTTTTGCACGCAGATGATTCGGTTTTGTGTACACATTTGCAATAGCAAGTAGTTCATTCACTGCATTATGAATAAATTGTTTCGAGATAGTTATTAACTGATATATTTTGTACATGAGTGTTGCTCAACTGAACGAGTTGTTCAAGTTTTGCTGAAAGCTTTACAAGGGATTCTAATCATGAATTATTTTTAATGTGAGAGTGTAAGCGTGGTTTATATTTGTATCTATAGCCGAACATTCACACCCATATCCTTCGATTTTGGAAAGTATTAAAGAACGGAAGTAGACAAGAATGTTGTGATTTCTTAGTATTATCTGCTTTGGCTCTTAATGTTTTGCGCATATTTTATGGAAAAATAGTAAGTTATGCAATTATTAGAACGATAGGGTTTGTCCAGAAAAGTGAACCAGAGATAAAAAAAACAGATTTTTGAAATTGCGTTTTGCATCTGATTTGGTTCGAGAAAACTTAGTTCGAATCGACCCTTGGATCGAGTTGGTTTACAGGATTTTAGTCTAAAAATAATTGATACTTTTCTAACAACAAGTACCATTCGACCATACCAACCAAATCAGCTAGATTAACTGATTTTGCGTGAACTCGATAGCTTTTTTGATGATGATTTCGTTTTTTTGAGTAACCAAGTTGAAAACCAAGAATACCCATATTCTCCAACAAAAGCTGGTACAATGGCATTTACTGATGATTCTATTGTTGAAGAACTTTATGTAAAACATAAGGAAAAATGCTTCTTTCTTTCTTCATTATTTTTTTCTCTTTTGCATAGACTAGTCTTGTCGATTATCTGACTAAAGTTCTTCGACATGCTAAATTTCGTGCACATCCAGCAACGGTGCAAATTCATAGTTGACATGCTTACTAATCTTAACGTATAGGCTAATCAAATATCTAGAATTGATGGAAAGCTTCTTCGTGATTGGCGAATTCATTTTCACAGTAATCATTGTTGCTAACATAACTTAACCGAAAACTACCAAATCAAATATAATCTGTTATATATAGAAGTTTATATTACAATTAGTTAATTAAGTAAAAGAATAATTGATCACCATTTAAGAAGGTAATTATTTCAATCAATAACTAAGTTAGTGAAATTTGTTGTTTAGTCGAGACCAGATAACACTAGATGAAGGTTTTTATCTGTCTTAGCTTTTCTCTGAGGGGTTGTAGCGGTAGTATGCTTGATGTTTTCTGAGGCTACGGAAAAGTGAAAAGAAGCGAGAGAGGTATGGATTTGAACAATAAAAACGCAAACATCTATTTACATGATAATTAATTTTAATACAAAATAAAACAGAAAGAATAAACTCTAATAAATAGAGCCATACATGCAACGCTCCCATAACGAGCCTTTTCAGTGGTTCGGCTGAAACTAGCTACATCTATATACATTTCAATTACTACACTCCAAATCCTTTAACGCTTTTCTTACTTAGTGTTTTTGAATTGAGAATAAATTAGAATCTTATTCCCTAGTGTGTGTGTATCTATTAAATGTATCTCAGAAATAAATGTATGATACTAAGCCAATCCGTTGCACCAGACCACAGATGATCATCAGATTACATTAAGAAGCGAAGAAAAAAACAGGTGCACAATAAAGCTTTTTTTTACCACATGCTTCAACTGATCGATACTCGGAAGAAATAAGAACAAACAAAACGAAGGAAGAAACTGAGTATGGTCGTGTATTAAATTAAAATGCATACATCTTTAAGATGGTATCGAATGAAATTTGGATGTTGCAAAGTGAGATTTCAATGTGTGATTCACTTATGAGTTTCAAATTGTTTACGTGAAAATATGTATTCTACTGTGTCATATTTTTAGGCGAAAAAATAGATCTTTTCTTAAACTTAAAATGGACGACTCACAACGTACAGCTCACCAGCAGTTTCATACTACTTCTGATACACAATCGAACACATGTTTTTCAGCAGGATCCAACATCAAATATCGACCGATGCCTGACCCATTATCTGTTTACGTGCCATTGGAGTCTCTAACTCAAGAAACCATTAATTCTGTTATTTCGACTGTTCAACATCCTGATAGGAGGGTATGGGACTTTAGTAAACGTACTTTACTTGCTTTTTTGCTGGCAATCGACAACAGCGTGAGCGAGATCGAAAGAAACGGGTCAAATTATAAATATAATGAACACACTATACAGCACGCTGCAAGAGTTCGGCAATTGCTCGTACACCAAGATCATGCTGGCAAAATCGAGAAACTTGATTGGACTGAACTCCGTGAAAGATATGATAAGATGGCAAGGGAGAAAGATGACGGTACTGCAAAGTATTTTGGTGCCAAAAATGCGGAACCTTACTACGAGTTAAGTATTGGGCAGGTGAGTTTATTCACATTATACATATGAATTTTCATGTAAATGATCTTAATCGAGATACGTTTATTATTCCCTAAGGAGGGAATCAATGTTGAACGTTTAATATATAATTCAAGGAGGGTTATTGACTCTCATTAATCGATTTTTCTTCAGACGATACATATTTTATGTGTACATTGACGGTACTGTAAAAAAAAAGGTTTTTTTAGAGTGTGCATCGTCTCAATGTTATAATTGGCATCAAATAGTGTTAGTTTAATTAAGTCAGAGACATTACTTGCTAACAAGCAGAAAAGTATTGTTCAGAAGAGCAACTACCGTTGTCATTACTAATAGAAAATTGTCAAGTTTTTATGTTGCAATAATTGCTTTGTCAAGTTCTGTATTTCTAAAAAAAGATTTCGAAGTAATGTTCTTTATTTTAATTAATTAACATTCCTTTAGGTACATCCTGATGTGATTCAATCTCGGAAATATATGGCTCGTTTTCGGAGCTCTGGTTGGAAACCTGAAGAATTAAAAATTTATTGGAATGTTCAGCAGCTTGAAAATCTTTGTCCGAAACATGAAACAGAATCTAAAAAGGGGGAAGAAAAACTTGAACCAAAATGCGAAGCAGAAGATAACCGAAAAAATGAAACTACTCGAGACATGAAACTAGAAAAAACTGAAGTAGCGATCGAAGCAAAAGCTGAAAGAAAGGATGCCATAGAAAATCAAATGAACGCGAGACCAACCGAAAAAGAAAAGAGTGAAGCCACAAATGAGATCTTATCACCACATGATCCATCCGATGCTGATATCATACAAGCTCTACGTGAATGTCCTGTATCGAAAAGAAATAATGCTGGAAAAATTACCTATGTCAATACAGGAATTGAAAAGGCTGTTTTTGACATACCAGAGACCGCTCAAATAATTGTTCTTAATTTTGCTGTAAACTATTTTTCGAATATTATTCGCAGTTGAATCTCGATGTTTTAGAATGAACGATCACCAGGAGGTGGCTATTTGCGACATACTTGTGAGTAATATTTGTTCCATGATTATGTAAAGATGCACGTTTGAGCAAAGTAATATATATTTAGAAAACTTGTATTGAAATAATTTCTCGCTAAACTGTTGTACTTTCCTGTGCGTATGTAATTTAATTATTTATTTTTATCAGGGGCACAAGAAGAAATTATTCTTTACAATTCGGACGGTTATCGTGCGTTACTTGATCTCAAATATGGGCGCATGGGTGGTGGCTATGCTATACCAGAATTTGGACTTGCTTATGTTCGTGATATACGTTTTGTTGATAAAAACACTGGCAAAAATCGTAAGACCGATATGTTAGTTTCTGCTTGTTATTGTCTTACTGGTTCACCTAAACTATATGCCAATCCAACATCAAAAATCGATGTAAGTGCTTGAAATTAAAAAAAATAAGATCATTTAAAATCGTGTTTAATACGTCATGGAAAGCAAACGCTCGATATTTTTTACTCAATTTTAGTGGGAAACAAAAACGTTAGCGAAGTTTCGAGCATTTATGGCGGCAGCTGTTGCTAATACAAGAGGTGATGGATCAAATACTTATCTTTTACTTGGACCGATAGGTACTGGTGATTTTGGAAATAATGTCACTGAGATTGGAAAGATCTTTCGCAGAGTGCTTATGTCGAATTTGATGGGTTCAAATGGTCCCGTTATCAAAGCTTTCGAGCATATTTGGTTCGTTTCGACAGATACATGGAAAAATGATAAGTTCAAACAACTCATGCGTTCTAAGCTATGATGCAAAAGTAATGCGACAAATGTCGGAGTCTATTTCTCTTGAATATAAAGCTACTGAAAAAAAACGTTTTTTTTTATCATACGTCTTTAAACAAAACAAGGCAACAGGAAAGAGGAGCTCTCTCAAAGCGAGTCGACACTTTTCGTAAAAAACAAAAAAGTTGAAAATGTCGATCATCTCTTCGATAAATACATTCTAGAAGGAATATTTTATTATCATCTGATAGGAAAAATTCTCATCTTAGAATCCGTCAGGTTAGATTCAACGCACTGAGATTGACCTGAGCAATCTTTACGTAGAAAAAAAAACGAGAATGTAAATTTACAGTTGTAATGTTATACGTATACTTTGCCACACAAAGTCATTATCTATTTTATGGGTGTGGGCGTATACAAGAAATCATAGGCGACTACCACTTTCACACCCAAGATTCTAATAACTTACTATGACTAAATACCGACTTGCTAAATTTCGCATGAATGCATTTTTTTATACCTGTTGAGAGTACAATCAATGTGCATTTCATAACCTATTAGAGGTACGCTAGAATGAACTAAAATTTTGGATTTACAGGTTTCTCACCTTGCTCTTCCTTTTCCAATCATAAAATATAGGAGTCAACGTTTTCGATAGCATGGCTCTATTGAAAAATGTTTGGCTTTCTCATGGACCGTCTCTTAACAGCTTGAAAGTTTCAACAGGAACAAAAGAGTTCGGATTTGTTAGAGTAGATTATTGCTGTATTTTGATTTGGTTTCTTTTTCAAAGTTCTCTATTTGCTTGTTGGCAGTAAAAACAACTATTAAAATTATGATAAGTGATACTTTGTTGGCTATAACCGAATTTGACATTAGAAATTTATTTCTTGTATAAAGAAAAGTTTCAGAAAATTTGACATAAAAACAAAATTGTTAACATAACAATTGAAACAAACCGATACACATAAAATATTCATTTTTTCAAAAGTCTTTTCATTCAATTGACTATATAGGCAACCGGAGCAGTTGTTTGAAAGAATCCCAAAAATCCACCAAGGAAAAATGCTAACAAAAGAACCGATGATATTGCCATTATAATCAATCTTGATTTCACAGCTGTGCAATCGTTGTTGATCTGCCAATATAAATTTGGACAAATCAATAACCCACTGAGAATTCCGATTAAAAAGCCTCCTAAATGTGCCATGTAATCAATCATTGGAACGAAAGTTCCTATGATCAATGAAACTAAAGCGCTGGTTCCATTCATGATTATCTGCGTCCACGGATTTGATATTTCATTCCAACAGCGAATTATGTCTATAAGATGAACAGCTATAATACCCATCAATGCTCCTGATGCTCCTACTCCAGCTAAAAAAATAGAAAACATTAGATTGTAACATAAAAGTTTTCTAATAAGTTATTCAACACAGTTTATTTCGAGTTAATAAATTTTTGTCGAAGAAGATTTTACCTTCTAAGAAAAGTAGATCGCTGGAAAAAAGTTAATCGAAAAATTTCTCCGATATCAATACGTCTCAAAGAGACCTGTGTCGTCTATAAGTGCTTACGAAACAATTTCCGAAAAGACTAACACAATAAGGTTGTGACCTAGTTTTCAATCTCTTTTTCTATCGTATCTCGTTCACTGATCGTTGTCATACTTACGCGATATTGGAAGACCAACTGCGCTGAGTAAAACCCCGCCGATACCCGATAGAATATATATAACAAAGACACGAATAGAGCCAAACTTGCGTTCTAACGTTATTCCAAAAGACAATTGAGCAATTAAGTTCAAAAGTAAATGAATTATGCCACCGTGTAGGAAGATTGGTACAAAAAACCGATAAGCTTGATACGGAAAACCCTTTAAATTCCCGACATTGCAAACATACCAAAGATACTCTTCATAGGTACACATTGTATTAGTAGTTGATGGAATCGACGTACAATTGACTGTATAGCTTAGAGAATTATTCTGCGTTGATTTCATACAAGGAACAAACTTGGCTCCATTTCTAATAAGTGTTACGCTCGAAGCTCCAGCCATCGGATTTTCGGACATCGGAGCTATGCCATTATTGTTAACAATGGTGTATATAAGTAATGCTATATCGACAATGCTGACGCAAACTATAAAAAATGGAAAATGACTGTCTGAGTTTCGTCGATTTTCATCGACGAACATTTTTTTTAACCATGCCATTTTAAACACACTATTCATCAGAAATATAATTATAACCAACAGCCAGCTTAGCTTATTTTTCTACTAAACACGATGAGAAAAGGAAATAATAAAAAGATATTCTTAGCATACATATACTTTTATGGACTTTTTGACCGGGAAAAATATGTGAAGTTTCCAACATGACTGAGTTCATATTTACTTAATTACAATTCGCAGAATTGAATGAATTCGCTGTCTTTAAATAAATAAAATTCATCATATCTTATTTGTATAGCAATGATTCATATAAATGGGTAAGTAATGTTCTGTGAAAACGACCATGGGGGCGGAAGTGTATGTGTTAATGTCTATATTTATGAATGTAAACTTATTTTTCCATCGAAACTCACAAAAGAATTAGTTTTCTCAAAATCGAATTTATTAAATAATCCAAACTTGAAATCCATGAAATGATGTTGGTAATAGAAATGCTTATGTTATTTTCGTAGAATCAATTAAATAAATACCACAAACTAAACATTCAATGAATAATATGTTAAATAAATGTAAAGATTTTTATGTTGGTAATAAAAAACAAATAGAAATGATTAAAAACAGTATCGAAATGGATATATACACATCGAATAAGGCAATAGATTAGTAGAGATTGCAAAACTCATACGTAATTGATGTGAGGAGTGGATCCATGAGTACTCCCCATACAGGGACGGCGCGAACAGGGGGTTCCCCCAACTTTGGAAATTTTTGTTTCAATTTTACTCCAATTTGAAGAAAATAGAAGAGATTTTTATTGATTTCCTCCGATTTTTGAAAAAAAAACCTCCCGTTTTCAAGTAACCCCTCTATACTTTTATTACTTCGCGTCGTCCCTGTCCCCATAGTTTATATGATGTAGCTTGAAAGTCCTTTGATGCATCTGCCTTTTTCAGGGTCAATGAAATACTTCGATATTCTCGCTATTTTTTACAACTTGCGTTGGTGCATATTCATATTTCATCTGCGCAGTGTCGCCTCTGTCGGATCGATCACTACTACAGCTGGGTTTGAATGAATGCCGCGGAACGTTTTCGTCTCATTTGACAAGCATTACAGCATGTCTTTTTTTAATTGTATGAGTCATCGCCATAACGAGACGAAAATTTGATAGATGAACATATGGCTTCTCTATGTATGTTTGCGAAAAGTCGATGTCTCTGCGCACAAGTAGTACTTGAATGACTGCTTTTATTTATGTAGAACAAATCAAATAAGAAAATCGAGAATGGCACAATTCGTTACTTCTCAGCGATGTTTTTGTTTCAAACTTACAAAAACAAGAACACAAAGTCAATATTTCCATGAAGTGCCGGTGAATCATCAAATCTTAACAAACAAAATATAATATAGTTGACGTTGTCTTGCAAACGAATCATTAGACACTGTTGTGCAGATAAACCAAGAACAATACCTATGCATTAAAACGATATATTTTATCATCTATAAATACTTTCTCCTCTATATAATCGAATTCACTATATACTGAATATAAAATGATAACTTCTATGTGTGTGTTGTATGGGTGTGGACATTGATTAGGGCATCGAGAATAAGATCCTCACTCAGATTCAATACCAAACACTGACTAACCCATATACCCACTCCCTGTAAAGCGAGAAAATAGAATTCCTTTTTGTCTTTAGGAAGTGCTCTATATGGTATTATTCGTTCATTCATTAGTTATGCACTCATGTTGACCTTTATATAGTCTTGTCATTGGCATGTGCAGAAAGAAAAATATGTTCATAAAAGAAAGGTTTTTGTTCTGCCATTTACTAATCCAAAAGGGTCGGCATAAGAGTCACTATAGTGTTGTCACTGGCTCTCATCCACTATACAAGCTATAGACCTGAAACTTTGTAGTTATGTAGTACTAAATACCTCCAATAATCAATCAAATTTTCAAAAAGTTTGCTTTTGTTAGACGTTAGGAAGATTCATTTTAAAATTACTTCAGAATTTCTGCGACACCCTTTATATTTGTATCTATTATGATGAAAACCACAGAAGTATGCATCCGTGTTTAACCAAAACAAATAATTTTTTAAGCAGCATGATTTTACAAAAGAAACGTCTGAATAAATTTTATTTCAATTTGTAATCACCTAATACTACAATTTGCTGTACTAGTTATTCGTGTAAGCAAGTGAGATTTAATACCAAATACGCAATAATTGTGAAAGTGATATGATAAACTTTTTATCTGTGTTGTAATAATGATAACGATATCTGAATAATAATTTGTATTCATTTTTAGCCGTTTCTCCTCATGCAGACATATAGTTTGATATTTCGAACGACTGTTGCCATATGTCTTTTCGTTTTAAATTTTGCCACATTAACGAATAAGTAAAATTTATATTGTGTAATATTCCTTTTAGTAATATGCTTGTCTCTATCTAGTTATGATTTTTCCGATGAACAATTCGAAATTCTTTTCAAGTATGAAATCAATTGTTGTAATTATATGAAGTATGTCTTTGTAATCTTTTACATGATTTTCTAAAGAAATTGGCTTGGAAACAATCACAGTCAATACGATTCATTGGATGAATATCAACGAAGAATGAGTATTTTCAAAGAGAATTATTTTAAAATTCAACAACTCAATGAAAACCATGGGTACGACGCTTATATATGTATATATAATTTTTCCACTTTATTTTATTTCGTCTTTCGTGGATTTAAAGGCATGGTGCGATGTTTGAGTTGAATCAATTTGCTGATCAAGCAGAACATGAATTTCGAAATACGATTTTAATGCAGTCTCAAACATCACCTATACATTCAGCATCGAGGTTGTTTACGTACTTCTATAACTTTTGATTTGACTCACTTTTGGCTTATTTTTTGTGACGTAAAAGGTATATGAAGTTTCCGACTGTTGGAGATGTTCCTAATTCGTTCGATTGGCGAGATTATGGTGCAGTTACACCTGTAAAAGATCAAGGTAATAAAAGTGACGAAAAAGAAGCATTGATCTTATTATAATTTTAACTTATAGGAGCAGTACGTACATGTTGGGCTTTTTCAGCTGTTCAAAATGTCGAAGGTCAATGGTTTATGAAAAGTAAAACATTGGCAGAGTTATCTGTTGAGCAAATAGTCGACTGTGATGATATGCAAAAGCCTGATTCGTTCGTAATTATCTAGAGATCAATTAAAGATTATATGGAAAATAGCTTTTAGAGGACAAGCTGACTGTGGTATCTATGGTGGTTGGCCATATCTTAGTTTTCAATACATGATGCGTCAAGTAAATGTGGACTTTCCTTTTCTAACAATTTTAAGCTTAAAAAATAATACAATAGGATGGTATTGAATCCGAATCAACCTATCCTTATTGTGCTGGATTGAAAAATCCATGTAAACCTTGTAATGCTCCCGGTTATAATAAAACCTTATGTGGTCCTTCCGTACCATACTGTTTAATCAAAGATAGTTGTGAAAGTAAACTTGACACAACAAAATTTATATCTGGTCTTAAAGTAGTCGATTGGAAAGCAATTAATGAAGTAAAATATAGCTATCAGATTCAAGATACGCACTACCTTTTTTTCTTTCAAAAGGATGAAACAAATATTGCAGGTGCTTTAATGATTGCTGGTCCGTTATCGGCTGCACTGAATGCTGAACAATTACAATTCTATCGCGAAGGAATTTTCAATCCACCTGTTTGTAATCCGAAAACCCTTGATCATGCTGTACTTCTCGTCGGCTGGGGGGAAGAAGGATCTACGCCTTATTGGATTGTGAAAAACAGTTGGGGTGTTAATTGGGGCGAACATGGTTATTTTCGTATTCTACGCGGTACAGGCACATGTGGCATTAATACTCAAGTAACAACTGCTATACTTCATTAGTGTGAAAAAAACTTCTATTTTTCTTTTTTTACATTCAATTTTTCCTACGCATTTTTGTGTACGTGTGCATAGGTATGTAACAAGCATACTGTTAGGTTTTATTGTACGTCTGCTACTTTTTAAATTTTACTTTCAATATCATAGAAAGATCGGACTTCAAATTCGACATTTTTCTCTAAATTTCGTTTTGTGTTTTACTGAACATATCAACAATATTTTCAAGAACACTTTGGTTTAAATTCTAAGAGTCTTCCATGATTTTTCATTACTTCTGGAAAGAACTGTAATATTCTTCACTTTGTGAAACACGACCTAAAGCAGTCTTGAAGTGTTTACGATAGAAATTTTGGACTCACTATCCCCCACAGACCGTTATAAACATTTTAATTACTTTCACTAGACCGTAAGAATCTAGTCTAGAAACTGTAATTCACCTGTGTCTATCTGTCTGTCTTTTGGGTTAACTTTGGATGCGTTTTTGTAGTCATGTGCTTGGAAATTTTTCGCTTTTTCTTTCATCGGTACCCAACTTTCAGTTATCCACACTCTGTCTTTCTTCTTTTGCTTGAGCTTCTTCAACCATATCTTCGAAAATTTCAGGATCTGCGCCATAAATAGCCGACTTCATCCCGTGTTCATATACATGCATGTATGGGTTCTGCCAGTCTAGAGGCCAGTTAATCGACTTTCGACGTCGATGAACCTTACTTGTCATTTATTGTTTAAATATGAGAATATTGCCAACAAAGTTGCATAATATTTGTAGAAATGAGATGAAAAAAATAATACAGCTAACAAATATAATCTATTTATATCTAAATAGTTTCAATTCTATTGAAACTGTAAATATTAATTCTGAATAATTTAAGCGTTATATTTATTGGGTTGTTTGTTTATGTTTTATTAAGATAATCAAGTATGTTATATGAATTAGCAGTTTATTCGATGGATATATAAAGTTAGAAAACAAATTTAGATACTCCACTTGAATTAATTTTTTAACCAATCCAAAATGCAAACAGTTTATAGTTCCAATTATATGTTAAAATATTTTAATGGTCAATATTACATTGATGTATATAGAAAGTTTTATCATCATAGAAATTTTTAATAATGAATCCGATTGATTATTAAATATTTTAAAATCAATACAGTTCAATGTCTAAAGTAAAATTTAATCTGACATTGAAACTATGTATTATATAGTTACTCAGAAAAATATCTGAATAAATGAAAACGCAGATTTTCTTTCATGTAAATAATCTATAAATAATTTTCAAGACATTTTTTAATTAAAACGAATTGCAGATAGCTTGGAGCTTGATCTTTTCTTTTTGGCGTTGTAGATATAAAATATTATTTATAAGAAATGTCTCATATCTACTTTTTTCATCTTGAAATAAAATAAATCGGAATTTTGATATTTAAACATTGTTTAACTATTTAAAAACAAAACATTAGTCGATTAAATATTTTACTTGTTTTTAAGTCTACTGAAATTTAAAAGCAAATTTTTTTAATGCATTGTCTTTCCATACTGATATTTAATTAGAATTAATATCTATCGTTATTTGTTTATACTAAAATAGTAAATCATGTTTGAAAACAATGCTTAATGTTTTTAATTGATGATAGGTAATCTTTAATATATCTAATCATAGTAGATAGTGGCTGCTAATGAGTGTAATAGTAAAAATATGCCATACCGTCGTAACTATGGACTATAATAATGAAAACGACAGCTTTTAAAGATTAATTAGAGATTAAATCCTAATTATACCGATTTCTAATTAGTGAAAATAGATTTTAATTACTGATGTGAGCAGTGGTGAACATGGGATATCGACCTGTACCAAAATTTTATATAATTAGCGCATCTGAGTGTTACTTTTTTCATGTTTTTTGTCTGCAATGGGGGGGGGATACAGGGGAGCCGCAAAAACCTTGCACTTCAACTTACACTCACTATTTTCTTCGAAAATATATGTGAGCTCCACAAAACAAAATTGATACATAAGCTTATGATATAATTGAAAATGGTTTTTAATAAACACAATTATAGTGTCATATACAAGCTAATGATCTATATCAAGATTACAACCAAATTCTACGTCTATAAAATTATATTTTATTTCACATTTTAAAATAAATCTGTTTTCTTCCTTCTTTATTTACGAACGGTTTTTGAAATTCTAATGTTTCAAATATTCCATTTTGTATTTTCTTTGTGCTATAAAAATAATTGTATTGCAGAGTCCTGATGAGTGTTTTAAAATTTTAATAAATAACACAACACACGTTGGCAAATTAACCTCTATATTTCTTTAGTGATTCTTTTTTATATCAAGCACAATAACTTGTTGTTTTGGCACATTCATTTAACTCAGACAAAATAATCGACTGTTGAAAAGCAAGAGTTGATAATAGCAGATTGACTTTTATCTATTCTTTCAACATAGGATAGGTCAACCTGTTTTTAATTTAAAGTGTACTAAAATGTCTCGGTTAAAATCAATAGCTCGCTTCTCTTTTTTGTACGACTTACGTATCCAGGCAATTCCTTTAATGGGGAAATGGTGCAGAAAAAGCGTTGATGCCGTTCACTTTGCAATGCGTTTTAACAGTAGTCTTAAAACCGTTTCTATAAAGACCTCAATGCACGTTTCAATGAGACGTTTTGTGTTCTTAGTAGGGGTGTACAGCTCACGCTCATGAGCGAGAGCGTTTGTATACCATCGAATACATGATCGATTCTGATCATTTGTATCTAGTCGATTCCTCGAAAAACTGCATTCACACTTTTTGTGCCTATAGTACCCCTCAGGTATCGCGATTGCAATTTTTTTTTATTAATCNAAAGACGGAAACGAACAAGAGTGAATGAAGACTAAAGATACTGAGGAAAGAAGGGGTATGCGAGTATCGCAGTATTAGAAAAAAACACTAGCAAAGAAGTGCATTCAGAGGCAAAACACGTTCGCGTAGAGAAGAGAAAGTTCAAAATCTAAAAACAGAGAACGTAAGAAAACAATAATAAGAAGAAATATTTTGGCTTCGCCATCAATATAGAAGCAAGTGTAGCCTTAGTGTGCCTATGAAAGAGACCATAAGAGAAGAATACTGCAAAGAAATATGTTGGCTTCGTCATCAATATAGAAGCAAGTGTAGCAGTAGTATGCCTATGAAGGAGAACCTAAGAAAAGAAAAATTGAATAACACTCTCTAAATTAAACAAAACATAATCTTACAGTATTAACTTTATTTCGACGAGTTTAATATTTCATTCATACATCGCTGTGTCCTGATAAATCCTGAGGGAGACATCCTTTGCAAACAATTTTTTCGCTGGAATTCTGACAAGCGCTGCGATGTATGATTTCAGTCCTTCTCCTAAGTAAAATATTTTTTTACATTTTTTTTCTATCGTCGAAACACAAGCAAGAGATGGCGAGAATGTCTTTAAGTATGTACAACAGCAGAGTTATCTTTCAGAAAATCTGTAACGAAGTCTGTTTTGTAAACTTACAAGTAACATTCATCGACATCAAAAGTCGACTTACTCGGCCCTAGACTGATAGAACTTCCAAATTGAAATGCATGGACGGGGGAGACAAACGTTCGAAAATAACGCGTTACAATATTTACGAGTTAAAATACGAAGATATGTTTTTGATTTATGCGTTTTTATCCGTTAAAAACTATAACTTCACGAGATTTCAAGCATTTTTTTTTCTTAACAGGCTTTATTATGTGCAACTTTTACTATTATTTCATCTACGAAGCTCTTTTTTTGCAGCAAGAAAAAAAAGAAAATAAATATACAAAAATGTGAAAATTTTCTCGCGCTGTCTTTTTAGTCTATTGAGAATGAAATCTATGGAGGGGCAGATTTTCCATCTTATCCTGTGTACCCATTAGTAGAAATTAATATCAACCAATAGCAGAATTTTGAATTCTGTAGAATTATCCAGATATTAAATAAATAAAGATGTAATATTTTGGACTAACATGTATTTTTTGAATAAATACGCATGTAAAAATCTCAAAAAATATATAATATATTCTGAAAAATATTTAAAACAATATACATACCTTTTAAAAATATTTTTAAAACTTATTCATTTATTTTTTTGAAGTGTATTTTAAAATAATAATAAAAATATTATGAATTTTTTTTGTTAGTTATCTAATAAAATATAAGCTTATTTTTCAGACAAATATTAGTTTAATTTTATGATGTACCCGAAGAAATGACCAAAATTCATTTCATTCGAATAGTATTTTCACTCTAACTTACAGTGAAAGACTGGTCGAATTGATAAAATATTCGACTCTCATTCAGCACATCTTAGGCTCGAATCTTGGACAAGCAGTAAGGTAGAAAAAATTTCACTATTTGATATCAGCTGAAATAGAAGGGGGTGGGGACACTCAGCCTCTCTAACGAATAAAATATCTTTTTGAAAAATCTCGTCGGTATTCCGTAGGAGGCTTAGCTCGCTCCTCCATCGGCTCCATCAGTAGAAGAAGTATTCCACGTGTCCCTCCGCTAAATCCGCTCATGGTTTACGCCTTGAAATGGAAACTTGTTCTATAAGAGTGGCCGTTTGTGCCACTTACAGACAGACAGACACAGGTGAATTACGATTTCTAGGCCCTATCCTTCCAGTCTAGGGAATACATATAGACGTACGTGATCTCGTTTAGTGTCTATCCATTTTCTCATTGTCATCGCCTGTATTCAAGCTGGTCCATCTGGCCTTTCTATGCCAACAACAAATTTAACTGGATGGACTTTAGCGTTTTCTGATGATTTTCTTGGCTCACCTCTTTCTTACCCGAGTTGGTTCAAATATGGTGGCACTTTATGGGATGGATCTCATGTCATTGTTGCAGCTGGTTTACTGGAGTTACAAAGTTACCAAGATCCAAACTTTAACAATACATGGAAATCTGGGGGAGTATCGACAATTCAAGGCTATGGTTCCAATTCAACATACGGAAAATATTTAGCTCGACAACGCGTTGATCCTGGTAAAGTAATCCTAGCAGAAAAGATAATAAAATATATGCTTATTTTAAGGCTACGGAATTAGCGCTATAGCCTTATTATGGCCATCAGATAATTCATGGCCACCCGAAATAGATTTTTATGAAGATGGTGGCGGTTCTGTTTTCGACAACGGTATAAGTATCACTACTTATTTTTAGACCGCATAATACTGTTTCTCTTGTAAAGGGGTACGGGATTCGACATCAGCAACATTTCATTTTAATAGTTATAATAATCAAACAACACAGTATCTTCGAAATGTTAATTTTACTCAGTGGCATACGATGGGTGTTGAATGGACGCCAGGCAAATTAGTATACACCATCGATGATCAGGTATGGGGCACTGTTCAATCAAATGATGTGCCAAATATTTCGATGGGACTTGCATTGCAAACGCAAGCGGGAACAGCTAGTAGTAATTGGAATCCAATTCCAAATAATAGTACACCATCAATGGTAACAATGCAAATTGATTGGGTTGTTATTTATGCATGGAATCCTCAACAGACTTCATCAGTCAATTTCGGAGATACGGTTCACAGAAATAATGCAATTATACTTTATTTTATTTTTCTCGTAGCTACTCATAGAACAAAGGTTGTGTAAGAAGCACTGACTGATGTACTCTCTTTAAAAAAACTGTTAGCGCAATCCCTTCAGGATTAAAGTGTGAAACACGACGTAACTGTTGATTCTTATTACAAAAAGGTTTTTTTCTCTCTCTATTTCTGGAGTTTTCCTTTCATTATATTTTAATGCATCACCTACAACTGAAGAACGGACGCAACTCATAAATTTCATCAATATTGTTTCGCTATCTGGTTCTTACATGTATGTTGACAAGGTTTATCATAGTCTAGGGCGATGTGCAAATGTGTCTATATCGAGGTGTATCTCAGTTCTACGTCTTCACCTATATTCTCCATGCATTTCAAATACCGTTTGTGATGGATCCAAGCCTATCTATCACGATCAGTGAAGAATAATTCATTAATTAAACTTTAATTAGCTAATTAGTAACGATGTTTGTGAAAGAAATTCAAATTCCTCCTCCGAACACTTAAACTAGTCTTCACTTGTCTATACCGGTCTTTAACTGAGAGCACTGCCTGTCTGCAGCGGCCTATGGTGGGGGGACCGGTTCATTCTCACAAGAGGTTCTTTTTGTTCTTATGAGATTTCAATCAACATTTTTATGTAATACATAGCTATTTAAACGTTCCTGTAGATATGCAAATTTTTATAGTTGTTTTATCTGTGTTGTGGGCATTCTTAGTGTTGAATTTTACGGATATTGAAAATAGATGGGGAAAATGGGCAAGATTTTCATTGATAGATCAAAATTTTCTTGGCCCAAAAAGTACCAATGATCCAGTATTTAAAAAAGTACAGTTACTATTTAATTCAAAAATATATAAACTCTTCAGAAAAAGTAAAAGTTCAATGGCAAAAACTAACTAAGAGAATCTTAAATGAGTAAATCTTCCAATGAAATAACCTATCGCTCATGTGTCATCCCTGGTTACGCTGCTGTGCACTATCTCCATCTCGTTGTCTATCAGCAGTTTTCATGAATGCATAATTGTTCTATAGACCTGATTGTGACCAAAGAGGTCGTGATCGTTACGTGACCGTGACCAAAAGTCATGGTCGCGCAGGTTACTAATAGGAAATGTCGAAATTCATGTGTGAACAGTATCATCAGAATCTTTGCGTCGTATCGTATAGATCAGTTTCTGTGTGTTCAGTAAGATTGCTACTGAATTATGGCGATGATGTGAACCTTTTTGTGGACAGTATCGATAATTACCGCCGGTGTTGAAAAAAGGTAGTTCATTGTTGTATTTACCAGGAATACATGAGTAAGTATAGCCTTGGTGATTCGCATCAGATTTGATTAGTTTTTCTACAAATAGTATGAATTTTGCTGATGCTTTATGTACAAGATTGCTAACATTATTTTCAGAAATGCGAATAGGTGTTAAATTATTTGATTTATTGATAGTTACGAATTTGTTTTGAAATATGTAGTAGTGTTTCAGATGGTCGTTAATACTACTGAGAACTAGACATTTATTTTCAGTTGACAGTAATGAAGTTTCCGATTGCGTAAAAATAAATTAATTTTGATTAATATTCAAACCGAGTAATTGTAACTGCGGGATTGTTTTTATGTTCGAGATCAGAGATTTTTCTAATATTTGAAAATATGAATAATCAGATATTTTTGAAAATCGATAATGAATAGATTGAAGAAGAACATTAGTTTTTCCGTATTTAGCACAATCAAATAGTCGAAATCGTTGATTTCTAGAGTAAATATTAATATCGATCGCTAGAGTCCATTTATTTTGTTTATTAATTACTAAAAGATGCGCAATTTCAGCTACATTAATTCTATTGTTAAATGGATAGCATTTCTGTTACAGTGTGTACGTAACATAGTGATATATGGTAAAATTAATAGAATTAAGTAGTATATAGTCGTTTTTTGAATATTAAAGTCAATATTAAATGATGTACATTTATGTTGAACCATTGTTTGTAAGAGAAAATGTATGAATCTTTTGATAAAAATAGTTAGAGTAATATTGTTTTCAAATAAGATAGTTGGATTTGCATAAATGCAATAATATGATCGTCTTTTGGAATTAAATCTATTATTAAAAGAAAAAAAATGAAACTGTTTGTACATATGCCTTTTATTTTGCATAGTTCAAGGTAATATAAAAACTTGTATAGGAACCAGTTACCCTAGTCTAACATTTTGTAAGTAAGATCTTAAAAATTTAGGTACAAGATAATAAGATTATCTTGGATGATGGGTCTGGGTCTGGGTGCGAATATGAGAAGAAAATTATCATCCACACCCACCCACACCCTCTACAAGATTAAATCACTTGAAGAAAGATCCAATGACTTTCATGTAACGATGAGAGAAAGCTGATGGAAACACCCTATTTTTTCTTTCTCAATGCATCATTAGTAAAAAAAGCCATGGAAATCGAATGATAGGATTTATCTGAAAAATAATCCACATGACTTCTAATTATAATCTCAATGTCTAGAACGACAAATGATATTATGAACTTTTTTGTGTTTGATAGAAAAACTAATGTAGATGTCGCTACTGTACCAAAACATATGGCTGAAGTCATTAAAAATGGTTTATTTGTAATTTTCATTTTTTTTAAAATAAATGAGAATCAAATAGTGCCCTATCATTATTCAAGCGAGAAAAAAAGTTCAGTCAATTACAAAAATAAATTTTCTCTGTAAATTTACTGTCTCAATTAGTAATCGATGATGCTCTTGCGATAAATGATCAGTGCATTCAGAATCGTGAATATTGAGCCAAGGGTATTTAATAATGTAGCACTACTTTTCTTTGTATCTGCTACTTGTACGACCACTTGTGCAATACCGCATGTATTCTTTCCACGTGCAATACGAATATAACCACTTTCACCCCAGTTGAGTCCTAGAATTGAGAACGATTTATCAAAGTGTATAGTTACTTTAAAAGTGCATTTACCCCAGCTATTTTTGCAGATCCAATATGGTTTACCCTCTTCCGTGCCGTAGCCAACAATTTGAAGCTAGAATTATATAAATGTAACATATGCATATTGAAAAACACTCTTTATCATTTTCGTACCACATGATCCGGTGTATCTTTTGAACATCGGTTATCATCATAGATACCTGAAGAGAAAATGATTACTGTTGATATAGCTGCATCAATACACCAACAAACCTCCTTTGTAATCTGGAAAGGCCCCTCCCATAGCATCCAATTCCGCCCAAAGAGTAGAATCTTGAATCCAACTCAACATTGTTTCTTCATCACCCGGTGTTAATCTGTTGATTTTATCAAACTATTCAGTATGCAAACATTTATGAATTTATATCACGATTGATTATTCTTTTGTATACGTTAATACATACAGTTGAGAATGGTTTGCATTTGTTTGTCTCACAAGTTCCAAGAGCTGTTGGATAATCTGTCTCACGACAAATTCCACTCATATTCTTTATACAATCAAAAGCATCAATTGGTTGTGGACAACAATCGAATGTACGTCCAACACTGCCTCGAATAAGATTCTTGGTATTAATGGCATGAAGTGTCTCGGCGAGTTCTATACGATGATTAACAAACAATGAAATTGGTTAATTATCCTTTTCGTTTTACTTACCTGTACTAACAATGGCAGTAATAATTTCTCCAACGAGACCTTCATCGCGTGCCGGTGTTACGACACCTTTTGTACGCCAATCAAGTGATTCCGGTATTACTTTCAATTGAATCGAATTTTCGACCGATATTGGACGAAGTTTCGAAAAACTCGTGGATCTCGATACAAGTTCCTAGAATGCGTATAAAATCGTTCATCGATTACATATCAGCTTAAATATAGTACCTCAATGCGTCGATCAGTTAAATGACTTATTGCCATTGTAAACGATGCATCGGGATGAGTTTTTTGATAGGTACGCATTCGATTAACATTTTCAGTAAATACGTTTCTACGTTGAGCTTCTTCAGCAGTTGTTGCATATTGTTTATTATAATCACGTTTGAATTTATTCCATTCCAATGATAGATCACTCGCGACTACACCAAATATAACGAACAGAAGAACGAGCTAGTATGAGAAACAAAATAAATTCCTATAGATCATATTCATAGAACATAACAGTTTACCTTCATTTCTCAAGTATATATTTGAGTGTAATAACAATAGTATTTAAAGTAAGAAGAAAAAAAACAAAAGCATGATGATAAGCGACGAATTCAGATATAAAATGCTGACATAGCACTGACGTTTTGTTAACTCAGAGTTACAAAGAACAATCTTCGTTATCTATCTTTTACGAGACAAGTCATAATGAATAAGATTTACTTAAAATAAACGTATTCGAGACTTTTAAATGAGTTTCTTCAGCAAAAGTTGCTGTTTACAACAACATGAGATACAATAAGAAATATAAAAGCGACAAAAAAGTACACTACCATTTGAAAAGCATCGAGTTTATCATTTTTCTCGTTGACAAAAAGAAAGAAATAGAATAGAAAACTGTTTTACGTTGTCCTAAAGTTTTTTTTCATTCTGTTTTCATGATCGAAAAAACAGGAGTTTGAACTGATGGACCTTTTTTCATCTAACGTAAGACAATGTACAAAAGAAACACATTAAAACGCCGTCTTTCTCAGCTATTTCGATTATAATCTATGTGGGTGGTGGATGTGCTACTTTTTTATTCTCGTTTTTTTTTGAAAGAAGAAAAGTAAAACGAATGTGTACAACCACTACAAGTCATTTTTATTCTGATTAGAATATAAACGACAATTCAAAAGCACAATTTATTGAAAAAATGAGTACTCTGCTACAAGAGAAAGTTTTACAGAATGAATTTCAATACTATCATATTGTGTACACAAGAACTCATTCATGATTAAGAAAAACGTCTAATTCCTGGTGCCATATACTTTGAGGTGTGCCCTTGGAAAAATTTTGTTTTAGAAGAAGAAAACGAATATTCTTGCCTTTCGGATACATTTCACTATAGGGTGGTGGACTCTAACTACAACATGCAGTCATCATCGAATTACATAGAGGTAATCTATACAAAACTATTAATTCAAAGAAACATGAAATAAATACAGGTGCTTGCCAAATTTAAAATCTGCTGATTTTCTTAATTGCTTTGCACTTCTAAAATAAATAACAGAAGTCTGTTTATTAAAATGCACAAAATAGCTTTTAGAGTGAAACGAAGTCATCAAGTTTGATGTCATATTAAATCACAAGTTCAATTTGCTATTATTATCAATCTTCAAGCGCATGAATATGCATAACCAATTTTGTGCAATTTAATCCACGAATTTTTCAATATGTATTGATCTTATCGAAAAACAAATGTTTTTTAACTGAAAATAGGAAATTCTTTTTTTTGACTCTTCGAGCTGATTGAACCGTTCTATATTGTTCAAGGAACTTATACGATAAGGATGAGTGGAGTCCTGTAAATAAGCAACCGCTTCTTCGAAATATTCACGGGCTTTGACTAAATCTCCATTTATTTGATGAAGGACGCCTAAATTATGCAATGCAGCTGCAAACCGACGATCACCATTGATATTTGTTCTCAGGAGTTCAACAGCTCGATTAGCACATTGTAATGCTCGAGTCATATCGCCTTTTTCATAATAAGTATTGCCCATATTATCGACACACGCTGCTATATCAAAGTCATTTCTCGGTTTAGCTTCTTCCTCCCGAATAGCTAGTGATCCTCCAACATAAGACAGAGTATCATCGAGTTCTTTACGGGCCAAATGTACATTACCCATACCAAAAAGGCATTTGGCAAGCATCAATGGATTTTTCTTTTTTCAGTTTTCGAGCAATTTCATTGCTTCAGTAAAGTATGAGCAGTCATCCTATTCCGCAATGTTGAACATTTCGGAACCAGTTCCGCCCATGGAATCAGTTCCATCGATTCCGAAATTAGGTCAAACATGAACGCTGTCCGATTCCGGAATTGAATCGGAAGGGATAAACGAAATTCCGGGAATTAGATAGAATTGGTTCCGAAATGTTCAACATTGCGGAATAGGATGTATTCTCATTATTTATGGCAATATTATCGTTGGGTTAATATTAACGATCCAAATAATGTCAATTATGAATGGAATAAGCCAGAATTTACAGTTATTACCTGCAAGGCCTATTTTGATTTTACAACTTCGTATACAACGAAATTTTCGATATGTGTTAGACAGCAGAAGAAATTATATAGAATGTTGTCAGTATTATGCATACAAATATTATTTTTTAATAATAAAATCTATTTAAATTAATTATGCAAATTACACACAAGTGTTTCCTAATATATTATTCATTCAATTTAAAATTCCAAAAAGCTATATTGAGCTAACAACTGGAATATTATCACAATTACAATAATCATAATTAAAGTATAGTCATTTAATATTAAAATCATATCAAAGCAATTATTATGAGAATTAGCATTTGTTATTTGATCTATATATTCAAAGAATATAGCCGTTTAATTAACCATCAAAAGTTTACTTTGATCGTGAGTATGATCTTACTATAATTCTTAATCGAACCGACTATACAGTAACGTTAATTGCAATATAAGTAGTAGTCTAATCTACATTTGCATCTGGAACATATTCAACACTATTTTATTTCTTATATATTTTATTTTCCTTGTTTTCTACTATTAATCTTGCTTCATTGTTTTCATTCGTTTATCCTTTATTTTTATCGTTTATTTTATTTTTCGCGGCTAATCGATTGCTGAAAAGTAAAAGTTGAGAATAACAGATACTAAGTCGCAACCGGTCGAGGTAGCTTTCCACACACCTGCACCTATCTGAGTGATATGACTTTCGTTTTGTATTTGTATGATACTTTTATCCTATAAACTGACACAAAATCTTATGTTCGCTGAAAACGGCGCAAATATCGGTATTCATATTTTCTCAGAAACCCAATAAATAAAAGCGGAAAATGTATATTAATCTTGTTGAAGACATATGTAAATGCAACGAGCCATCTATATAGTATTTTATGCGTAATTGCTTTAGTATTTTGTTTTGAAGAGCTAGTTGTACCTATTTCTGTTTTTTTGCTTCTTTTTTTTTAAAAATCAAATATTCATTTTAGGTTGCATTCTCTTTAGGATTATGCACATTTAACAACGCAAGCTATTAAATGCGCTTAAGCAAAATAATATTATAAATCGATTCTATTACTCGATGTAGAAAAAGTTTGACAGAGAGAGAGAACGAGTGAAAATTAAAAAGAAACATGTATTTTTTCTTATTCACACTTTACCCTCTGCTTATGTTACACTATTGAATAGCTGAGCGAAGCTAGCCTATGGGAAGCAGTTATATTAGCTAAATAAAAAGAGATTGACACGCCTGTACTCTCCACAGCAGTATCACATATCTAACAAATCGGGCATGCCAGAGATGCCACGGGAGATGCGGGATACACAGCAGCAGCACTCCCAGCAAATATAAATATCATAGCTATAAGGAATCCACCAGGCGCAATTTGTATCTGCCGCAGAGACGCCGCATCTTCTGATGAAAAAATCTTTAGATTTTTAGCCTAGACCCTACCTGGAGATGCATCCCCTTAGGAAGATTCCGCGTTTCACACGCAGACGTTACATCTTCCTGTAACTACTGAGGAAAATCACTCTCCTGATTTGAAGGCTATGACGAATTCCAGTCCGTGCGCCACAATCCAGTGTGGAAACTGTGCATATGGTATTGCTGTAAAACTCACCGCGCGAGGGAAGCAGAAATGAAGTTCATCACATGATGGAGCGAAGCGAAAGGGTGAGCGTCGAAACACAGGTAGGCACACTAAATCGTAGTCTTTCGTGGATAGAGTCACATAGGCAAAACACTAGATATACACTGAATCAGACAGAAAAACGTAAAACAGGCAGACAGCTAACCACGCCAAAAAGGCATATCACTCAGTGTTGATGTGCGACCACAGTAGAGAAACACGAAAATACATTAACGCATTCACACAGTGTCACACCCATCGCAAGTGTGGGTGCCACGAAAGGCGGAATACATTGTCTACACACTAGACTGTGACCTAAGGATGGGCATTGGTCATAGCCTTCAAATCAGGAAAATGTTTTTTCTCAGTAGTTCCCCGAAGATACGGCGTCTCTGCGTCAGAGGCGGCATTATCCGGAGGGGTCTAGACTTAAAATCGAAAAAGTATTTTTTCAGCGAGAGATGCTGGAGATGGAGATGCCAGAGATGCGGCGCCGCTGCGTGAGACGCAAAATGCGCTTAAATAATTTTACGACGTATATTATTTGTATTTTGGCGTCTCCCTTGGCATCTCCAGCATGCCCGATATTCGTAACTAGTCGCAGGATGTGTCAGAAAATATACGGATAACTGAAAGAATCTTCCATTCGGAGAGGTGACTGTGGAAGTCTTGTTTGGTGAATGAAGTTAGAATATCTAAAACGATACAAAAAAGGAAACAACTCCAGATATCAGTCATTCGAATTCGACTGAGGCCTAATTGAAATTAATGTCGTCATGTTTATGAAGGTTTTCTAGATATTATTTTCATCCTGTTTGAGAGAATTCCTAATATTTTCCTATCATGCTACATGTGTTTAAAATAACTTCACAAGAATTACATGAGACAAAAATAGTTGAACTTTGGAAAGGAAATAGAGTATATTTGCATAAAGGGGAAAGTATTGAGAGCTCATAAACATAAAATTGTACTGCAGACAGTTTCCCCTATCTGGTCAACGCTTTTTGTAACAAAGTTCCAATCAGATTCTGAGAACCGATATGTGAGGTTCTTATTCGTTTCAAGAGTCTAACTCGTGGAACTTTCACAAGCATCCATTCTGAACAGTTATTTTAATTCTTCATTTTCAATATATACTGTATCACCGATAATATGAGTCCCCCTTTGGCCAGACTCGTTTGCCACAGTTGAAATTTCATTTAACTAAAATTCGACGTTGTTTTATTTGCATTATTTCAAGACGATTAAGATGAACAGAAATGGAAAAATGGTATTGAACATAGCTCAAAAATTGCCATCGACCATGATCTATATTTTATTTGTGTGTACTATTGTACAATATGTCGGTGTTAATGGTGATGATTATGATCAAATACGTCACTATTCGAGTATGCATCATAGCATGCAGCATTTTTATCATCCGCCAACATTCTACTATCGGCATTACACGCATGACAATCCTCCACGATCAAATTTTCTACGAAACTGGGTGCTTTCTAATAAAGTCGATGAATTGTCGATGCAGAGTTGCGGTATAGCACCAGAAACTAATATATTTCAGCGTATTGTTGGCGGTAGACCTACAATGCCCTATGCCTATCCATGGATGGTTTTCTTAACCATAAAATTACCAGGTAGTACATCAATATGTGCTGGTGTACTTATCACTCGACGTCACGTTCTAACAGCTGCTCATTGCATGACGGAATCTAAATATCCAGAGGATGTAACCGTAAAGGCTGGTATTTATAAATATACAGACGAAGCGATTCGGATACCTGCAAGGATCATTACGATGCATCCTAAGTACGAGAATAAGACACACACTAATGACATCGCGATCATAACGCTTCAATCTTCATTTCCTTACGATCATCAACGCATTGGCACGATTTGTTTGCCTCCTGATAATGCTGGTGATTACTATCCGCCACCACGTTCGGATTCTATTGCCATCGGCTGGGGACACACTTCGTGGCACGGCGGCTTATCACTAACCCTTCAGGAAGTCACTTTGCCAATACTTGATGTGAACCAATGGCAATGCAGACAACTACTGAAATGTCCACTAGGGCAAATCTGCGCAGGAAAGCTTGAGGGCGGTTTTGATACGTGTCAGGGTGACTCAGGTTGGCACATGGATAATCGATTTTATTGCACCCTTTTTCGATTTTGTTCTTCTATTTCTCATCTCTAGGTGGGCCGTTGATGATACAAAATGCAAATTACCGTTGGGAAGTAATTGGTATCACCTCAGTAGGTGACAAATGGTAAGTAGATATTCAATTATGGTAACATGTCATAATTATATAAAATAGATATTGGTGATCCATAACTAAAATAGGCACAATGAACACCGACAGAGATGTTGGAAGATAGGTCTTGCTAGTTTTTCACCTGCTAGTTCCAGAAAATGAAATCAACATGAGACACCATTCACATTGTTGTATCTATCATCAAATGAGTAGTGCCACTTATCCCGAAATTTGGAGATGCTGCATCTCCAACGAGAGAACTGGTTGTGTACCACTGGAGAACTATTATCTTCTTTAGAGATATAGATCACCCACACGCACATCCCACCAAGTTTTGCTATCCGTTTAGGAAACAGAAAATGAATCGAAATATTCGATGTTGTTCTGTCTTTAGTGGTAAGCCCAATACGCCTGGAATTTATACTCGTGTGAGCTTCTACAACGACTTTATTCGATCGACTATAGTTCAATCCAACTACGATCCAAAATTTCGATCATGTTTTTTCTCATCGTCTTCCACGTTCACGCGCAATCGATCGAGTTGATGGGGAATTTGATTTTGCGGCAAAATCAAATAAGAACATACATATATCGAACAAATTCAACACCTACCAGAGATATCAGCCATATTAGTAATGCAACAATATTAATGATAGAACAATATAGCAGGCTCATAGACACTGATAGTATTAGTGCCACTGCAGTATTCGCTGTGTTTGTGGTAAGAGCGAACATCGGAAGGACTGTAAACACCGAAAATACTGCTAATATTTTGTCTTTTTAATTTTGCTACAAATTAGTTTTGTATTAGAGATGATGATTTTCTCGTAAAATGAAATTTTCCATCATATGCACACCTGTAACATAGAGGAACTTATCTTTAATTTTAAAGCATTCTTCGGTCATTAGAATACTTTATATTATTAATAATATTGTCGTCTTTTTATTCTTATCTTCTGGAGGATCAGATATTAAGCGCAATATTTTTAAAATCAGTGATATAAACACTCTTTTACATGCGAATCGTATTACATTATGTTAGTTGTACGAAATTCAGGGTTGGACTCTAAAAAATGAAGACAGTATATTCAAGGCGGATCTTCTACTAAATTCTTATTTGTTGATATTCATTTCAGTTAGACACTTCAAGTGTCGATGGATGAAAGAGTTTAGATATTCGAGCGTCTTAAAGTTTCTGATTGGAGTATTTCCGCCAATGTTTATAAGCGTCTTGAACCTGTCTTTTTCAGACATTTCAGCTAATCTATGACTGACAAATTTAAGAGTAGACACAGTAATATATAAATATTAAACACAAAGAAAAATATTTTCAATAACGAATTGTTTTTTATAAAGGACTGGGGCGCATAAGATTCCGAATGGTCGTATTAGTAATCCTTTCCACTGTACGACTCAATCATATATCAAGTGAAAGAGAATGTTGAGGATAGTACTTGGTGCAAGCTTCATAACGCTTGGATCTAGCTTTGTGGGTACAAGTTTTTAACGATTTCACATATTTTCCGCCATTACGATAAGAATCAATTTTTTGTGTCACTCTGTTTCGTCTTGAAAAAACTTCATATTATATGTGCGTTTACTAGCTTGTACTGATCAGTCTTCCACATCATCGGTTATTCACAGGGCTGCCAAATCCAAATTTACAAAATCAGTAGTTCATGAGAAAAACCAGGGGTCAACCAGGAGATCCTTGTTTGAAACCAGAAAAATAATTTAGGAGATTTTTATTAAAATTAGTGAACTTTTGACTGTTTTTTTTTCGAAGGAAATTGATATTTTCTTCTACGACAGAGATTAAAATTTTCTCCTGATAGCTTAATTATGGCACATTTGCCGATATAATATTATGTATGAGAAAAAATAAAGTTAATTATATGTTCTACTTCCTTATTTATTTCGAAATTAATCACAAACTGTACAAAACAAAGTACTATTTACTTAGAAATTTAATAATGAATATGCACATGTAGAAAAAGATAAACTATGACACATTCATACTGTACGTGGTATTTTAGCAGTATGCCTGTATTTTTCTGATGATCGAATTTGTTTTAGTAGATCTTGATTAATAAGAAGATGATCATAAAATTCTGAACAGTTATATTGAGTATTTACTTTTATCTTCAATTCCGCACTAACAAGATCGTGTCTCATGTTACTTCGATTATTATTCCATGAGTATTTCATATGGCTGAATATTGTTAAACAAAAAGCATTAGATGCTGGTATAGAAAAAACATATATTGAGCTAATTTTTTTAAATCAGGAACGTGTTCATCATGAAGAAGATAAGCCCATAAATAGTCACATCTTATGTGTAGATTTTTTCTGTGATTTTTATGATGTCGAATATTGTCGTCATCATAACTACATAATTTAACTTCATCATGTGAAATTGTTCCACCTTGTTTGTATAAATGGAAATTCGATGAAATAAATTCTTGAACTTGTTTGTCGATACCACCTAACTTGTCCTTAAGTTGGGTAAATTTAGACTTTTAATCATTAAACTGATTGTATAAAAGATCTTTGTTGATCTCCTTAGGATCAATACACGCAGCACAACGTTCAATATTTCTCCACTCAAGCTTTTGAATATTAACTTCACTAAAAATTGAAATAGACTCATAAAATGAAGTTCGATCTACAAAATAATCTTCAATATGTGTGATGATTGTACGAATAAACAGTCTAAATGATTTTTTAAATCATCGACTTCATTTGAATCTTGAATTGTGCCTAATAAGCCCATTACTTTAGCATCAAAATAATCGTCACGTAAACGGTTACTTAATTTACAGAGTAAATCTTTGATAATACCGTATAGATTTACTCCCGTGGTAGAATGTTTTTGCAGTAATATATTTGCTTTTTCTACTTCTGCTAATATATTCTTCAAAAAAAAAGAATGTACATTCACCTATACAAAAATTCAGAAAACAAAACATACTCATAATATCATAAATTGCGTACCTTTATGAGATGTAAAAGAAACGAGTAATATTTTTGGACATGTTCCATCTTTGAGATTCAATAAATAACTTTTTACTACTGGATAAATACCAATTAAACGTTCGATAGATAATAATAAGCTGAGCCAACGTGTACAAATATGTTAAAGTATAACCTGAATGAAGGATGCAAATATAAGATTAGAGAGAATTGTGAAGAGAACTTATAGTTATAACAGATAGATCAGATTACATATATTTGATTACCTTCTGCTCTTGCCCACGGAAAAATTTTCCAACCAAAACCGAGGTTATTGGCGGTTTACCAGTTGCGACTCTCAGCGGTTATTAAGAACCGCGAAAGTCAGACATTTTATTAGGTTTTTTTCACACCACCCGAAACCGCGGTTTCCTCAAACTGCAGCTATTAACGATTTTTGGAAAAAAAATCTTCATATGCATTCGTCGCATTACATCAAAGTTCTGATCAATTGTTCCTGGCAAGACTGGTGCACACTCTCTCAAACAAATGGTGCCATAAGGAGCCATGTCAAATAAAAATGGTTCCATATCACTAGATGAGTTCTGTCTCGGGACCTTTTCTTAAATATTGAACTTCTGTTACAAGGATGCTTCTGTCATAATCCAGTATCAGGTGCAATTTAACTCGACAATAACAGCGATTAATAGCTATTTAGACGTTACTATAAACATTACAAATCTTTTAGTAAAGATAAAGTTATTTTGTGAAAATAGCGACTTTTCATAAAGTTTGACTAGCAGGTTTCATCATTCTTTGCATACTGAAAATACAGTATTAAAAAAAAATAAGCAATAGTCAAAGCACCAACAACATCAATTGAAAGTGAAAAATTTAGGCTTCCAATACCATCAAAACAAAGAACTACAATTGCGTTCAGTGATCAAAGAAAGTCAATGGTATGCTGTTTTATTTTCAATTTGGAATAGAAGAGGTTTCTTATCGACAAGCTCTCTTCGGCTATTCTTTTTTTTCCATTCGTATTAGCTCTTACTCTATATATGAGAAAGTTCAATATAGTGAATTTCTTTCTTAAAATAGCATCTATGTTCAGTACTTTCACGAAAGGGTGTGGATGTGGGTGTGGCATGCAAGTGAGTACGAACACCCACGCTCTCAAGAGATAATGATGGACTTTCAAGGATATTAAAATATATGACCAGTGTATTTATGAATTTCTTCTTCCTTTAAGAAATGAAGGATTCAAATAAAATCTAAACAGTTCTGATAGTCTTCAGAAATTCAAAAGACTATGAAGGACACCCTGCTAAAAGTCATGGAATCTTCAAGGAAAACAGCAATTATCGCTAGAAAATGTCATTTTTCTAAAAATTGTCAAGACAGATCATAGAATACATTGGCTTTTTATTTTTATTGAGGATCTCGTGCCTTTGTTTTTAGATGCAACTCTAAATACTATTCTGGATTTAAAAAATGGCCATATTTAGTTTTTTTAGAAACGCTTCTCTCATTACTCACTTATGAGATGTATTCAATGAAGAAAACTATGACTCGTATTCTTAGTGAAATACTTGCTTGGAGAGAAAAGAATCAAAACTACGTTAGTGTTCTATCTTTCAAGATAACTGCACAAATCATATTTAGACCTTCATCTATTCTATTGGTGTTGCTAGAAAGAAACTTTATTTTGTCAACAGTCTCTATTCTTGATATCTTCTATGTGATGTTTTATTTGAGCTGATTTACTGTGAATGCCATTCAGCTTCTTTTACCTAGGAAAATCATATGAAATAGGTGTTGGAACAAAGATTTCTTTGATTTTTCATGAATTATTTGAATAGAATCAAGTAAATCTTGTTGTTTATCAATAAATTCAGCTTTGCCATTACTAAATAAACGATATACGTACATAGTATCTCTTATTTCACGAAATCTTTCATCTTTACCAACTTTTACATTTTCAATGTTTCTTTCTTTTTTTTTATATAAGAAAACAATTTAGAACATATTTTGAAAGATACACAGTATACACTATCTTGGATACGACAAATATGGTCAACATGCGATGTCGTTTCAACTGCCCAAGACGTTCATTGATTTTTTTCCTCATAATAATAGAGTAAACGATGATTAAGCAAACTTGTCTTTTTCTTCACGTTTTGGTTTAGTAATTTTATTAATTTTTAAACTATCAAGTTGAGATGTTATTTCTTCACCTCATCGACAATTAACAAGATCATGTAAACGAAGTGTAGCCCGACAATGTGAACATAGACGAGCATCAGATAACTTTTCCATACAAACGAAACAACAAAATACATCAGCTCAAGACTAAAAATAGTTTGCAATAAAATTAATTAATAACAAATAAAAAAAACAATTCATAGGTCGACAGTATTTCATTTCATTTAGATGCCGCTCTTACATATTGACATGTATCATATTTTATCTTTAATAAATGTGCTAGGATAGATACATAAGGATATAGATCATCTTTTCATTGTGAGTTTTAGTTTTCATGTGTATCATTTTGATATTGAACGTTTGTAATTGTTCGACGAAATATCGAAAACACGTGTACACAGTAACGAATAACAGCGATAGACTGTCAAAATTCAATTCTTTTACAAAGCAGGAGAAAATTTGCGAGAAATACATTTCTTAACTCAGATAAAATCGATATCGAAAACTTCAAAGTTTTTGACCATCAAACGGTGTGTTGTTGTTAATGAAATTTTCTTTGCTTGAATTTTTGAAGTTTGATGCAAGGCTTTTGTTATTTGTCTTTTATTCTTATTGGTTTCTTTTTTGCAACTTTTTCTTTATGAAAAATATATATTTGAAACGGAAACAAAAAAGATTTCAACATTACACGGTGATATATAGGCTTCTGGAACATAAAACACTGGATTTATATCAGGATTAAGCTAGAATGCTCGCTTCCCCCATCTTGAAACGAATTATGCCACTAGAGTCCGGCAGTCACAAGAAAAAAGGAACCGAAATGAGTGTAGTGAAGTTATTTCTAAGATTTTTCTCGTTTCCTTTTTATTTTAATAAAGAACGTGAACAACAAGTTTTTTTTATGCACTTCAAAGATGTTAAAATAAAAAATATTAGCTTTTATCATGTGCATATCGAAAGATCGATATTTTTCAATCGGCCGGCGTCTATCAATGAAATTTCGTCTGTACATCGATATTATTCTATTTGACGAGGTCAGCTATTATAATTTTTATCAACGACAATCGCTATAAATGAATAGTGAACATATATCTATGTCATTATACAACTTGAGAAAAGCATTAAAAGAGATATTAAACATGTATCTCACTGACACTCATCTACTGGATTTACCCGATGACATCGTACTGACTATTTTGAAGAAACTGGACAAGATGTTTGCCCTCTATTCATTAATAGATATTGGTATTGAACGACTTGATCTTCTCGCACAAGATATAACTTTCACCGATACTCTCAATTTTTTGTCAACCGAAACTGATAATATTTGTTCACTTAATGATTCCATTATTGATCGATTTTGTAGCGATATATTACCACGAATTCAATGCACCGTTCAATATCTTATTTTTGAATCAATAATCACGGAACGTATTCTACTTGCTATTAATTGTCCTAATCTTACTAAATTGAAAATCTTCAATGCCAATCAAGATATTGCTTTACATTATTTTACAAGTAATTACTTTATATTGGTATTTATGTAATGGTTGAGATAAAAAGAAAAACATTGAAAATCAAAAAAATCAAATATATCTATTTTTGTTTCTTTTTTAGATGAATCACACTTTCGACATATTTTCAAACAAAAAATTACAGATCTTACTGTTATAAATCATCATACAAATGCTCATATATCAACAGTTGATTACACAAAAAATGTATATGTACATATTTTCAATTTCTTCACGAATCTGAAACATTTAAGTATTGTTAAATCATCTAGTGAAGTGTGTCAAGGTTTTGTTACTTCGGGATCTATCATCAACTACTTTTTCTTCTTCAATTCTTATTAAATTATGTATCAATGTGTATGGTATTGATGATTGTCTTTCATTACTTGATAGTTGTCTTGAAAAGTTGCCCACATTGATTGTTTTTATGGATAGTGTGAAGAATCATTCGTCAACGATGCAAAATCTAGCGAGTTTAACAAAGGAGAGTGTCTAGCATATTTACGAGTATTCGAACCTGAAAGATAAGATTTTTTTGATCTGGGCATCGATTACTTGGATCCCTTAACGAAATGTAGACGATTTCGATCGATTCTTTGTCATGTGAAATGATAAAATCCAATAAATGAAATCGCCCAATTACGATACAATCCGATACTGGTATGTAAGTGAGTTTTTTTTCAAGAAATCAAAGGTAATTTAACGGTGTAATTTCCAATGATTTCGTGTCGTGAGTTATATCGAATGCAAAGAGATCTTGTCTACGGAATCCTATAGTGTCTAACTTGATAAACACTAACTGGAATCGAAGAGATTCAGTGGTCCGATGTGAACGAAAAACAATGTAAGCTTCCGGAGTACGTCGGAAAGTAACCGATCATTTTATAGCAACGGATTTCGTACCTGTCCGACAAGAACCGATGTTCTCTCCTTGATCTGGAAAAATAAGTTTTTCTTAATTTTCCACTTTATAGTTTTTCATTGAATTTCTAAATATTTATTTCTTTGTGTTCTATAGAATGATCTACCTAATTTAAAATGTTTTTCATTAAGAATTGGTTCTTTAAATGATGGATACGATACTCTAATTGTACCACTTCTTCGTCGTATGCGTAATCGCGAAGAATTGACTTTAGATCTTCGTATAGATGATCAAACTAGATTTGTCGATGGTACTCAAGTTCACAATGAAATTCTTATTCATATGGCACAACTTCATAAATTCATCTTTTATATCAAGACTACTATTCAGAAGAATAATAGTATTCCTCGTTTGTCAAACGATGACATTCAGCGAACATTTAATAATATAGGATATGAACAAGTTGGTTGTATAGTAGATAATAGAGGTATTTAATACGTCAATTGTCATGTCTTCTCACTTCCATTCGCATTCAATCGTCTCAAACTGGTTGGTACTAACTTTTCAAATATTATATACAATGATGTCACTGTATTATACGTGCGAGACTCGATCCCATTGAAACACGAATTTTTGTTCGAATTGCTCGATGCTTTCCACTGTTAAAATCTATTTTTATCGTGAATCACGAACTTGGCCTAACACATCAGTATGAAATAGAATCTGATCTTAATGAATTATATTCGGTTATCGAATATCCTCATCTTAGATCACTTGACGTAAGATTCGCACATATTTGTTATGTTAAGCAGTTTCTACACGAATCAAATACACGTATTCTTAATCTAACCGAATTAAAAATCGAATATCATAAACTGCAAGTTGTGACAGACAATTTTACAAGACAAGCAACGCGACTCAATGGTATTAAGATAAAACAACTAACCATTGATAAAGCAATCGTACATACAAAAGACTTATGATTATTTTCCTTTGTTGTAGTGTTCATTTATTTTGTGGGTGTGGGTGTGTCAGTTTGGGTGTGAGTTCGTGTATTTGAATAGTCATTGAAGGGGACGCCCACACTCACATCCGCGAATCCCAGTCGTAAGTTATACGAGTTTTTGTGAGATTCTCGATTTTAGCCAATGGACCTGCTATCGCCAGGAAAATTAGATATGCAAAGATAATTCATCATCATGAGTCTAGGGGTGATATTTTTATTAGATTCTTACTCACCTGAAACTTATTTCAGTATTTCTGAAATTTCACTAAGGAGTCGATATTCCCCGAAACTTTAATATAAGTTTAATTATGTTCACAAAAGGATAGCATCAGTCGATCGAGTATTTGTGTTTTATTCTAATTGAAGTCACCATCAACATATTTCAATTCGTTGGTGAATTTGTTTCACCATTATCACATATAGCTGATTCTACAGAGTAGTGATTAATAATATTCGGTTATATCATCTAAATTGACTGACTATCTGAGTAGAAAAACGTTGGTTTTCTCCATGAACTCTATAAATCTTTCAACATCACTCAAAATTTCAGTTGAAAACAATCAAAACTATTTAATGGTTGTGTGCATGCATCGGTAGAATGTCACTTGTGAGAAAGAATGAAAGAAATGATTCACTGAAAGTGCTACTTGCACAGTGTTTACTTTTGAAAAGGAAAAGAAAAACATTTCTTACTTTCGAGTTTTCTTTCATAAAACAAAATTAATATTGAAAAATTCTCTTTTTAAGTTATATTCTGCTATAGCCAAGAGACCTACTAAAATCATTTGTGAAAGTCGCATAATGAAAAAAGCTTTTATAGAAAGTGAATTTCACGGTGAAGCTCTTGGAAATTTCAGCAACATAGATAAAACAAAACACACTTTTATTTGAATTTGTATGGAATTAAACATCATGAGCTGCATGATTTAATGATGAATGGAAAATATATATTAATATTTTCTCTAAATAGTAAGACTGAATTCTATATTTCTCGTGTGTCCAATCCGTATATCTATTTAGATACTCAATAATGGTTGTGATAAGAAATCTTCAGACAATTGATGATTATCATAGTAGTTCATCAGCAATACACTTTTGTTTTATTAGCACTTACACCTTTTTCTCCTTGAATTCTATTAATTTAGTGTCACTACTCAAAAATTACGTTGGTAAATAAAATAAATATATAAAGTTAATGTAGATGCATTATTAAAAAATTCAACTTAAAGAGAGCAACACGGATTAGTTCAAGAGTTTTATATGCAGATTAAGTTTCCTTTCAAAAAGAAAAAGAAAAAGAAAACGAAAATTTATTATTTTCAAGCTGTTTTTTTTCATAAATAAATATACGCAAGTAAAATTAAACAACTTTCTTTCTTGACGATTGTATTTCTGACAAGAAGAGAATTTTGTTTAAGCTATTGGAAATAAGAAAAAAACTGAAAGTAAGTGAAATGAATTATTTTTCTGACAGAATAATATTTTCACAATCAATTTCAGATCTCTAGTGCATTCGGTAATCGCTTTCATTTTGAGTTCTTTAGTAGACTTCGAAATGGCCAACAAATAATTTCCGTGAAAATCTTTTGAATCATATGGGTAATTCCGTGGGATCTCACCAGGGCGACTCTAAGTTTGTGAACATAGACTTTTTCTTTTATGATCATTTTGCATAAAAAATGCGTTTTTCTCTCGAAAATGAAAGTGATAACGCCGTCACACTGGACATGGAAACGTGCATGGAAAAATATTTAGAATTGATTAAAAGATTAAATAATCTAAAATAAGAACATGAACGCTTCCATTACCAACTTTAATAAGTAATATTATTTAACTTTTTAATCAATTCTAAATATTTTTCATGGACACTAAGTTGAACTAACATACCATATGGTCAAAATACTTATATATGTTAACGAGAATAGAGTAGAATATTCAAAAATTTAATATAAACATGATCTGCTAGAAACCCTTTACAAATACTAAAAGTTTCAATGAACTCAGATATACTTATCGTAGTACATGACCAGATTTTACGAATATATTGAGCAAAATCGACGAAAAGGTTTTGGCACTCGTGCCTTACAGCGTTACAGTTGGGGAGAAAAGCAACTAGTGTATGTTGTAGAGCAAGTTCTACTCTGTTGATTAAATTGGAAAAGAGAAAAACCTATATAAATATATGATATATTTTTTTCTAGAAAAAATAATTAAGTCACGGTCCTGTTAATTTCTTTTTCTAAAAAGAAGAGAAGTGAAAATGTTATCCATGAGTATGCAACTGTGTTTCTGCTTGTGAGCACCTTATACATATTTAGATTGAACAATGATGAATCGAAATCGAACGTCTGTGAACTCATTTGACAACAACTTGTGGACGCAAGATCCACGTTTTGGTGCAAATTCCCCAAGAAAACTTTACAATACAGGTAAGAATGATCGCTTTTTTATTGTAGCCCTAAGAACAATTTCTAATCTCTTGTTTTGAACCTGTTGACAAACACCTAGTCATACCTCTGATTAGTTTTATTTCAATCAAAATATGTCTTTTTACAAAAATGAATAAGAAAATTCATTTATCTTGTCAGTGTGCTTCTGCTGAACAAAATGTATGAAAATAACATAAGAGATATCGTAAAAACTTATATTTTAATTTTTAGGTCGACTACCGCAAACCTCACTAATACAAATGGCGGATAGTGAACAGTGTGAATCACCTTTGAAACTACAAGGTTGGTCGTATGTCCACCTGTATCGTGGTGTGATTAACACTGCAGATCGATCTATGAAACTTCTAAGGAATGGTGATGCAAATGAGGCAAAAAAGTTTTGGGAAAGGGCATGTCTTTTCTTTGACGAGTTGGATAAACGTCAAAATATTTCAGATAAAAATGTATGGCAACTTGAAACATATTTTTTTGTAAAAAATTTATTTATTTATTTATTCAATTTACAGATCGCTGAAATGAAACGACTGAAAGCCATATACAAAGAACATGAGAAACAAATCAATCAAATAAAATAGAGCAATTACGTTGTAACACAGAAGAAAAATACGAAAGCTAGGTTACTACCACCTTTCATTAACTTTTTCGTTCTTTTTACATACGTATATAAAAAAATAAATAAACAAAATCGAAAGTAATAAAAAGCAATTCGAGCAAACTATAATTTCGATACTCTCAACTGAATTTGTCAAACTTTGTATCAAGCACTTTTATGTACGAAGCGTGCGATTACGAATGAGATATATCTGGATAATATATCACATTAATTACGTCTCGGTGAAACCCAACGACAAGTGAGAAAATTTAGGATGCTTTTCGTTTTCGGCTCCTCGGCACGACATTAAGAAATTTCGCAGAATGTGGATGTTAGTCTTTTCGTCACATATTTCGAAAGTTACATCCGCACTGTTATTCAGTTAGTTTAATTTGTGCTTCATTAATTATTGTTGGAGCACGAAATCCGCGCCCAGTGAACGAATAAGTGTCGCAACAACGATTGATTGTTGATTTCGTTCTCGACTCGCTCTTCGTCTAACAAATCAATCGAGTGTTCGACTTCTAAATTCATTCGCTTTTCGTGTAATTCATGATATTGTTTAAATGCTGTACAATCAGCTTCGGCATCAAAACCATCATCCTTTTTGTTGTGGAAAACCTTCAATTATTAGTCTTATTTGATTTGTTAATCCTTTTTGTTCACAACCTGATGCTTGCATATACAAAGTTATAAATTTTGATAGAAGATCATATTCAATCCGTTTCAACAATATAGTTTTTATTCATAATAGAGCATAGTTTCATTGAGCTAGATTAGGTATTTGCTAGAAATCTTCAAGAGCTCTAAATTCAACCATTTATGTTTTAGCTAATTGAATACAATTTTCAGCCGTCTGTCTTACATCTTGTGTATAGGGATGTGTAGTGTCGGTGTACTCAGTGGAGCACCGGCTACGCTGGGAACACTGAATAGTTCAATCAGTGTTCACTGAAGCACTGAGGACTATTGTCGTATCTTCTGGAAGAAAAATACACATGAGAACGAAGCTTGCATTGAATAAGACAACATGATCTGGACAAATTCTCAATTTTGTTTGTTATAGTTGACTATATTCAAAGTAATACTTTCGATTCATTAATAAGTTATCATTTTGTTGTTATTATATAGCATCCGCTATGCTCTCTGTATTTTCTCCTTGCATGCTTTTTATTCATTCTCTCTCGTTACTTCTGACCATACTTTTGATCAATGTTTTCATTTATTTTAACCCTTGCTGACGTAATTTTAAATGTAAGTGACTATATTCGACTTCATCTTTATATTCTCTCGTCCAGTGCATTCCATTACACCTCTATTCAGAGCTGTTTCAGCCATCCTTATGAAAATGCCGGTTTAATGCAATATGAAAACAAAATGAAATTATTTTAATTTATGCGATCAAATTTTTTTATTCGTTATCATTTTTTATTCGTCAATAAGCTGTCTATAGAACTATATATTGTATATTGCGATGGAAGTGCGTCCATAATCAGAATATAAAACGTTTTTGAAACTCCCTAAGAAATGGGGGCAATTTTAACGATACTTGCTCACAAATCTGTTGATTGTACTGATAGTGTGGCTGGTATCAGACATGATAAAGGGAGACGTATGATTTCTATCACATGTAGAGAGACTCATAGGATTCTGCAGAAAATGGATCGTAACCTAACTGTCGGAAGTTTTATTGGTTCCAATCGTCGGATATTGTCGGGTGGTCGGATCCAACATCGGAATCATTCACCTGGGTGGTTCAGTGTCCTAAAGTTCAGAGATCCTCAGTGCTTCAGTGAACACTGAATAATTCAATCGGTGTTTCCAGCGTAGTTGGTGAAGTCGGTGTGCTCAGTGGTCAGTTTTTCAGTGTTTATACCGACACTGCACATCCCTAATTGTGTATAATATTGAATATAATCTAGGATATATTCCTCTAAATGTTCCACAGAATCACAAGCTTGTCCTTTAGTAAATGTTGATGCTACGACCGTTGTTGTATTCGGTGGTGCCATTGTTAAACAGCTTGTTTGCGTCGTTGTTGTTGTTGTTGCAAGTCCTGTTTTTTCACTTATTAAATTTGTTGTTAATTCAACTATTGCTTCAGGCGCATTTTGTGCCCAACAAATACCTAATTGTATTTGTAAATCAGAAATACTAGCATTTGGTTGAGCTATGGTAATCATTGATTGATGAATTTTCTTTTCAAAAAAACGACTATTGATTGTATCATTACGTTTTTTCTTAAAGTTGAACGACTTCTTTAACCCAATGTTTTTGTTGTCTACCCATTTTCAAATCAGTTTTTCAGACTTGCAATTCATAGTTACTACGAACTCATTCATCATAAATTGAAGCCGTGACTTCACACTGATAAAAAAGCGCCGAATGATAAACGTTTAAAGCGTTTATGAAAATGCAACGTATGATATGCCCTTTTCTACCGTTTAACAGCATGCGATAAACCCTTTTATCAAACCATCAAAATACGAAATAAAAAGGTTTATCATAGCGTTTATACGACTGAACAACTTTAAAAGGGTGTATCATACATTGCATTTTCATAAATCCTATCGAAGGTGTTAGGAGTACTCTAACAAGTTATTTACTTTTTTTATTCTTATACATTCTTATTTCGTCTTTATACGTTATGTATTTCTTATATGTGCAATCCAACTCGGGATGCACATATGTCAACCACTCTTTTTCATTCTTTCTTTCGTATCTCTGCATATCTCTCTATTGTGTCTTCTTTCCTCCCGTGCGTGATGACGTAAATGTAACGATTATATGCAGAGAGCGTTCAAATTCCATCCGGGGGTGTAATGCTCTCGTTCGAGTGTAACCTGTACATAAGATTTGGTCTTATGGTGCCATTTATTCTCATCACACCTATTGCCACTATCTTTCTGTCCCTTACATTTGTCTTTATCTATCCTTCTTCTTCGTTCTCTCAAATGGTTGAGTATTTAAGCGTGTGCTTTATATGTAATCGATGCGATTTATGATTTGAAGAGTTAAATAAAGTGTAATACCATCAACACAGGCATCTCTTCTATCTAAAATCGTCACAGTAAATAATGGCATCGTTTCTTCGACTGGAACTTAAGTGCATTTATAGAATGATGCGCCATCATCTTTATATACAAAATAGTCTCTAGCCGAAGAAACAAATGCCTTTTCTTCCTTTATTTCTTCTTCTCTCTCTCTCTCTCTCTCTCTTATATGTGTGAGTTGTATAGTATAAATAGGAGAAAAAGAATAATAGAGAAAAGATTAGAATTCAGATTAGGATTCGAAAATGGGAAATTTGTTGTTGATTGGTTAAATAGAAACATAAATTTCTATTTTGTGAATTGATTTAAGTTACAGCGAGGCTTCTGTAACACTTTCTATCTCAGTTTTTTTTCAATATCTTCACATTAAACACATCGCTAATGTAAAAATATCGATGATCGAATAAGACTACTTACCAGTCGATATCAGAATGCTTATTTTTAATGTGAGTCTGCAAGAGGTATTATTTTATATATATAGGCGCTACATATTTTTTCTTTTTTTCTAACATAAAATGTTTACCTGAGTCAATGAAGTGTGACTCTAATTTCGCTACTTCTTCTATTTGCATATCAAAACATTGTTGCATGTACACCGCGAGTTTACCAAATAAGTGATTCATATTTTCCTTTCGGTTGTGACCAATGCAAAAAAAACGATGGGCATGTTACTATTTCTTTTCATCAAGTTAACGCATGGGTGGCTGTATAAAATAACATTAATCAGATCCAGACCCTCATCTCGACACCCGAAGAAACCGTTTTTTACGCAAAGGTAATATAATCAACCCCTGTGTGTAGAGTAATAAGCCTTTCCAATCAAACAGTAGAACAATCGATCTCTGTACGTAGAATGATAAACTCTTTCAGCCAAATAGCGGAACGATCAACCCCTGTACGATGAACAATGAACTTCTTTCAACAAAAGAGAAGTAGAATCAGTCCTCAGCCGACGATGAAACTATCCCTTGAGATGCTAAGGCAGGTAAGCCGTTATTTGTCAATAGAATAAAAACAATCTGTCAATAAAGAGGCACAGGATCGACACTCACGCACAGTACTAAGCCCTTTTTTATTAAGATGTAGATGAATCAACTGTTGAACGTAGAATACGAAACCCTTAGCAGGGTATGGTAGCAGAATCTACCCATAGGCGTAGAATAATGAACTGTTTCTGAGAAAGGGTAGCTTACTCTACCCAGAAAGGCAGAGTGATGTACCCTTTTAACAAAAAAATAAAATAGTAAACCCGATAACGAAGAATAAAGTACCCCAACCTTGAAAGCGAACAACAATCTACTATCATCCGTTGAATGATATACTCTTATCTTAAATCGTAGAATAATGAATTCTTATGTATCCATCATATACCCCTTGAGTTTTCATAGACCCATAGCGTCATAAACTCTTCGACTAATAAACGCTAAAATGGTTCATCACATCGAAATAAACCCGTCAAGGGTTTAATGGCGACTTTTTTAAGTGCAGGGGTAGATCATTACCCGGATTTTTTTATCCGTGTAATAAACGGCGTGTGTGCACGATGCGGATGTGATTACATGCGTTTCGAGGATTTCCTCAGAAACTCTGTTATGTCCTAGACAACTAGATTCAGCAGATATGGAAGATATAGGAATAGAGAATAGAGATGCTGGAGATGTAGAAGATATAGGAGATACATAAGAATTACTGTCACATCCACGTCAGAAGATGTCTGCTGTGAGCCCTTCCCCACATCCGCATCTGGCGATGCGTATTGTGATTATCTATAATATCTCCATATCTACATTATCTGCTGAATCTAGTTGCCAAGGACATAATTGAGTTTCTGAAGAAATCCTGTGAACACATCATATGACTCAACTGAATATCAACACCCACGCCATCCACCCCCACCCCCACGCCCTAGATACAAGGGTCAATCATCTATGCATATGTATATACGTAATTTATAAGGTTGAATAATTAGAAATAGATGGATGTTAGGTGTGAGTGTCGGTTGTGTGAATGTGGATTAAAGGAAAATAACACCCACACCCACACCCTCGAAATGTCTGCATATTTTGCAAAGTTTGATAAACATTGTTCTTTCAATAGTGGCAAATACGAGGAAAATGTGAATGCTATTTTTGCTGTCTATCAGGTGTACTGTACCAATAGATATATTGTCAGATGCTCATTAAAACATCAACGCTATATACTGTCCCTCCGTTTGCATTGTATAACCAAAAGGATATACTGTATGTATGACCAATAGTTGTCGAAAATGTTTGACTGAGATAATCGGGCGCGCCAATAGCCCCATCTAAATAGAAATTCGTACCAGAGTAAGCCACATACGGATAACCATACACAGTAGTGGGCCCTGTTTCCACCTGACCAGAATATTGTGACCCGCTTGGATTGCAATATGCCCATGGCACTATACTGCCTGTTTCGAAGTCACCATTGGTAAGTAGCTGAATGCTAGGTGATGCAGTGTCGCATACAGTTACGTCATCAAGGGCATAAAAATATTGATCTTCTTGGAGAGCAAACGTAATTCGTGTTGTATTTGCAATTGCTAAATAAGTATATGCATACTGAACATAAGTACTCTGAACAGTACAATTATTGAAGCAGTGATAGAGGGAGACGATACTTTTCCACCCTGATGTACACGTGTTGTAGGTAATCGCTGAAATCAAGCGAACAAACGAAGAAATTTTCGCTAAAATGTCTTCTTTAGACTACTTACTAATAGTAGCTGCAGTCGTTGTGGTGGTACCTGGTAAATATAATAACAAACCGTATGAAAAGAGATGAATCTCAATTTTCGTAGTAATGCTACTCAATCATGCGCATGAAAAGAATATGACTGTGAATGCCTGCATCCATATTAGACTCACGCTCAACATTGATTGCGACCAGGCTATGAAATAGGCTAGGCCAAATTACCTAGCCTGACTAGGAAGCTTTGGAACTTCAAGATTGATATATGCTCTTAAAATTCGACATACATGTACTGAGCGCTAACATTATACTCCAGAGCTTACAATCATTGATGGAAAAGTGTTTTTAGATCCCGAACAGTTGTATGGTGAACTTTGAGATCTCTTTTTTGTCAAAACATAATCGCTGAATGCAAATATTCTTGTTCTATTTTTAATCGGTGTCACTGATGCCTTACAATTCCGTACTATACTTTCTTTTACCTCCTCATTCAATACCTGACTATATGTTTTTCTAGGTACTGCAATTATATTTTTTCGATTATGAGCATACATCGCAGCGCTTGTCAAGATTCCAGGGAAAAAATTATTTGCAAAGAACGTCTCCCTTGGAATTTATCAGGATACTGTGATGTATGATTATGAGAGATAAAATCGATATGAACAAAGACATTAGACTGATTATGATCTGTCTTGAATGAAAAAATTCCATAGTTTCTATTTATTTGTGTTGCTGTCTATCACAAGAACTTTTTATTATCCTGGATTCATGTTAATTAATTCAGTTAATAACTTCACCTACGTAGGATAGTGAATCGATGATTGGGAGGAATCCGCTTTTGTCTTTACATTATGAATGAATAGTTATCTTCGAAAGTGTTTGTAAAGGATGAATAATGATAAGAAATCAACAGAACTCACAAGTAACACTAGAAATATCGGAATTTATGGAAAATCAAGGCAGTTAATAAAAATCATTAGAAACCAATAAATATTAGGATTCTCCTTTTAATTTTCACATTGAAGATTTTCTATGGTATAAAATAATGTCCATGTATTTCTAATAATTTTCAGACGTTTCCAATGGGTGCTGATGACTTTCAATAAGTTTTAATCATTTCTAGTCACTGATCACATTCTTAATGTCTTATGGTAATTTCTAATAATTTCTAGAACAGAAATCTGTCTGTTGCCCCCTGAAACAATCAGAAGCCTCAATCGATCTGCGTTGGTTTGTTCACGTTTCAAGTTAGATCAGTTCGAGTCAGGTGAAAAAAGTGGGTTGTCATCAGCATCGATTCAAGTCTGCTTCTACTATTTTTCTATAAACCATGCTACGAAAACTTAACGATAAATTACTAATCTGTCCAAAGGATCCCAGTTCCAATATCTAGGGTACAGTCAATGGTAGAGCTATACTAATAATGTCACAAAATAGGCATCTGACTAACTTGTTGTACTGGTGCTGGTAGTTGTTGTACTCGTGCTGGTAGTTGTTGTACTCGTGCTGGTAGTTGTTGTACTCGTGCTGGTAGTTTTTGTACTCGTGCTGGTAGTTTTTGTACTGGTGCTGGTAGTTGCTTGAGAGCTAGTAGTCAGAATTGGTGATGTAGTCGACGAAATTGAACTCACGCTAGTAGTTGAAGTAGTATTGGCAGATGACCCATTACAAGTATTGGCAACTATAACAAGAAAACTAACATTCGTTTTAAATAGCCGTTCTTTATACTTACCATCCGAATCATTCATTTGGCTTCGTGGCCAAGTGAAGAGTAAGAAAATCGCTACGGCAAGACCAACTGACAATAATACAATTGCCGCCAGCATTCCCCATTCGCAGCATGTTAGGAACCTAGATAAACAAAAAAATACAATACCTATTTAATATCTATCAGAGTAACGTACGAGCCCGCCGCTCCTGATGCTCGAATTCTTCTCGTAGAATCATCACAGTCTGACATCGGCAAATCAGGTGATGAAACTTCACGAATACCATTCAAATTAACAAGAATGCTTTGAATTGGTGGTGTGGTTGGTGGACGTAGTCGATTTACCATAATCTACGCAATCAACAACAAAAATTTATTTATAATTACTTGGAAAGATCTATGGCTCGAACAAGCCCTTACAGGTAAACGATGACGTGTATAGTAGCCGCTTGGAATTATCTCACGGGTAAACATTGTGTGTCGAAGCTCTCAAATGAAAATGATGAATGAAATACACTCTGACAATTTGTTCTCATTATAAACATAAATTTTTTCCGATTTCTACGGTGAGTACTACTTTAAACTTAGGTTTCATGATTTTATGCCATGCATATAGAGCATACGTAATGCATGAATTTTAACAAAAATATATTCAAAGTAATCAAAATACGCTTTCAAATTCATTAAAATTGCAATACAAAAAGATAACTACTCAAAGAAGCCTACGATCTCGAAATGTTCTAATACGAACTAATGTGTGTGTACATTCATTAGCCCAAAACGTTTTGGTCTCTTATTTGCACAACTTTCATTTGCTTTTTGCCATTAAATAAATCGTCGTCAATGATTGTTGATGCAGCTACGAAAACAATGAATAAGAATGTAACGATGCACGTGTGACGAAAGTCTATCCACATTTTTTTAGGCCAATACTTGAATATTTAGTACAATAATTAGTATTCTTCGCATTTAGTATTTGAAACTCTCGAGTACAAAGAACGTTTTATGTTAGTACACCCCATCTTAAGAGGGTACTATCTCTGGTAAAATAATAAGTCTAGATTTTTCAATTTTAATTGTTTTTGAAACTCTTTCTGACTGCACTGTTGAAGAATGCAGATTTGCCGAGGGTGGGGCTCTCGCCAATTTTATATTGATACCATAACCACACCCTCAAGATTTTGCGTGAAAAGTAGTGCGCAGTGAAAGTTGAAATTAAGAAGTGGAATGTATTCTTTTTATTTGAGTTCGTCCCATAATGAAAAAAGTCGGATCAGTATTATTTTTAGTTTAGATTACACTGAAATCCATGAAGCGAGCGACAAATCTAATTAGTCTTCATTGGTTTTAGCACTGCACATTAAAATAATCTTTTTTATTGATCCTTTTACCCAATTACAATTATATTCTGAGCACATTTAATTATCTATCGCTATTGGACACATCTCTTACAATTTTTCATTTATTTTATGTTATTTCCATTGGTTATGCACAAAAAATAATCCGTTAAGAGAGATGCGACAAATAGATAGGGACGAACAGAACGAAAAGTATTTTTCTGCGACGAAGTGATCGGGTGTGGGTATGGGTGTTTGGATGGGTACACTTTCATTTCTGTTGTCATATCAGCCCACACCCACACCCCACATCCACATTCTCAAGTGAGAATAATAGTTACAACCACACCCTACTTCATTTGTACGACAAACGATACAGCCTAAATGAATACACTGACAATATTTGTATAGATGACCCGGCAAACTCTATCTAAGTATGATAAAAAAAACACCAAAAATTTGCTCAAGTTTAGAATCGTTGTCAATACCAAAGGAATAAAATTTAAAAAAAATACTTTGAACAATGTAAAAAAACGCTATTCAAGTTTTCTGCACGAATTTGAGTTAGTAATTAGTTGTTGATCCTTCTTTCAGCTTGCTTGTATTGAATGATGACTATTTCCAATATAAACAGTTCTTTTAGAACGGTGGTTCAGTTTCGCCTCATTAATATCTCTGATAAATTTTTTTCTATCAGGTATATTATCACAATCTTGTCCATCTTCTCTAGTGCCTACAGTAGAATATATTTCTACATTAAATTTTTTTAATTGTTCAAAAGCAAGAGGTTGGCGTCCTTTTTTCGTGGAAATATCAGAAATTTGACGCAATACTTTTTGACGCTCAGATTCAGTAGTACTTTGCAACTGCTGATGACATTCTTGTTTAGCTGTCTGTGATTTCATTGCTAAATCCTTAATGCACTTATTTGAATCGCTGACAACTTGTTCTTTTCTAGCTTCGACTTGTTTTTGTACTGAATCTAATTGTTTTGACATTTCAATTTCTAATTTAGCAATAAATTGTTCTATTAATTTTCGATAATAATCATCCACTACATTCATTTGTGAACCACCCTGCTTTATTATTTTATTAATAATATCCTGTCGTTCTTGGACAAGTCGATTGATAACTTCTTGTTCTAAGGACGAAATTTTCGATACACGATCATGAAGTATTGCATCAGCTTCTACAGCAATATGATGAAGTCTGTATATATATCTATTCATTTCGTCTGGAACAGATGAGCTATTACAACCATTCGTTTGGCTTTGAACGTATGCCACGATATCCGATAAATCTCCGTGAACAAAATATTTTTCCTGCCAACTGCTCTTTTGGGCTTCTTTCTGTCGATGTTTTCTACTGCTCAAAGGCATTTCAGGATTCGATTCAAACTATAATACAAAATGAAATTAATTTTCTTTTTATTTAATCAACTAAGATGTTAGAGAATACATTAATTAGAGGATAATAATTCATGTAGTACAATTAGAAAAATTATGCGATGGAAAACTGATGTAATTATTGAATTATAATCGAAAAAATAAAAAACCAATTGTGCCCGAAGAGTATGAGACTGTTGAAATCTTGTTTACGCAGCTCCTTTGAATCTGAAATGCGAAGTCAAGGCAATAACCAGACGGATGGCTTCGTCACACCATCTCAGCATCTTTTCGGCACTATTCAAAATCTTTTGCTACTGAAACCGCGTTTATTCCAATATAGTGGAAACAAATAATAAGTTCAAAAACTAACTAGTCAATAACAATAGAAATGCATTATACGACTCCACACAGATACGTTTGTCTGATTTTTTGGATATTTGGACACATCAATTGATGATTTGATAGATGGTTGCTTCTTTTGGGGAACAACTAGCATGCTATTTGTTTATGAAGATATTTTGTTAAAGTTCTGAGGCAACTAAGAAAATTATTTTTCATATGCTTTGAATTTATCTAATTATGGATAAGACTATGTGTGGTCATTTAGTATTGATTTAACAAACAAATATAAGTCAACAAATAACGAATTACCTTTTTGAGAGCTAATGTGATAGAAAGAGTGCTAAAACTAGAGAAATCAAATCATGATTATTTTGCTCAAGTTAATTTTGTATTTTCCTATGGCTCAATTTTTCATGTCTGGGAAATCTCCACTATCGAGAAAATGCTTAAAACGCTGTTCTATTGCAATTCTTTATAGTTCGAAAGCAATAAGTGTGCTGATTACAAATATAACATTTTTTTTCGAAAGTACTCCGATAATAAGAAAACCGTGAAGAATTTTCTGGAAGTGTTAAAAACAAGCTTTTGACACGGAAATCAATTAAAACCCGAAATAGATTCGTAAAAACAGGCACTGGCCAACGTTTTTTCTGAACTTGTAAAATATCATTTCGAGATTGAGTCCGAGTGATCAAGAAATTTAAATGGCTGCTTTGATGAAACGCATTTGTCCAAAAGTCCAGGAGGAAGAATAGGGGTTCATATTTCGACCCAAAACAAAGAGTCGAAGAAACAATGATTATGTTTTTCACAAATCGATTGCGAGTTTTAATTCACTTTCATGTGAAAAACTTGTTTTTAACACTTCCAGAAAATCCTTCACGTTTTCTCTGATTATCTGAGTACTTTCGAAAAAAGATTGTTATATTTCTAATCAACACACTTATCGCTTTCGAATTATAAAGAATTGCAATAGAATAGCGACTAAGAAATTTTCTCGACACCTGAAACGGATCTCAGATGTGAAAAATTGAATCATGAGAAAATACAAAATTAGCATGATCAAAATAATCATGATTTGATTTCTCTAGTTTTAGAACTCTTTCTATCACATTAACTCTTGAAAAACAAACTCTTTGTTTTTTTCATTTCATCTTTATCCTTTATTCTAAAAGAAAGTAAAGATAAAGAGTTATCCCTAGATACGACCAATAACGTTCATTAAAAAATTCCTGCAGTCTTGTCGCGAAAAACTAACATTGCAACTGTTGACCAATCGATTGAATCATCTGATTGCTGGAAGATATGAGCAAAGGCTAGCGGCATTTTATTGCGTGTTCTTGCCTTTTGAAGTTGCTGAAATGTATTCGATATTTTTTTTCAACAAGAAAAAACCTGAAACGCATTAAAAAGAAAATTCTATCTATTAAACTTTCAATCACATATTATATTATTCCGAAATCTTCATTCATAGAATAGAGGGTGGCCCAAAAGTAAGGGGAAAGGTAAGGAAATAGCATCTTTTTTTCAATTTATTCTTAATAGATCGAATGTTAAATCTCATATTTGAACCAGATATACTATATGATGCTACTCAGAGAAGCATCCTATCATTAGTACTTGGCTGTTACGATTTTGTTGAACAACGCAGAAAATTTTTTGTTGTACTCTAATATAATTATTGTTGAAGTTAATTGTTTGCCTGCTCCAATTTGTATCTATCTTTTTGTCCGCTGGCACCAAGGCGTACTAGACGATATAAATTATTTAAATTTTTAAGTGATTTTTAGCTTTTTGCATATAAAATTATTTTAAGATGCAGTCTAACAGAATGTTATCAAATGACTTCGAAAACAAAAGCAACCTTATGTGGTAGTCAAATAGTAGTGCACAGGAGACATTCGGGTATTTTTCAGCAAAGCCTGCTTATAGGGTGCTTTCTGAGTATTATTACATAATATATGTGATCCAAATATGACGTCTAACTGTCGATGTATGAAGGAAAAATTGAAAAGAATACCGGAGTGAAGGTACTCACGCTAGAAAATGTCAAGATAATTCATGAGTACTCACGGCTTTTGAGTACTTATCAGTAGTACTCGTGCTAGAACCTGAGCACGACCATCGAGTACTCGCCTTGGAATATTGAGTATTTTTTTAGCACTCTATGGGTTTATGTCAAATATTAATTGGTGTATATCGTGCTCAGTACTGTTGTAGTACAGCAGTTTTATCTGAATATAAAATTAATGACAAAATAATACAATCTACATACTGACGACTTGAGATAACAATCGATATGCGAACTATAAGTATTAATTTATTTTCATTATTTTTTTAACACAAATATTAAAGGTAAAGAAATCTTTGCCTTTATTTTAAAAAAACGTTAGATATTTCTCTTTACTTTTATATGATTCGAATATTTTTTTTTCTTGAAAACAAAGAAAGAAAGAAAATCTGGAAATAACAAGAAAAATTTTTTAGCACAACCCCCTTTGGAGCAAAAATGTGGATTACACATATATTCTCTAGTTTCACTAAACTAATACAGAATACGCAGAGTGGAAAATCTCTAGTAGACGATAGTTTGCAAGATAATTGAATATCACAGTAAGAACCTCGCTAATATCTGCATTTTGAACAGAATCTTTCTTGTTTTCTCTAATGGTGCCCTGTAATTTATTTGCATTATTGCTTTTTACTTTTCTTAATTCTTTTCTTTTAATTTCGCGTTCTTATTATTACAATAATGAAATTAATTAGTAAATAAGCCTTTTTTGTGTATCCGTAATATCTACAACCGATTTTACGTATTGTTATATTTAATAATCAGCTCACAAACATCTATATTGATTATCTTTCAAAAAGTCTGGAACGTCTCTGCAATGAGGACGGGAACCCAGGAAACTTCGACTTAAAATTTACACTTACTATCTTCTTCGAAAATATATATGAGCTCCACAAAATCTGTTTCTGATAAAATGTACAATTGGTAATAAATTTAAAAACTGTGTGATCAATAAATAAATATGATGAGCCAGCATTGTTGATCTTATATTTTCTTAAAAATAGATTTTTTGCTATTTCAAAACTTCATTGTTTTCGTTGATTGCTTAAAAAATAAAGAAACATCTAACTCTTCTATAAGGACAAAGAAATTTTCGTCGCTATCTCATAAAGTAAGAGTACGATGAACACATATTAATGGCAGTAAAATAAACTTGAGGAAAGATGAATGATAAATTATTTAGTTAAAATGAAAAATGCAATTACCAATAAACATAAAATATTGATTAGTATACAAAAAGAACAAATTAATACTTAAAAACTCATGCCTTCCTACAACCATCTAAGAATTTATAAAAAAAAAGGAATGAAAAATAAAATTATGCGTTTATAGTATTATCCACGTATCTTTATCCTTTGAAATTACAATAGATTTGTAGAAAAAGTCATTAGTTCCGTTTTTTCCAATATGTTTCACCATTAATCTGAAAACCTGACTGTTGATACAGAACCTTTCATCTAAATTTAGAAAATAAGATTAGAACGAATTTCGATTAAGATGTTGAAATGAATATTAAATCTTGCTCGCAAAGTTAACAGTTGTAAATGAAAAATCATTTTCTGTCTTGTGCTAAAGTCCCCATCCATCGACATTTTGTAAATTACTCATCACAAAAGAATAGAGAATAAAGTAAATAATCCATTAAATGATTTTTCTCTATTTCTTATTTAACTTCCAGAATCTTTCTTTATTGCCTAATTTTTATATATTATACAACATATAAGTGTATCAGAGTTGAGCTAAATATTCAATGAAAAAAGTTCATGAGTAGCTTGAGTACCCATGTTGCAAAGTCGTGCTCATTTGATGAGTATATTTGCTAGGGTGTGCTGTTTCCTTCCTTTTTTCCTGACCGTGGGACCACCCTATATATGAGTAAATTGTAAATCTTTTGTATCGCCTGAATAAAAAAGACATGGCTACTTAACCAAATTCAGCCTTTCTTTTTGTAAAATATTCTTCACAAGTGTTGCTAGGTTGGCTGCTATTGTCAACTATCTAGTAGATCTATGGCAGATCACAGTTCTATAAGCTGGTTCCTTTAATGAGAATTGGTTTCAGTGACCATTTTCTTTTTTAAAACCGGGCGTACTGACCAGTTATATTTTTCCAGAGTTGGTTCCGACTATGGGATGCCACAAAATGCAGATTCCGCCCTATAGATTGGCTATTTAGGCCTGCATATGTGTAGGACAAATGCAGAGCAGAACAACCTGTCTTTTAACGCACGCCACACGGGACGCTCAAATATAGGTGAGAGGGCAGTATGTCTTAACAAATAGGTCCGGGAGTGTACTATACAGCATGTGGATATGAGTGCAGCAAAGATCACACCCGCACCCAAAAATCTTAGACTGTCGAAGATTATTTTGTCCTCGAAAACGTTTTTTGCATACAACGAGATCAGTAAACTAGCATATAGAATTGTACGAAGTACCTTGCTTCACTTTTTTAGCCTATTGAAATTGCGACTTGGGGGATAGTAGATTTTTTATTTTATCATGGACATTTTTTGTATTTTCCTGTTAAAATGATTAGTATCCTAAGGAGCAAAGTCGAACAAAAATCATCCTTTACTTTAATGCTTCCAGAAACAATGTGTGAGAAGTCTGCGTCTTGGACGATTTGGTCTAAAGAGGTTACATCTGCTGGTGCTATGGAGATATTTGGGCATCTTGACGGTTGTTGTTGTGGGTCTAAAAGAATTCATTATTAGGATGCAAGAAATGAAAAGCTCTATCGTTTTTTTCCTTTCTTATATATAGTTAGGTAGAGCTCGACGAGGGAAGTAAAAGTATAGATTTTTTAATTTATTTGCAAGCTTTTTCTTAAAACAAATCAAGGGTGTGGGTGTGGTTTGGTACAATATGCCATTCACATAAAGCCCGACGTCTCCCACACCCACGCCCAAAATAGTATCTCAAGGTGCAGGGCACACGGAAGTCACTTTTTAAAATGAAGCCATTGTTCGGTCAATGTACAACCAGTTATATGATTTGGTTACCATTTTCTGATCCCTTTTTTGCGCTTAAAAAAGGACTATTTGAAAAAAGCGGCTTCCGTGTGCTCTGTATCTTGAGATGCTCTTTTCAAGAAAAAAAGTGGATATATGCAACAAACCAGGATCGCAAAACTTCGGATGCCACATGAGTCATTTTAGACCCTTGTTTGGCTCATATCTCCCTGAAACCTGAAGATTTCTGGCTGAAAAGTTGATGCTAGTCTCCCCTTTTCTAGTTCCAACATATCTTGAAAATTTCATCTAATTTGGGCGTTGTTGGGCGGAGATCGATTTCATATGATGGGGAATTTGAATTTGCGGCAAAATCGATTTCATTAAAATCATCTCTATTTGTGACAAAATAAAAACTGTACTAGTATACCGCTATACTATACGATGGGGTACCTAGTGTGGGTGTANGAAATACGCATTAAGGGTTTATTACAGGGTAGATTAATCTGAGATCTATTGCTAAATACGCAACTAAAACTAAATCTATGTCTATCACTTATTTTCGAATTCATACCATGCAGTTGGGTGTCCATTTATATTCAGTAGTGTCAAACTTGAAACTTGAATTCAACTGAAACTTCAAGTTTCAAGTTTCAAGTTTGGCGTTATTGCTCTGACACTACTGCTTCCCCGGCACCCACACCCTTGAAACTTGAAACTTGAAGTTTCAGTTGAATTCAAGTTTCAAGTTCGACATGTATGTTTATATTCGAATTCGAATTAGGCATCTCATGGCAAAATATGGCTTAAAATACAGAAACATAATAAAGTAGGGCTAAAAATATGTAAAATATCCATCATCATATAGTTTTTAATGCAGAATTTGTGCATATAATGTAGATTTTCTAAAGCAAAGTTCACTCGACAAACCCATGTATATAACACTTTTCGGTGACTATCAAAGAGAGTATATTTTGAGCATGAAAACATTGTCATCAATGAGGGCGTGGGTGAAGGTCTTGATCTGAACACCCACACCCTTCAAATTGTCCGCATTTTTGAGTTTGACATCTGACAACACTGATTTGGACCGCCACTGACGTCTATCAGATATTGTTATTGAATTTTTGGAGAGCTTCACGACTCTTACAATAAAAACATTTCTTATCACAAAACTCCAGTTGTAATCTAAATGATTTTACAATCCATTGTGGTTTTATAGTTGCCTTTATATATATATATATATAGTGATGCAGCGGAGACAATCATACATCTCCTTACCGTATCGGTTCCTGCTCTTGAGACAAGTGAAACGATTACTGGTTGCTTTCTCTGTCACCGCTTCTCTCAGATTTTCACTAGTCTTTATCAGTACTCACGAGTTACTATGCGTAAAAGTGACTCCTTGAATTATTTGTCACATCTTAGGTTTTCTTTTAATTGATTTTGTTTCATCAGGGAAGACTTTTTTTCGCAAAAATAACAAGTTTTTTTCATGAAGGCAGGTCTGCAGTAATCGAAATCGAGGAATCCAAATTTGCTATCAGTTTCTAACTAAACACAATGCTGATTTCGGTTTAAAAAAATGTATTATTTTGCCTGAATACCATCGCGTTATCGAGAAACCAAAATGGTGAATTTTGGCAAACTGATTACAGATTCGGATTCCTCTATTGATTAGTTGCGATCAAGCTTGGCAGAAAGACTGTTATTTTCGTGAAAATCCTTTCACTGATGCCAAAGTCAAGTTCAATAAAATCAAGAATTTGACAAATAATATAACGATGAATGTTGCGAATAGTTACTCCTGAGTTCCGGTGAATACCGGCGAGAACTGATGAGTATCACCGATTACCGCTGAATACATGTGTTCTCATCATTTACGGCAGAAAATGGAGAAGCCCTATGGAAGGCCTTTAATATTTTCATAACGAAGATTTAAAATGAATTAAGGTCATTCCAAAAAATCACCGCAATAAAGTGCCCCTCACATTTCTCAGCTGACGACGATTATAATAGTTCTAAATAATCTCAGGTAGGCGAATACGTTAAGTGATATGATCATCCCATACAGTTTTAGGTGTTAGCTAGCCGTAAGTTGATGTATCGATAGCCACCGTATGGGAACTGTGCTCATTTAATCTGTATCATTAAATTGACAGCGGCGATAAGCGCGAATTCCGGTTCAGAAGCCACTGCTTTTTTTTCTAAAGTGAGCCACATACTCTCGTTCTTCTTATAACTTCCGTATGTTTTTCGAATAACCCAAAGGTCCCATATTTCAAAGTGCTTTTTCTTTTTATCAGTTCTCCACATTTTTGCCGACTTTCAGAAGTAGAAGAAGACATATGAAGCTGTTTTTATGCACCATATCGAATGTGTCGGTCAAAAAAAACTCTTAGTGATCCTTGTAAAATGGATTTTCCCAGCCAACTTTGCCAGACTCTTGGTGTTCTAATTAAAAATCATGACAAGTCGTTCCAATTGACTCCTTTGATAATGCGCATGAAAAAATTCTACCTATCCTTCTTTTCCATCGAAATAACAGCAGAAATCGCGAAAAACTCATCAAAACAAAAGAGTAGCAAAAGGAAGGGCGGAGTGCGGATGTGGGGTATGAGTGTGGCTTTCGGCAAGAGACATACCCCACGTGCTCCAACACCAAATGGGGAACAAACTGATTTCTTGATCTCTTTTGATTTCTTTTGATTTCTTGTGATTTCTAGCATTAAAAATCAGTTTGTTCCCCCTTACCAACACCTACAATCCCATTCACCCACATTCGCACCCTTATTATTTATGGGAAAGAATGCTATTGGACAATGTGGCAACATGTTATGGTACGTTCGTTTCTTTATTCTAAGAACATTTCTTACCAGAGATGGTCTGTTTTGCTTCACAGGACAATATCTGCTGTTTCTCATTATAGATGTGTCGAATAAGGGGAAAATGCTCGTTTAATGAGGATGTATTGGGCGAAAAAAAGTTGACACTAAGGCTTTTCTGAGAGGCAAATAGAGGACTCTCTTGTAAATTGTGAATGATAAGACAGAGTAGAAAACCGCGTGTTTTCTAACGTGTCGATGGCTTTATCACTTCTACTTCATTTATCCAAAGGAATCCTCCATTTTGAGAAGAACGGTCTCCAGATTTGTTATTGGCACTAGTTGTTCTCATAAATGAATGTTTATATTTGACGTTTTCTAGATAATCATTAGACATGGGTTCATGTTGTTGTAAAAAGAAAGTGTGTACAATGGAAGCTGATAAAATTCAATCTAAAGAAATAGCAACTGATACATTAAAAGTTAATAAAATGGAACCTAACGAAATAGCAACCCGTACAATGATAATTGATAAGATGAAAACTAAGGAAAGTACAACTGGTACATTAAAAGTTGATAAAATGGAAATTACGGAAATGACAATTGGCACACTGAAAATTGGTAAGATTATTAAGCCCCCCTGTTAGCGGCTAACCCTCGTTATGTTTTTCTCTCTTTTCGTTGATCTGTACTATCTCAGGTCATTCTTTATTTTGCACTTATATTTCTATATTTTTTTCCAAACCATCGATATATACATATCGATGGTTTTTCAGTTAGCAGTATGTGTGCGCGTACGTATGATGTTTGTTTTCGATTTGAAATAAATAAAAAAGAAATCTAACATAAAGCTCTCTCTCTCTCCTTACTCACTAATATCCCCTCTCTCCGCTCAAAAATCGATGAGTTGGTGGGGAATTTGATTTTGCGGCAAAATCAAAATGCTTATACCGCAATACCGCAATAACAATTGCGGTATTGCGGTCTAGTGGCATTGCGGTATAGCGGCAGTGCGGTATAGCGGTAGCTAGATGTTACATATCCCGTACAGAGACAAAGCGGCAAGGGGGAGAAGGTACCACCCCCGCACCCTCACTAGGTACCCCATCCCCACACCCTCACTGGGTACCCCTCCCCACACCCACAGTAGGTACCAATCCTCGCATCCACACTAGGTACCCCTCCATACACCCACACTAGGTACCCCATCGTATAGTATAGCGGTATACTAGTACAGTTTTTATTTTGTCACAAATAGAGATGATTTTAATGAAATCGATTTTGCCGCAAATTCAAATTCCCCATCACATGCCCAAGAATGGGTGTTGCTGATAGCCTTCAAATCAGGAAAATGTGTTTCTTCAGTAGTTCCCCGAAGATGCGGCGTCTCTGCGTCAGAGGCGGCATCTTACGGAGGGGTCTAGGCTAAAAATCAAAAAAATATGTTTTCATCGGGAGATGCGGGAGATGGAGATGCCAGAGATGCGGCGTCTCTGCGTGAGACGCAGAATGAGCTTAAATAATTTTACATACGCATAGTATTTGTATTATGTGTTAGTTATAGTTTTGTATGACGGCGTCTCCCTTGGCATCTCCAGCATAGTGGCGTAACCAGGGTAGGGCATGGTTTGGCTGAGCCCAACCACCCTAGCTCTGCGCCCTACCATCAGCCGTTTAAAAAAAATGATTTTTTTTATAACTCTAGACCCAAAAAAACACGGCACGTTTACTATCGCTCTGATCTATTTTTTAGTTGATACTAAAAACTTTTACATTGCGAACGTAAGCTAATTTTTTCTCATTATGCATTTAAATTAAAATTCTCTAGCAGATGTTGAAAGATTCAAAAATAAACAGTATTAATTTCTATACTGAACTATTACTCTAGCAAAGTAGAATTTGTTTGAATACGTTTCAACACACAAAAAGAGAAAAGTCCAGAAAAAGTAGGCTCCTTTGTATGACAATCGAAATTCCAAAGTGTGAGCGAAAAACTGTCACGTTTCTTTCTTTCTGTGCGTTTAAACACTTTTTCGGGTAAAAATGCGTGTAAATGCATCTAAAAACGACGAAAAGTAGTCGTTTTTACATACCTGAGAACCCTAATTATGATCCCATCGTCGATAGTTACTATGAAAAAGGACCATTTGTTGTCTTGTTCAAATATATTTACATACGTTTTCTGACTGAGAACTGATGTAAACACTAGGAGAAGGCAAAAATTAGCGTTTTCGCTGACAATCGGGAACCTCGATTGTCATTCACACACGTGAATTTTTTTCTCTTATTGTGCGTTTAAACGCGTTTTCAAAAACGTTTGCCTGATTAGATGTCACTCAAAAAAACGTATTTCCAATTACTATATTTCTTGCCGTTGTTGCTATCGCTATACTTGTTTTGCCTATCACTCACAAAAGCACATTTAATAAGATAAAATTTATAGAAACAATCGCACGTAGTACACTATCAAATACTTGGTTAAGGGATTTGCGCGGTTTGGCGGTGGATCATGATTTTCACATCAATTTTGAAAAACTAATGGAGAATTTTGCTGATTTTCACAAATACAGTAGAAATTTTTATAATAAAGCCTTATAATTCTGTATTTCTTTTTAATAAGCAAATGAAATTTTTTTTTAAAAAAAAACATTTTTCAAGTAAAATGCATTATTGCATTCTTGTTCTACGAAAGAAAGTTATACATCAGCAAAAATAGGTTTTTGGGAAAACGTTAGGGCGCAGCCCAACCACCCAACAAATCCTGGTTACGCCTCTACTCCAGCATGCCCGATATTTCGGATATGTGATACCTCTCCACAAAATCGTTTTACATTAACAAAAATACTAACTAGATATATCAAAGAGACGACAAGGAAGATATTTTTCAGACAATCGACGCCCCTGTTGTAAAAAAAACCCTGCAGATAAAACAAAAGATAATAGCTGTGGTAATTATAATTGGTACTATGCAGTTTCCCATGATATACATTCATTATCGTTCTTAAACTTTTTATCTTCTTCATATAATAAAACTTAAGAAGAAAATATTCCTTCTCAAATGAAGAGATCCCACTTTACTTTTGATTTTTTTTATCATCGCAATAAGTTTTTCTTTTGTAGATAAAATCATCTTTGCGTAAAAAGTCTGAATATTGTACGAACTTGAATTTACTAATATTAACTATGGCTACGCTAAAAGGAAGCGAACTTAAAAAATTCAAAATTTATGAAAATTGAATATATATAATTATCGTCATATTCTCTTTCCCCCCTCTCTCTCTATATATTTATTCTTAGCATAACATAGAAAATATCAAAACTATCGAAAATGTGTACGATAAAAAAAAGCAGTATAAAAGTTTTTTTACGAACTAAAAATTAAATTGAAATCATTGCTGAATTGAAATGTACAATAAGATAAAATATATCATAGTTTGTCTTGTTGAGTCATCCGCATACAAGTTTGATGAACGCTGACTTTTATGACATTCGTTTTAAAATAATGAGAATACACATTCTGCATGTAATATTTGAAACGACTATTGCATCATTTTCAGCCTTTCTGTTTCAGAAATAAATACCGATTTATCGTTTATTTTCACTCCATAAAACCTATTTGTCGATAGAAAAATAGCCTAATTCAAATATAAAGTCTTATCGAACCAATCCGACAACTTCTATTGAAGTTAAAAAGATATAATTTTTTACTCTTACATTTGTTTGTATCAAGAAGCCTGCGGACATGGATGTTTGTGTACGAAAACCATTTCAGAAAAAGTTTTACGTTGACTTTCGTGTTTTTACGAAACTCAACAGACCGCGAAATCCTATTTTTAAATTTTAGAATAGGGCCGATCCTCTTGTAAACAATCTATGAAATCTAACAAAAAAGCAATGTTTTGAATTCAAATCCGATCTTAATATAAAACGATGCATGACTGTTTAATCAAAGTGAAAAGCGACTCCTACTTTTTATACGTTAACATCATAGATTTCTTCCACAGTCATTTAGCTCTATGGCATCATCTTTGTTCTAACTATGCTGAATGCTTCTAGAACAAGTAAGCCAATGCAATAACCAATGGTGATCAAAATTGAAAGCGAAAATGAGAAGATTATGCTAGACGATAAAATATTAAGTAGCTAGAAAAATTATTCCTGAATCACAAAATTCCAAAAATAAATGACGACTTGAATTTCGTAGCAGTGGTAGATAAGCTTCTATTTCTATTTATTTCGAGAAGTGCTTTTTTTCTCATCGAGACTCATTTGGTCAGAATTGTTGAATAGATTCATATTTTCAGTACATTCTGTCTTCAGGTTTCTTTTATTATAATAAATGCTTAATGCTATTTTAAATGATAATACTTTCTACTTCGTCTTTTATAATTATGTTACAGATATTTCTCTTACGAACTTTGTACTTTCATAAAATATTGCCTTCTTGTTACTAATAAGTATTGAAATTATTACTATTTTAGTGTTTGATATACCATATGACTGCAATCATCATAGAACTACGTTATGTATTATAAATGTTGAATAGAAAACTAATAGAAAAGATCACCTGCAGTAACAAGATTATTCTTCTGACTGTGTAAACAAAGGTAGAGCCAATAAAGAAGAAGAAAAAAAAGTCATTCATTATTTTTCTTCTTATTCTTCAATAATGTTTCATCCTATTGTATTGATACTCGGAGGTCTAATTTCTAATTTTATATTGTTGTTAGGTGTTTATCAATAGTAATAATCTATAGTCAAGCAATAAAATAATATACATTTGTTGTTTCGATACGGTTTTTGAAGAAAAATCAACGGCTCACAAAATAAAATAAAATAGTCGTCTGAAGAAAAGACTCATTTTGAGACAATTTTTAATGAAATAAAAATATAACGAAGAACATGAAATTCAATGTTTTGTTTTATTATATTTTTTCCTATGTCTCTCTCTCTCTCTCTCTCTCTCTCTCTCTCTGCCTTTTTTTTGATCAGATCAAATTTTTCATTTCTCATTAAAGACAATGTCGGACACAAGTCGGCCAACATCTCGTTGGTTATCATCAGTGCCGACGAGAGTAAAATCCAATAATAATCCAACGAGACAAGCCATACCATTAATATTAGCCCGAAGAAAATTACTTCGATCAGCAAAAAATCATCAACAAACATTTGCACAACGTATGGCAAAAGTAAAGCATGATACAGAAGAATTATATCAATTATACTATTCAAATAATATCAAATTTGACACATTTCAGCAACAAATTGTTACTGGTAAATATGAAATCTTAATATTTAATGAAATTAATCGTTTTTTTTCTTGCTTACATTAGGAACACGTATTTCCTCTTTACAAACATCACCAACTTCATACCATCGTTTAAATGCGATTTCAACGAACACTTTTGATTCTCGACATTGTGTTAGTCGTGAACAACTGAGTCAATCAGATATGTGTAGTATGTAGTTTATAGATTTTTTTTCTTTTTCTATGATGATTTTTACGTATTCTATCAAGATGATGAAAATCAAGTATCATACGATGAACAAAAACAATCACCAGTGCCAGTGAAACGTTCAGTTCAAGTTCGAATTGATAACAATCCAACGACTGCACCATCGACTCCTACAGCATCATCTCGTTCTTCCTCGCCAGAATTTAGAATATCTATAAGTTCGAATTCTAATTTAAATACGCTAGATAATTCTTCATTCATGCGACAAGATGAATTTAATGAGTCGACATTGAATAAGAAGAGCAGCTTTTTCGTAGATCCTCCGGCTGACTCTTTTGAGGATCATAGTATAAAAGCAAGAAAAGCAGCTAACAATATACAGTCACTATCAACAAAATTATCATTAATCAATTTACATTCGCTTCCTCAATCGACTACTTCTCTAGTAAATAGCAAAAAAGATCCAATAAATACATCTTATTCATCATTTTCAACGATCAATTCCCTTGAACAACAAAATCCACCTCATATTCTTACGGGTAGAGCAGTCACAGCTCATCAACGATTGTCAGTACAACATAAACAACGAGCAAATACAAGTATAACTACGTCTACAAATTCATTTTCTCGACGAACTCCATTGAAGCCGAGGTTTGTTTGGTTTTTTTATGTTTTCATACGTTGAAAGTAAGAATGGGGTGCAGCAAAAAAATGTATTTGTTATCGTAAGAAAAAGTTAAATATATATATTATATCGACATCGAACTTAGCTAGCAAACACTATAGTTTTATGGGCGTGTTTGTTTTTTCTAAAAATATTAAAAATTTGATCTGCCCGATCGAAGTTGCATTGACATAGTATCATATTTAGAACATAAACTATTCGATTATATTTTTTCTAATTTTTTGATTATTTGAACAATATTTTTATTCAGTAGATCAAAATCTTTATTTCTTTCATCATGAAAGATATGAAAGAAATTCTCTAGAACCACAACAAATAAAAATTTGATATTCGATGATGTGCTAGTTTTTCAATATTTTTCATTCGACATTTTATATTAGTGTGTAATGAAGTTCTTTCTCTGTAGAGTTCTGCTTCGGATGCCAGTAAGAGTCAGATTCATCGTCTATTGATAACAATTATTACGCAAAATCAGCTCTTTCAATAGTTTTCATCGTTTCAACCTACACAATTATGACTTCTTTTTATGCACAAACTAAACATCTCGAGAAATTCACGTTCATTTTCTTTGATATTCTCAGTACTATTATAACTGTCTGTGAGTTTGTCAGTTTGATCGGTTCATTATTCTTGTTCGCTAAGCTCAATTTATGAGTATCGCACTGTTTCGTAAGTCTCCTTTTAAATATTTTTGTTACAACCACGAAAAATGTAAAGCTAAAAACTAAAACTACGCAATTTGTTGTAGTCCACCATCATCTCAATCTTCTAAGCGTGATTCTCCTGTATTCATTGGTGCACAACGTGTCGTATCGATTCCATCGAAATGCAGGTAAAAGAATATTTTCAACAAAACGAAATTGTTCCTTCTTTTTCTTTTTTGAATTAGTCGCTATGTTCTTGTTACGTTTCCACCATCTCCTATTCGTTATAATACTCCGACATACGTTGAACGCTTATTATTGCCTGAACGTTTTCCGACCTTGTTTCAAAATATAGTACATAGTCATGAACAAAACCGACATAATAAATAAATTAAAGCTTTTCATAAAGTGTTTTTTTTTCAAAATAAAATCAAAAACAAATTTAATTACAGAAAAATAATACCGGATAAAAACCTGAGCGAATACTCTTTTTTTCAAATCGGTTCATTTAAGTTCCATGAAAATGTAGTTTTTAACCGATCAAACAAACTACCCTTGGTAGCTTCAGTAGAAGTAGCTGCTGGCGGCTGTGGTGGTGGTGGTGGTGGTGGTGCCGGTGTCGGTGGTGATGCCTGTTCGATTGCTTGTTCTGTTTTCGTTTCATTATTTACACTTGTTGGTGTTTGCTAGAAGAAAAAGCAAACAAAATTCAATTTAATTAACCGATAACAACAAAAAACAAAATAAACAAGCATTTCAGCAACAATGAGATTCTTATCGACGAAAAAATGTTCTCTATAGATAATATAATCCATCGCCGTTTTTCCTACTATGATTGAAACTAAACTTACTTGTTTATCAATGGATTCCACCATTTTTTCTGAGGAATCTTCATCGAGCATTTCCTGAAGGTAATTCGATGGTACAAGGCCTTTCTTTCCATTTTCTAATTCTCCAGAATAAAATCCATCACTACGAACACTTCCATGTACATATATAATATCACCAGCATGAAAAGATAATTCATCGTGCGAATCTGCATTTGGTGAAAATTCATTCGCATCATATTCAAATACAGCCTGCATTTTTTTAATCGATTCTGGATTTGTTGGTGTCGACACAGGTGGCGTTCGTTTTTTTGATGATACTAAAATAAAAGCGATATAATGAAAAATAGTTCAACCTTATTAAATCATACCATTAGTTGATTTTGATTCAGTTTCAGAATCATTTGTTGCTACTTCTGACACCATATTACTTGGAACATAACCAATATGACCATTTTCTGTCTGACCAATGTAAAAACCATCAGCATCTCGATTACCATAGATCTATAATAGTTAAATACAGTACATGATATTCCATGAACATATGCAGCTAGTAAAAGTAAACTGGCACAAAAATAAATTTCATAGTACCAAACATTTTCTCAACGAAAATGTTTAGAAGCAACGATGAAAACTAGCGCATTCACACATGCGAATGTATCTTTCTTTAAATAACTTTTGAAAGTAAACTCATTCAAGTTTCTCACAGGGATAAGAATAGTTTTCGCTATAGTTTTAAATCATAATATAGGTTAAAAATATCATATGGAGTGCTTGAAAAAATCTAGTTCTATTCAAATGTATTGTCAAATAACAAATATTTTTAAGACACAACGAAACGGATAGATCGAATGACTAAAAGCAAGCAGAGTTCATCAGAAAGAACGTTCAGAGAGTACTGTCAAATATGCGTATTAATTCAAACGAATTCATCATGATAGAAAGAAAGTCCTAGAAATTCATTCTGAATCCTGAAGAAATGTCGTTACTATTGATAATAATCACTTCCTTTTAAATTGTCTTTTTTTGCAGGGTGAAAATGTTCATCATGAAACTTCTGATAGTAAGAGTAATGCTAAATAAGAAATAATTATTTTTAATTAATCTATGAAAAAGTTCATCTAGGTTTCAGTTATATTATATGTATATCTGTTGCTGCTTTGCCATAGAAGACAGAAAAATGCAAGTTCAATATTGAATAATAATCGAGTCAAACCTTGATAATTTGTCCTTGTTTGAATGGTAATTCTTCTTCGCTATTTTGATTTGGTGACATGGCTTTTGGATCATAATCAAATAAAGCGATGAAGGGTCGTGGCAACGTATTAGTTTTATCAAGTAAATGACTATTTCTTTCCGATGGCGGCTCTAATCGTACATTTTTATTGGGTGTTGTTGGAATTGAACGTTGTTCGGTGGACAACGGTGATTTATTTATATTAACATTTTCATTGGTCGGTGTTCGAATTCGACTCGAATCGGAATAATCATGTTGTTTAGTTGATAGTTTATTTTGTGGTATTGTTTTAGCACTATTTGGACTTAACTCAATTTGCGGTATATCTGTACTTGTCGATGATACAGTTGAAGGAGAGTCCAAGGATGATCGAGTTAAAGATTTTGTTACATCCTTTCCATTCACTGTAGATTTTATTAAAGAAGATGGACTACTCGGCATTGGTGGTGTTGAAGCTATTCGTGTTAATGAACGAGAAGTCTGAAAGAAATTCAAACATAAATTTAAGAGCCTACAAGTATTTTGTTTTTGAAATAGTTCATATTCTTATTAGATGATACAGTTCTATTCGTAGAAAGGGAAGATTTCGTGACGACTTTGTTTTACCTTTTTCAACACATCATCAAGATCGACGGGTATTGAATCATTTGATTCACCGCCATTGCCAGTTAATGTTCGAATAGTTAGGTATCGTCCATGATGTAATAGATTTCGATTTATACCTGTATGATCACCTGATAAAAAAAATTAATTTGTAAAAAAAGCAATATCTAAGATTCATTCTTACTTAATGGATTCGCGATATCGAGTATTTGATGTCCATCAATAAATATTCGATAGCCATGTGCTGTACTCATTGAGGATAACGGTTCCCATGAAACACGTACTGTATTTGATTGGGAATCAGTAGTAACTTGAATGTTTCTAGGTGGTTCAATTGATTCGTCTAGAGAGGGAAAAAACAGATTTCAATAAAAAATGTAGAATTACAGAGATAGAATCATATGTGATAATTTAAGTTGAAACTAGCAGGATTTCAATTTGTTTTTTTTGTTGTAGCTAATCTAGGATTCTAAAATTTTGATCCTACTTTTTGATCGCGTTGAAAAGTTTATAATTGAACCTGAAGAAAGATTTAATGATAAATAAACAATGGAATATTTTGATGAAATCTAAATGTTGCAAATGAAAATCATTCGATTTTGAGTCTGCTCATGATATCATTTGTTTCAGGCATTGTTTCTCTTGTTGCGTATAGAACAGTTTAAGAAGAAAAACGATGTTTTTTTATTATTATTAAGCATCTAATAGTACTCTTCGGATGATCAAATCTATTTCTAAATGATATTCCATATTAAAATATATACATCCTTCAGATGTCTTCCCAATATTTCGTTCTATGGAAAGAATTACTAAAGCTAGATGATAGTTCTAGGTGGTTCAAAGCATGAATCTTGAATTCATCATTTTATTTCTGATAATTTTCTAGTCCGTGCTTACCGTGGCTACAATCTCCTTTATTTACAATAGGCAATACATAATCTCGCTTCTAATTTCTAATCACTATTTCACACTCAGGTAGATCTATAGTTCGTTAGATTTTTGTCATTACTGTTATCTGAAGATATCGTCATGATTAACACAACATCTGGAACTTTCGTAATAAACTATTTTCACTGAGCTCTGTTTCTGAAAATGATTACACACTGAACTATCTTTAAGTACAAAATTTTCTTGACAATAAATTAAAGCTTGGCATTCATTTCAAAATGTGAATAGCGGATCAGAATCTATTGATAGAGTTTGCTCGCTAGACAAAAGACCCTATCCTATCAACGGCAATTTAACGTGTATTCATATATATATACCAAATGATGTTGTTCGAAAATCCATCGAAATTGTTAGATGCTGTTGTGGACTTGTTGCTATTGATGGTTTGGCTGTAATGCTTACTTTATTGTTTGTATTCGGTAATAAACCTGTTAGTTTAAAACGATAAATTCCTGCTTTAAATGTTTGTACTTCTTTATCATTAACAAATAATGCATGAATAATATCATTTGATGCTGGCCACCATGAAGCAACAGCCGTGGTTTGACTGATTCGATCAACACGCAAATCACTTGGCATATACGATAAATCTTTTGAATTTGTAAACAATAATGTACAGTATTGGTCACGCGATAGACCAAGTTGTGTAATTGTTCGAATACTAATTCGATGAAGTTTTTCAGTGAAGTTTATATTTTCAATTAATACTCTTGTACGTTCATTACCATGAATAGTTGTATAAAGTACTTGATCTAGAATAACTTGATAACCAATAATTTGCACATTAGATGAAGAAGGATGATCCCAAGAAATTAAAACACTATTATTCATAAATTTGTCAATATGAAGATTAATTGGATACGGAACTAAAAAAATAAAAATCAGGAAATTCAGACGAAATCTCCAGACAATTATTTACTGTGTTTTCCATAGGAAAGATCACTGTTGGTAATATCCGATGTATTACTATTACCTAAATAAATATTTTTTTAAATAAAATACATAATTAATATGAATTAAAGAAAGCTTTTACTTGACGTTCTGGTTTTTGGAATAGAAGTTGAAGAATTCATAAGAAAAGCATCTGAATCAAAGCTGAACATTGCTTCACGGTTCTGTGGGATGCGTTCATCCGACGGACGTTTGCTGGCCATTAATTTTTGAATACTATGTTTAGTAGATTCAGATAAATCATTGGGATTTTTTACTAATTCAATAAGATTCGACGGTACTAAACCATATCGACCCTCTAAATCTCTTCCATCATAGAAACCATCCTAGAAAAATAATTATTCAGTTAGTTTTTTTCCTTTTAATTTTAACATTTAAATTGAGAATGTTTACTTCATCAATATTGCCATAGATAACATAATATTCTCCTTGTTTCAAAGGTAGTTCAATTTCTGGATGATCATTTGGAGAAAATCTTAATGGTTCATATGAATATCTTGCTACAACCACTCGAGCTAATTTTTCATTTAAATTTGTTGATTGTTGACGAGGATGCAGAGGTGCACTATCATCTTGTTCTGATGTTTGAGAATCAACTATAGTGGATAATCGATTTCGATGAGTACTGATGGAAGGACTGCTGGCATTCGATGATGGTAGTGTACGATGTTGTTGTTGTTGTTGTGCTTCTTTTAATGAGTCTAATTGAAGAAGAATTCCTTCACGCTTTAAAGATTGTAACTCAGCTCTCCGTTCGAGATCGTGAATTTTTTCCTATATCAAAAAAGAAACACAAACATATAGAATCCAAACGCATGAAGAAATGAATAGGAATTTTAATTCAATTTTTTAGGAGAAATTATTTCAAAAGCTTTCAGAATTTATCGAATAAAAAAAACAGAGATACAAGGATCGATAGAGAAAACTAGACAATTCAGAAGTTTTAGTATTGGCTTTGGTTAGTGAATTAATTTAAGATCTACCGAGACATATTCAATATATGTATTGGTATCAAATTAGAGATATTATCTGTATCAAAGTATAAGCATAATAATTAAGAATGATCCTACACATTAAGTCTGAAGCTGACATTAGCCCTGAGTATTACTCGCCTGACCTTATTTTCAAATATATAGTAGAGTTAATAGAAAAATCATAAAAAGCCGCGATAAAAAAGTAAATCTTGCAAATTGCAAGAACTAATTATCTTTGACTTTTTAATATTAATGAAATTTAGTTACCTCTTTCTTCAGCTATTATTTTCATTTTTCATTGAACTGACGTATATCATAAGTCGTCTACCGAGCGTCGTCTTAAAATAAATTAGTCTTGATGACATAGAGGAAAATATTTTCCTTTGATCAGTAGAAGATCAACTGAAATGGACTTTTTAAATTAGGATTTAAAATTTCATAAGAAGTGAGAAAAAGTTCTCTCAGTACTGTAGGATCATGTTTTCAATGTAGAATGGTAAATTAACTAATCAATGAACTAGCATACTGGTTGTGCTGTGATAATACGCCAACACTTTTGGCTTGCATGAGATTAACCTGCAAGTACAGGAAACTCAAGCAGCTGAGCGAAATTACTCTTAGTCAAGACCGATTTTCTGTTTCCAGCTGTAGTTAGTAATAAGCGTAGAAAAAAGCACACATCGACTTCTCGAAATCGCTTCCAGGTAGTATTCCACACACCGGAAGGTAGCAGAAAGACAGAGTATTTATTTTTCCTGTTATTCTTCTTCTTCCAATCAATTAGCTCAATGATGGATTTAGACTCGTGGTGATTACGGGAAATTCCAAAAGTACTCGCCGTTCACGATAAACTAGAATAAAATGATGTAATGATCTACTGTCGAAAAATTTAATTTATGGTAAAGTAGGAATGAAAATAAATGCCTTTGTATGATTCTCATTTAACTTTTATGTGTTAGAGAAAATAGTTCGTTGAATGCTCATCTGAAATAAACTTCAACTACTTCGATATTTTCGAATGAGAACCCATACTGTTACTTAATTATATTGGAAATATTCTCGTCGATTAAAATAATACTTCTTCTATTCTATTTTTAGATTAAATTTCAAAAGCGAAATCTTAAATCTGCACATGATAAGTCAATACATAACTGTTTCAACGTAGTTTACAAAAAGAAAGAAAAACGATTTTACTCAGACATGCACTTGTTTGTTTTTAGCAACATTATGTCGCAACAAATGTGCATTAGGTTTTGGCAATTTGAAAAATAGTTTATCTGTTTCCATTAATGAACTTTTCACAAAACGATACGACAAATATTCTGATTTATTTGTTTTCCATAAATTACTAATTTGTCAAAAACTTCCACTGAGTAAACTTTTTAATCAAAAATGCAATCGTGTTTTTAATAGAGTGATAACATCTCCTATGTATCGGATATCTGTAAACTTTAATTATATAAAAACACTATTCAATTAGTCTTTTCAAGAGGAAAAAAATCTAGGTGAATACTTGAAGTAGATGAATGGTGGCTTGATTTTCTCGTTTTGTTGTATCGTGTATCTTTAAAAGTAAACGAAAAATAAAAAGAAAGTTTAAAAAAACATTTCTATCTAAACGAACTTTTTGAAATTGTTCATAGTGATCTTGTTTTTCCTTTAATTCTTGTTTATTGATTTCATTTTCAGTATTTAATCGTTTTAATACATCATTCGTATCTTGTAACGATTTAATTATTGATTCAAGATCAGAATTTTTAGTCTTTAATTGTTCGTTTTCACTTTTTTTTGAATCGAATTCATCTGCTTTCGCTACTAAAGCTGCTCGTAATGCCTCACATTCTGCGGTTAACTATTGAATTTAAAAACAAAAATTCACTATATGATAATTATATTTTTATCTGTGCTCACTCGTTCATTGGTGTTCGTCGAATTTTTCAATTCATTACTGAGTTTTGTATTTAACGTCGAGATTGTTTCAAATTCGTTGATCTAAATATTAGAAGACAAAAAAAACAAAACAGCGATCAGATTGCTCCAGTCTACAGTAAGATAATCAAAGGAGTCATTTCTTGTTTGCGCTATGAAAATGATTCCTTTCTTGATCAAGTGACTTACGCGCAGTTCCAGCTCTTTTTGTAAGTGATCCATTTTTATTTGTACATCCTGTTGATGATTTTGTGTAGATTTCAATGTTAGAAGTTCATTTTCTAATGCATCAATTTTTTGTTTTTGTTTATTTTGTTCATCTAAATCTTTATGATGACTTTCATTTTCTATTTTAAGCAATTTTTCCTTTAATTGCTTGTTTTCAAGTAGACAAGAATCATAAAATAACTTTTCTTTTTTATGAGGTTCTTCTATTGGTAATAGTTGATTATATTTTGTTTCAAGATCTTTATATGCCTGTTGAAGCTTATCATATTGTTCAAACTATAAGATGAAAGAAAATCTTCTTTAGTTAATGAAGGCAACGACAATCATGTTTTTATCGCTAACTATCCAGTAAACAAAAGAGAATAAAAAAGACCTGCAATTTAAGTTTAGCCGTATTGTCTTGATTAGATTTTGTCAAGCGGTCTAGCTCCGCTTTTAACCCTTCATTCGTTTTTGTCACTGCTTGATAGTGAGTTGAGTCATCGTAACATGTTGATGAGTCGCTAGATTTTGGAGAATTCAACGATTCTTCATTTGCACCGGCCGATGCAGTTGTTGTTGGCTACGAGAAAAAGATTTGAATCAATAGTGGAAAACAATAGAATAAAAATTCAACGCAAGAGAAAATCTGCGATAGAGTTTGTTGTAAATAACGTTTCGATGATCAAACATCACAAATAAATCCAGTAAAACGCAACGACAATGGGTTTGATATACTTAGCTGGTATTTTCTTCTGATTTGACACAAGCTTTGCGCATTAAAAACTAATATGATCATATGTGGCAGAAGATTCTTCTAGTCTTACTTTTCTGTTTGTATCTCTTTCTAAATTAAGTGATGGAAAAGGTAAGAAAAAAAAGTAACGAATCGGATTCTTTTCTCAGGATGTTATACACATGAAAATGCCCAGTTTTTTTTCCTATCAAGTAAAACGGAAACAGATTAAACGATGCGAAGAATTAAATATAGGTTTGCCTATTTCAAAAATATTTTCGATGTCATCAACATAACTTACACCCCCATTAGTTGTCGTAGTAGAATTTAACGATGATGATGATGACAAAAAGCGCTTTTCAAGATGTAATCTTTCGATATTCGATTGTCGTAATGCTGATTCAAGAAGATTTGGCTAAATAAATCTATCTTATTTAAATAGTTATCAATTTCATAAGTTTACTTTTGAATGTTGTCGAATTTGTTCATTTAATTGTTCAATTTCTTGATCTTTTTTCTTTACTAACTTATTGTATTCATTTGCTTGCTTAGATAAAATTCGTTTAATCAATTCTTTATCATGATCTTTCTAAATAAATATATAAAATAATGAAATGTTAACCAAAAACAAAAAAAAAGGTTTTTCTTTGTACCAGTTGATTGTTTTTAAGAATTTCTAATTGTTTTTCAAATTTTTTAATACGATCATTCAATTCAATATTTTGCCTTTGCAATCCTCGATCTTGTTCATCATACAATCGACGATTCTAATTTGATAAGAAAAGAAAACGAATATTAAATAAATCATTTTTTTCACAATAAATTAACAAAAGATAGAAAAACCCCGTACAGCTTTCGATTCTTCATTATCCCACAATTCATCAATGACAGTCACTTGACGAGTACTCTGCTCCATTGAGCAAAAGAAATGAATGTAATGAGAAAAAAAGAAAAAGAAAAAGAATATTGATGATGACCAGCTGGTGCCACACAAATGTGTACTCTAATATTATTCTTAATACTATTCGTTGTACAACGTAATATTGGTAAGACATGTTCTATTTCTTCGTACGCTAATTTGATGTTTGTTATTTTATTTCAAAATATCTTTTCTGATGGGAAGAAAGACATATAGAAGATTCAAATTACCCTATAAGATATGAGGACAAATACAGGTTAGGACATTTCTTAGGATGATACATATAAAAGAAGAAAGAAACAACAGAAGATAGAGAGAAAAGTTTGTCGGAGAAGGCTTCTTATTTGCTTGATTCTTTCAAGTAAGCGATTAAGTCGCGTCGTTCATCTTCTTTCTTCAATCCGGCGAAAATCATTTTGGTACCAGGAATGTATTTCTTTGGATCTTTTAAGTAAACCCAAAGTGTATCTTCAGCCCAAGTGATTCCTTTGTTTTTGTTAGCATCACTATAAGCAAAGCCTGGAACTTGACCAGTTGTTCGTCCGAATAAACCATTGAGGTTGGGTCCTTGTTTATTTCCAGCACCTTTTTCAACAACATGACATTGAGCACATTTGGTTTTGAAAATCTTGGCACCTTTTTCTACATCACCACCTTCCCATTCGTTACCCATGTCCTAATTTTGTTTTTTTGAAAAATAACCGACGAATTCAGAAGAAGGTTAAAGTATAAAATGTACTTCGTATATTCGACTCGAGAATCAGCGAGGAGCAAAAAAAATAGTGGTGAATCAAGGGAGGATGGCAAACAAATAACAAGTAAAATGGCGTCGAATCAATCAGAACCTCTAAAATGTTCCTCGGCTATGATGGGTAAGAAATGGAGGACAATACAAGGCAACTCACATGAGTAATGGCGGAGAAATCGTAGAGAACGCGCCATACAGAAAGAAAGAAACTGATTATTTAACTTACTGTTGAAGTAACAAGATCAGGATCATTGCTTCGTAAAATTTGTATTGGTTGAGTTTTTTTATTTATTTTCTCATTATCATCCGTGTTATTAGTTAAAATAGAATTTTTCAATTGTTCAATATCATATGATAGTTCAGTAATACGTTGATCACGCATGAGTAATTGTCGTTGTAAATAGCATACGAGATCTTTTTGATCTTGTTTACAAAATGTATTTAATTCATATTCAAATTGTAAACGAAGTTTTGTTATTTTAGCTGATTTATCAAGATCAGATTTACATTTTACCTATAACGAAAAAAAAAAAACGTTTACTTTTTACCATCAACATCGTTATCATTCATCATTATTAAAATTTGAATCAAGCTAACTACGTTCTTCATCAGTATTTTTTTATATTTTTATACAGGTGAAGTATAAATAGACGGTATAAGTGGGGTAGAGAAAGAAAAATATCCAACGAAGGGTAACATTGACGTATCGAGATAGTATCGCCGAAAATCTTACCTTATAAAGTGCTGCTAACTGGTTTCTGGCTTGTTTCACTGCTACTAATTCACGCTTAAGTCTATCTAAAAGAGCTATCGATGATGAACTGGATTCTTCTTGTTGCGTATGAGTTATATCATCATGAGCACCGTTATTACTCTTATAGGACGAACATATCGATGACGGATCTGTTTCACATACTGATCCTGACGATGAGGTTGTTGATGGTGTAAATAAATTTATCGGCTGGGAATGAGTTGAATGAGAATTATAAACTGTTTTAGTAAGATTTGTTGTTTTTATCATTGGATTAGTTGCCAATCATTATCACTTTATTTATTGCTGCACATTTTGATTTAACTATAGAACAGAATAATAAATAAAAAAAGAAAAATCGAAATAACCGTTTGTCAATAAATTCAATCACGTATACTTATTCTGCCAATTCAAAAAAGAACGGAAAGAATGAAACAAAAGGTAACATGCAAAAAAAATCGGTCAGAACGGATGTCAAGAAGAGGAAAGAAACGCGTAAGTTGTGTATGAGAAAGGATCGATTCATCAGCTACATCAGTTCGTACAAATGAACAATAAGTAAAAAATGGATCATAATTCTCATATATTACTACCTTTTTATAAGAGCATTAGTAAACAAATAACTCTCTCTTTCACTCTCTGACAAATGCAAGGTAAAATATTCAACATCTAACTGAACAGACACAAATGCTTGATGTATGTAAGGATTCGAGCAATTTAATTGAAGAATATGAAGCCATGCTTTGCAATGTAAAAGAAAAACGAATAAAGTTCAAAACCTTGAATAACTTCTCGTATCGTCTTTCTCATATGCGATGTTCTTGAACAATCTATGTTGATCATTTGTTAAGTTTAACAAATAATAACAGAAAAAAAAGAAGGCTATGTACACTGAAGTTCAAGTATCATTCAAAAAAGTGATACGACATACTTGAAATGTATTACTATGTGTTACATAGTTAGGATCAATAAAATGTCATAACAATTATTTTGCTTCAATCGATATTAATTAGAATTATTATTTTCTAATCGAGATTTTTTTGTTTTTCTTCGAGTAATTGACATAATAATATTTTTCAAAATAATAATTTGCTGAAAATCGAACGAATTGAAAGAAAAATATTGGATGATAAAAGAAAAATCATTACTCATACAATTTGATAGAATAAATATGAGCTATAGTCAGATCAGATGTTCCAAAACAACAACTTTATTTTGCGTGAGAAATGCATCAGCGCTACAATCAATGCATTGGTGACGATTGGCGAGATAACACACGTTGAATTATGTTTATTTTATATTTTGATTCAGAGAAAATAAAAATACAATGGCAAAATTAGTTCAGTCAATTAAACAAATTTTCAGTTCTAGTAAAGCATCTGAATCTTTTGTTAAATTAATAGGATCTGATCGATTTAAAAATAACTTCTATGAACGTTTGCCTGGTAGCATTCAAAAACTGATTACTTCTAACTTGATTAAGATTTATTTTATTTTTCGATAGGTAATCGGCATTATAATTCAGCACGTCGTTTTTATGAACCAGCAGATTATTCAAATGTTCGACTAAGTATTGATCCAGCTTGGGAAGGTTTATATAAATAAATATGTGTTGATGAGTATTATATTAATATTTTTATTCAGCATGGTTAAGGGGTACACGGAAAAATCCTCCGACACTCGACGAAACAGTTGCACACGAAAACAAACGACAACAACTAGAAAACAAAGTAGATCTGATTTTTTTTCTTTTGTTAATAATCTTGAATGTTATTTTTTGATATTTATAGTCAGTCAATATGTTACCTACAAGTTATGGACGTGATGCAGCACAAGGTGGAACAGGCAAGTGTTCAACATAATTCTTATTGGATAATAAGAATGGATTGTTCTATTTTAAGGTTCATTTCCAATACGAGATGAATATGAGATTAATCCAGGTACTAAGTCACGACAAAAACAGGATCCCAATGAAACATATTAATACATACATAATAAACTAATTTCTGTTACGATTTTTCTTTCTATTTAATAGACCTAGCTCCTCATACGTTTTTTTTTATTAAATTTTAGATGGATGAAAAAATAAATAAACAAGAAAAGGATTTTTCATCTAATTTTCTAACACGTACAACAATACGTGAAGCAAATCATCATTTACAAATGTTGCATCAACATAATCAAGAATTAGAACAAATAGTTGGAAAACAGAAAGAAGAATTAAAACATAAAGATTTGATCTATGTGGAATTATTTAAAGCAAAGCAATTATTAGAAAATCATTGTCAACAATTGAAAATCTTACTCGATGATCGAACACGACGTTTGCAAGTGTTTGAAAGAAAAGAAAGATTATTTCGAGAAACAATTGAATTAAAACCAGCTATTGAATCATTATTAGATGTATTGAATACATTTGAAAAAGAAGATTCTATTTTATCATCGACATCAATGCAATCTCTACAAACAGTAAACCAAAAGAAAAATATGAATGTTGTTCATAAAACAGATACTGTTTAAATTTAATATTATGCACAGTATATGTATATATATATATATATATATCCATTTTTTATTGTCAGATTTTTATGTAAAATGTATTTCTCTTGTTTCATATAGCTATGCATATAGTACAAAATAATAAATTCATACTTGTACGAATCATACTCATGACATATGAAGGAAAGAATTTCATATTCTCGGAATTTATTTTTCATTTATTTAGAAAACTATTCAATAGAGTTTTATTGTTTGTTTTTATTAGTAACAGTTGTTTTTACTACAGAGCAAATAGTCTCTAGTGGCTAATGCAAAAAAACTAATGTGTTGGGGGTTAGATTACTATTAGAAGAGCTCATCATTCGCATAGAAATATTTGCATGCAATGCGTCACTCCTAATTCAATCAGTTTGCACAGCATACGTATTAACTCTATTGTATGCTATTAATTTCCTGAAAGACTATTTTGAGCCGAATACTTCAGAGAATTATTTTTCGATCGCAAATTAAGCATGAAAATATACAATAACTATTAGTAATCAATCAATATAATTTCTAGTAACGAGTATCAAAACCGTCCTCTAGAGGAGTAGATCTTGAGCTGGATACACATAATATTATGTTTAGAGTAAGGGTAACCCGACCGGGAGAAGATGTGATACTCCCTTCAATAGCAGAAAATTTTCACTTTTTCCAAGCGAAGTTCAATGATTTTCTTTTGTTCGGTTAGCAAAAATAATGGTACATCCCTGTCGCTAGGCTTAACTAATCTGATCGATTAACAACAGCTCTTCTTTAAACCAGTCACGGCCGCGATCAACATCTCTGATGTAGGTTTGTTGAGTTAAGGATGATACATATCTTACATATGAATTAGAGTCTATAAAAAAAACTATGACATCTTCTGTTTACAAGTATGGAAGTGATAGATAGGAACATATTGTTTTTATAATTGTGACTGATTTTTAAAGAACACACAAAGTATGGAAGTCAAAAGGGAGATTTACACATTAAAGTCTATACTACCTATCGCTATCATTGAATCATCATATCGATGTTTGTAGTCTTTTCTGTGGGTTGCCTTGAGAAATTTTCTATCATGAAAAATATATGGCATATTTAACAATCTATTTATTATACTAATAATTGATTACAATTGTATCGTTGACTTTAAAATCTTTTTTAAAATAATTTTGATTTTACAGCCTGATAAAAATTCGTGTTAAAAATAAATTAGAAAATAATTTAAAAAACAAAACTTTGATTCGAACATTAAAGCAGCACTCAGATTAACATTAAGACTCTTTTGAAAGATTTTGAATATTCAGATTGCCATCATTTACTATACAACGTTCAAGTTCATTCTCAATTGTCTGAATTTGAGATGGTGGTAACATATTTTCCGCGTCTTTCTTTTGTTTCTTGTCTTTTTCAAGTTGAAGTAGACGACGACAGAATCCATCATTTGGCCAAATCCGACGTCTAATTGCAACAAGTTGAAATGCATCAAGCAATGACATATCTTCATATGTTTGAAGTAGATATGCTATAATTAATGTTGCCGATCGACTAATACCCTGAAAATTTCAATAAACTAAAATCATTAAATGACAGTTTTAATTTACTTGTTGACAATGAACATAAACACGATCTAGAAAGATAAAATTAAAAATTTGTATTTATTTTTTTTTCTAATGATAATTTTACTCTTTTTATTATTTAATGCTTCTTTTAAAAATTGTACTGCTTCATCAAAGTGCACTTCAATTTTATATGTTGGATGATCAATAATTGAAAAACCTTGATATTTAATTTCTACTTCTTCATAATAAGTTGCACTTGTATTAATCTGACCGAATTTACGTCCTTCAGCTGCATTTAATATATGCGTAAAACCTAACTTTTTCAGTCTCGTTGTATCCATTGCTAATCGACTAAATAAATAAATAAATGAATGAATTAGTTTTCATGTGATTGAACATTACTTACTAGTCACCAAGAAATAATCGCGGTATAATTTCATGATAACCACCTTGTTCACAGTCAACGCCTGCAAGTTTTTCCTGATTTGTATTCGTTGAGAAAAAACGTCGAAATAATTCAACGATCTTATTACTTTTAGCTGGTTCAATTTTTGTTTGAATTAATATTTGATGAATTCTGTTTAAATTAAGTTTTTCTTCGTCTTCATCTTTCTCGTGAGTTTCTCCGTCGCCGCCTCCGCCGCCGCCGCCGTCATTGTCATTCTTATTGGTATTATCCATCTTAAAATTAGAGACTCGTATATGATTTATCATTTTCATTTTATATACCAAAAAGAAATGAATATGAGATTAGAAGAAATTTTATGAGGAATAAGAAATACATGAAATACTGTTCACACATATCGTTGCTCGACAAAAATTCAGAAAACAACAAATAAAAAAATTCCGGTATTTAAGAATATTGTATACGTTTACATCACGTAAACTCTTTGAGTCAATTAATAACAATAAATAATTTGAGTTTGTATACAGAAAGACTTTTAAATATATATTGGCGTTTCTTGTCCTGTCAGTAAACGATAGATTTGAGTAGGCATTGTTTTCATTCGAAGCTGAAATAAATCAAGTCAAACATAATATGTCGAAAAAAAACAAAACCAAAATCCATCACTTACTTCACCAACTGAATTTGATAGCATGTTAACAATTTTTTCATGTCGTGTAGCTACAACACTTTGTCCATTGATTTCAATAATACGATGGCCAACTCTCACGCCACCACGTTCAGCAATACCACCACGAAGTAGACTACATATCTAAGATAAATGAAGTAGATAGTAATCAATTATTTATTTTAAGGAAAAGCAAAAGCACTCGAGTTAAATATCTTAAGACGTATAGCACATTAGAAATCTGTAATTTACATTCTCCAGTGCAACTTATTAGTGAAAGCTCTCAAGTGCAATTCATCAATCGAACTGATCTATTTTTCATATGTCAGTCCGAAAAAGATTTCATTTCTTCATATCACAAATCGTACCGGTTACACAAAAAGCACACAGTTAACTACCCAACCATCCGAGAGAAAGAAAGAGGATGAAAGCTTCGGACAAACGCAAAGGACTTCGAAGCAAAGACAAAACATAGGGAAACGACAAAATAATAGTCACGCTTAACTTTGAGCGTTACATTGGCATTCCCTCATTATTTAGATTTTCTTATTGTTTGAAATGATATGTGTGATCATTTGCTGATAACTATAGAATATCAAAAGACAAGCGCATGGTTTTGAAATGAAATTTTCAGTTCATTCTAAGATCTACAAAATTTACTTATGAATAAAATATCAGTCCAATAGATACACTTAAGGATGCTGTCGTGTTAGTCAAGTAAAATGAATTTAGAATGATTCAAAGCAAAAATAGCAGAATTCATGAGTAAAATTGCTGCTATTTTCTTTCCTTGGCAGCACTGGCATCGTATAAATCGAAGAAGAAATATTTTCACTATCGTCTGATTAAATTTGAAATTCATAGTTAATCTATCCTCAATGACTTCTGGTCACAATCTTTCAACACAACTAATCTATCTATGCTAGAATCGAATCTGATCGTATCGTTACTTACAATACCATTTTGTACACTAAAACCAAGCTAGAAATAACAGGGAAAATATTATTTAATTTTTTTTAAAATTTTTATCTAACGTTAAATATTTACTTGATATTTAGTATCTGGTCTTCGTATAAGCACTTCAACTACTGGCGGACATGGAACAACAACAAGACGGACGGTTGTTAAATGTTTCATATTCTAAATCAAGAAATGAATTATCGACTAATTCGATGACTCGATTTCAATAGCTGACTTTGATTTGTGCTTGACAATTTGACAATGGTAATCCGACCATACTAATGCCATTAACTGAGATTACCTGATCGCCAATATTCAATTGTCCACCTCTACTCAAGCAAATAAGATAATAACTATGAATCTTTTTTTAATATTTCAATAAACCTTGCTGCCGGTCCACCCGGCATCATATTTGCAACAACAACTGTTGGTAACATTGATCCCCAACCACTTTCGACAATAACAATACCCAATGGTTCATTTTTTCCTTTAGTTACAATAGCCTATCAAAACAAAACAAGTAAAAACAACCGTTTGTTTCAATTTGTTTTTCCAAAACCTCTTTTTGACATTCTTTTTTCGAAAATCGATCTAATTCTACAACATCAATTTCTTGTTGATCCAAAACTTCTTGATAATCAATATCAGATGTAAAACTAGGATCATCAATACCGTTGGCTTTTAAAAAATCAACATAAGCTACTTGAAAAGCATGACCTATTGAATGAGCAATGGATTGAGCCTAAACATAGAAATAAAGGAATTATTATGTCCAATAGAACTCTAATCATTCTCTTAGTAAACATTAAAACATTTCTGCTTACTTCATCTGATTCAAATACATGACAAATCATTTTTTGATTAACTGAAATCACACGACGCGTATTCACTCCATTTGTGTCATCATTTCCATTATTATCATTTTGTATATATCTTCGTTTAGCCATCAAAACAACAAGATCACCGATATCAGCTAAAGATTTAATACAAAAAAAAAACCCACAAAACAAATTATATCAATTAAAACAAAATTCTCAACTAACCAATATATGAGATTGATCTTAATGAATGATCCATTAAAATATCTTCTAAATCCGTATTTAATACCATGATTTTTTCTGTTGATATAAACAGATCGACTTCAACTGATGGTTGACTTTCACCATATGGTGCTTTTATACGTTCGACAGCTTCTTGTGCTTGCATCATGCGTGATACTTTTGTTGCATTCCCTTCTGCAGGTAATTGAGTTGAGCCAAGATATCGACAGCGAAATAAAACTCCTTCGATTAATACTGATGAATTTTCTGGATCAGGAATAATTCGAGTTAAAACTAATTAATAGAATAGATAATGAATTTTTTGTGCCAAGTAAAAGAATTATTTCACGAGCACATTTAACAATATCAATGTTGACAGAACAGAAATACTTACAACAGAGAAAAAAAAGTTAGGAATCGATGTGTTAAAACTCATGAATAAAAAAAAATATATGAAACAAAAACATTTTCATCCAATCGATCGATACAAACGTACCTTCTTGGGGTCTTGATGATTTTAAAACAGCCTATTCAAAATAAACAAAAAAATAGAATACTGTTTGAATTATTTATATTTTTATGTTTTCTACATACAGCATCGCGGACAGCTTGATATTTCGAATTAACTCGAAAGTCAACAGCAAGTAATTTATCTGTTTCTTCATCGGTATCATACTCTATTGAAATATAAAAAAAGAATACTATTTGTTCAACATACATGCCGTGCTAAATAACGATGTCACCACAAAGCAAAAGAAAATAAACATGCAAAACGAACCCTTTTTATTAGGTTTTTTGTCTAAATTTTCTGCTATATTCTTTTTAAATAGATTGATATCGTTTAAAAAATAAAATAAATTTACCTATTGGAATAGTTGAAGATTCTCGTGAACACATTTTATGTTGATCTGTTTGAGTTTTTGATGCAGATATTGATGAACAATTATTCGATGATTCCGATTGAGTTGTAAATTCATTATTCCTTGTTTTAGGAAATTGTTGTTTATGTAGGACACTCAACGACGCATGATTCGACTCAAATAATAAATCACTTTGTGTTGCTTGATGACGACTGTTCACTTTTTTCAATACAGGTGGTGAATGTTCATCATTACTCATGTTTTCTGAATCCGATAAACCGTCTTCAAGTACAGGCATACCTAGAGAAAATAAATATTTCAAATTCACATTTTGAACAATTTCTTTTTTGTTTAGATTTATACAATAGTTGACTATTGAAATAATGATTTAGCTCATTGGAAAAAATACTTGTCAAAAATATATAATTAAGGATTTATTGTCACTGTTGACTAATAGTGAAGGCTGAATGAGATATTTTAAAACTTACTGACAACTGTATTCGATTTTATACTATCAAGTGAAATAATACTGTCGGCATCGTTGATCCCACCATCATCGCCGTCAGATGATAAATCTGATGATAATCTAGATAGACTTCCATTAATTGTGTCAAGGTGATGATTGTGATGACCATGACGATAAGTTGGCAATTGTTTATTTACGGTTGCATTCTTTTTTCGATTTTCATTTGTGACTAAATCAGATAACTTCGTTGAATCATTACTAATTGACAGTGAATTTTCACAATGTTCTTTTGTTGGAGTGGTCAATATGGATGAAATATTGTCTAAATAGCAACAGTCAATTAGTGATCGAAATAAATTGTTCTTTTCTTTCCTATTATTTTCTCTCAAAATTCTAATGGCTTACCTGACAATGTTGCATGTTCCTGCAAAAATCGAGCTGCTAGTGCCTGTTGTTGTGTGTAATAAGCTGATAGAAGTTGTGGACTATAATGTTGCTCGAGTAATAATGGATCATAGGATGGATAGAATGGTGGTAGACCAGTGTTTGCTGGTGGATAAGGTAAATAGAGTCCCGGATGTTGATGTCCAAATGGATACATGCCATGAGACCATAATGGTTGTCCATACGGATCAATAGACGGTGGAGGCATCACGGAATGATGATAGTGTTGTCCATTTTGTGTTGATTCTTCATTTGATGAATCAGCATTGATAGAATCTGGTGTCATATCACGTGAATGATGATTAGTTCGACTGTTTGTTGACGATGTACTATCAAACAGTTGAAGATCATTTTGTGTTAATTCTGAAGGTTTGGTTGTTTTTCGGCGAACTTGTGTGGCGATTGTTTCAAGATTTTTTTCTAGTGCTGCATCAATGCGATGTGTTTCAGATGATTTTGATGGTTTCATTGAATTAGTTTTAGATAAATTGAGACTATTTATAATCGATGTTCGATCAGATATTTGTTGATTCTCATCTAGATAGACACAATGTTACTTTGATTCTTAATAGAAAGAAAGCATTCTTACGAAGAAGATGTTGATTTATAGGTGATGATCTATCCTCGTGTTTGATTTTAATTATTGTTGACGAGGATTCATTACCGTCTGATGTTAGATTGAGTGCAGATGACGATGATGAGTGTTTTTTAGAAATATTTTCATCGATCTATTTTAATGGAACAAGAAAAATAAGAACTAATTCTGATTCAGGAAAAAATTTACTTTTCTCTATTATTATTTCTATGAATACTCTGTTTCTTAGTCTGGAACTAGTAATTATATGAATGGCATATTTATTAAATTCAACAAACCTGCTTATTGTTAGCTTTTGACGTAAAACAAAAATCTCTTAAAAAAATCGAGAGGCAAAGGAATCTTACAATGTATCCATAATGATAGATCTATAGTTGATGGAAACAGGAAAAGAGAACCCTCTTGAGTCAGCCTATGATTTACTATCGACATCGATCAACGCATGCAATTAGAAGGATGAATTGGATTTACACACTTGTGTTCTCTCTTTGCTAGAGGGCAGACTTCATTGACCCGTATGCACATGGCTGACTCGTATTTTAAATTATACAGAGATCGATGTTCGAGATGGAATAATCATGCAAGCTTATTATCTCGAGGGATTAAACAACACAAAACAAAAAAATGAACTCACGTGTCGATGATAATGTTTATGAGATTTTTTTCTCGCTATGTTAATTATTGATAAGGACAGCATATCTAATGCGTTTTGAATCAGTCAATCTTAGAACACATTAATAATAATTTGATGGTCTATCTGTTGTTTTTGTACATCTCTCTCTCTCTCTATTTTCCCTGTCTATCTTCTGCTTCAACCATCTGTCAATACAAAGAAATAAGAAAAAAACATCAGAATTAAACAACGGATTCTTCTTTATCAATTTATATGCTAACAAAAAGAGTTCCTGGTTCTCATCGAGCGGTGACAAAGGGAGAAAAACGAATCATATGTAATTAACATAGTATACCAACAATTTATTGAATAACGGAAGTAAGACATTTCCTTTTATCAAACACACAATAGAATGGAAAATCAGAGAAGATAGATAGACATATGTTCAGGCTTGTCTGTGCTCAAGGGTATAGATTTATCGCATCGCCTGTAATTGATGAACACTTCGAATAACAACAGCAACAACACAAGACAAGATGAATGAGATTACATAAGAAAGAAATATGCGAGGAAAACTTCTTAATAGAATGATCTTCTATTTTTGATAAAGCAAAATCTAATTACCTGAGACTTAATAGATATAGTTGCATCTTGATTGTGAAATGTCATCACACATAATTCATCATTTTTAGTAGGAACTTCTTCATTAACATTACCAATATTCATTGTATTCTGAGAATGTAGACATTCCATTATGTCAACTGTTCATTTTTATATATATAATAATAAAAATACTATAAAGTAAGAAGAGTCAGATCAAATTCTTTGTTCTCATATTAGATTAAAACTATTGTATATGAAAATAAAATTGATTCTGATCATTTTTTATGTATCTATCAACATCTATATATATATATATATATTTGTTTTTTGACAAATATCCAATAAGACATGGCATGAATATAAACATGGAATAAAAAAGAGAAACGTAGGTAATTCTCTATTTGGAAAAATGGAAAAAGACAGCTTACTACACGTGTTCTATTCATCGGCCAATGATAATAATGAGGAGAAAAAAAGAAGTAGCAGAGTAGCATCAGTACCAAGTAGAAAATAAAAAACGGCGAAGAGAAGAATAAAAAAAAGTAATGAGTATGAAGCGTTTTTGACTTGCGAGTCTTACTTTGTCGTAGATTTTTTTCTTTTCCTCTATAGAATAATATTGATAATGATGCCATTCTAACACATTGGCATTCTTTTTTTACGCTAGTAAAAGCACATATTTAAGTAGATGTGTGTATGTGCTTGTACATGATATGCATTTTGTGTCTCCTATCAAAACTAAAGAAGGAAAAAAACTACATCGAAATAATGAATGAAGTAAATCTAAAGAAGCATCTCTCCATCGAGTTTTACCTCAGGAAAAAAAGAAAGAAGAAGCATCAGAAAAACGGAAGGAAGAAAATAAAGCTTGCATGTTCAATAAGTAATAGCTACTCTGATTTCGACTGGCTTCTATCAGTATAGTTGTTGGTATCGAAAGAACGAGAAACTAACTCAAGATTAATTTCAATGGCGGCGTTGATTTTCCTTATTTCTAATGCATCCGACAAAAAGAGAAACAAAGAATGAAAGAATACTGTTTCGTTAATAATCATCAAAAGAAATAAGATCTTATTTTAATTATATGATAAAAATGCCTTTATGACATGAACTCTTGCTACATCAAAGTCCGCCCTATATTGCACAACTAACTCACCTAATCAAATATCACCTGGTCATATGGCGTTTAATTTTGGTTAGACATAAAAAAAAAGTTGTTATCATCTAGATCAACAAAACAAAAAGAAACACAAGGAATAAATCAAGATCTATGCAGTCAAAATATGCTATTTGTTTATTGAATAAACAAAAGAAAATATATCATACATATAGTACAAAAACAGAAAAAACATGAATGAGGTTTTGGTTCTGGAATTCACAAGGTTGATTCCAAGATTCGAATATGTTCGGATTAGAACACAAATCAACGAGTCACACTGAAAAAGTAACAAATAATAGCGAATTAATTAACATGAGATTAGTGTCAACAAGATCAGAGAAATATTCCGGATGTTCTCTAGATGTGGAATAGAAATAAGCGGCAAACGTTATTTACAATCTTTAGAACGACTATGAAACTCAAAATGAGAATTCTATGAAAGTTTGGTGTACTATTCGCATATAAAAAAAAAGAATGTTCAATCAACTAAATGTGTCAATGAAAGACGTTCAAAATATTGAGAGTTTGTATAAAGCTAAAAATAACAAAACGTGTTGCACTCAAAATGTTCTATTTCAATGTACGAATTTTTGCAAAAATTTCTTGATTTTTAGCCGGATTCATGATAGCTGTATAAACTGTATTTCTATTAAGCACCGGTATGACAGACAATGTAATATTAAAAATATTATCTATTGTCATTTGTGTTAAATTAAATGTTCGAAGAATATTTTCAGCTGTTGTACGCCTGGGATCATTGATTGGGTCATCTAACCAATGATCATAATTTGTTTGTACAAGTGTTGAATTTAATTCAATCGGATTGATAGAATTCAAGCGATTACGCGTTATAATCGCACCCGATGATTGACCATCAGTTAAAATAAAATAAACAGGTGCAATTAAATGTCGACGTTCAAGTTTATATTTCATTTCTTTATAAGACATAAATGGATTATCAAAAATAGTTCGTGTAATAATAAATAATGGCATCGCATGTAAATGTAAAATAGCCATTAATGCATTTATCCACCAATCTTTATTATTTTTGTCACGCTCATTAATAGTTAAACTAAAATAGTCTTTACGTAAGCCAGTTAATAAACCAATGGAGCCAGCAAAATGAATTGATTCATATTCCAATGTTGGATTTGACATACGAAAAAATCTGCCATGAAATGTTAAACGACGAAGTAAATCTGTATTGAGATCATAATCAAGATTTCGACCATGTAAAATAGTACCATCTAATGTACGAACAAGTAAACTTGTACAATACGTACGAAGTTCATAAACAAGATTAATAAGAACAATATCAGCTGGTAACATTGATATTGCTCGAGCAATAGAATGAAGTTCATCATGATATGGTTGAGGAATATAATTATCTAATTGCGTCGCGATTATTTCCGCTACATCAATATACACTTGAGGAATTTGTGCACGAATTTCATCATTAAACTCATGCATTGGCTGCGAAAAATTCGGTATTACATTTGACCATCTATCGATTGGATCAAGATCAAGATCAATTGAAAAAGTAGGAATATCACGTGGAATATCACTTCTTACAAAAGCAATAAGCAACAGAAATATCGTAATAAACATAATCTAGAAGGGGAAAATAGTCTTGAAAGTAAAATTTCTATTTTATTATCTCAAAAATTCATCATGCGCTTAAGCGCTTCAAGACAACGCCATTTAGATGGAAAATAGAAAGGTTCAAATACATGTGGAATTGGATGAATATCATAACCACAAACACGTTCCACTGGTGCTTCGAGATTCAAGAAACATTCTTTCTAAAAAAAACAAGCACAACGAAAAAAAAAGAATGATCAATTAATTTATTTAGTTAGTTAGTTAGTTTACTTACAGCAACGGTAGCTGCTATTTCAGCTCCAACTCCACCTGTTATAGGTGCTTCATGACTTATTAATAGTCTTCCAGTTTTACTAACTGATTGACAAATTGTATCAACATCCCATGGTACAATTGTTCGTAAATCAATCAATTCACATGATATGTTTTCTTTAGCTGCCATTTGTGCAACTTCACGAAGTACATGAACTTGTGTACCCCATGAAACGAGTGTTACATCAGATCCTTCTTGTATGATTTGAGCTTTTGATAATGGAATTGTATATTCTTTAATAGGAACATCTTCTTTAGCTGATCGATAAAGTATTTTTGGTTCAAAAAATATACATGGATTATCATCTTTAATACATGATAAAAGTAAACCTTTAGCTTCAATAGCGCTACGAGGAACGACAACCTAAAAATTGAAAAATTAATTTCAATTATAAATCGAAATCATCTATTTTTACTTTAAGTCCAGGTGTGTGCATAAATTGTGATTCAGGTGATTGTGAATGATACAATGCGCCATGTCCTACTGCACCCCATGGTGAACGAATAGTTAATTTTCCACAATTAAATAAATTCTGAGAACGATATCGATATTTTGCTGCTTCATTTACGATCTTAGATAGTAGAAGAAAAAATAAAATAAAAATAATAATAAAGAACTTCTTTTACTTGATCATATGCAGGGAAAATGTAATCAGCAAATTGAATCTCAGCAATAGCTGTTGTTCCAGCGACAGCTGCACCTATTCCAAACCCAATAATGCCTTGTTCACATAATGGTGTATTGAATACTCGATCTGCGCCTATATAATGATAATAATTGAAATATAAGAAATATATATATATATATATATATATATATATTCTAACCATATTTTGACCTTAATTCTGTTGTACATCGAAAAACACCACCAAATGCAACATCTTCACCAAATACAACTATAGAATAATATTCGAATGATTATATATAAATAGAAAAATAAATCAGATTTTACTAGCAGTATGATCATTGCCAAGTGTGATATCGATAGCATTTTGGATTGTTTGACATAGATTCATTTCTTTGGTTGGACCTTAAAGATAAAAATTTTGACTTTCTATTAAAAAAAACAACTAAAGAGATAAACTAACCAAGACTTGGATCAGGTTGATCTTTGAAAAATGTAAAATGAGCTACACGACGTCGTGACAAAATCGACGAACATTTTGGGACAGTAAGAATTAATTGACGAAGAGACAAAGCCATGAATGAGAAGAAAATCTTCGAAATAAATATAATCAATCTTATTTACAAATGTATTAGATTATTCGATGAAATAAAACATTTTTTTGTACATATTTTTATTCACTCGAAAATTAGTGATGAGAAATATCAATAGTAGTAGTAGTAGTGGTAAGCAGTAGTAGAATCTCTATTTCAATACGTCCATGCTCCACCAATAGGAAGTTGGAAAAAACAAAGATGGCATCGGAGTAACAACTGTACAGTTTCTTGTTTGTTTTACTTTTGATTATACCAAACATAATCTTCCATGTATGTATATTATCACTTTCAAGCTCTGACGTCAAATTTAATAATTGACTAGATATTTTTTCTATTAAAGTAAAGAGAAAATCTCAATGCTTGGTGAGTTTCTGAAATACATGTCATCAATACTCTACAATTTCAATAGAAGCTTAATATTGGAAGAGACATGCAAATGAATAATATAGGACTCAATTAACTCAAGGATATTATAAGGGGGTTCATTACAAAAGTGAAATGAAATCGATTGCCCAGGTCAATGATTCCGGAGAATGGATACTGCCGGAACCGGCAGGAAAATGCTGGAAATCGCGGGAATCGGAAGCAGTATTCCGGCCGGGAGCTTTCGGTTGTTTTCCGGTGATTTTCCAATCGCGGCTCCTGCCCAAAACCACAGGAAATCTCTGGGAATTGACATGAAAATTTCCGAAAATTTTCGACCGGAATACTGCTTCGCTTCCACGTTCCAGTGTTTTCCTGCTGTTTCCCGCCGTACGAGTTCGACCTGGGTGTAATATGAGAATTAAAAACAAAGAAAACAAGTTTCATTCATTAGAACTTTCTAAAGCGAAATCGCTAAGTCGCAAATAGTTTATTCAATAATGTTACTCATATGTGTGCAATGTTAATAATCATGATTAAAATTTAGGATGAAAAGCAATCAGAATTAAAACATGAAAAAAAAGAATAATCTTTATTTTCTGAATTTCATTTGCATTATAATTTGATTGGAACTTGGATATGAAGAAAACCATCATCTTTTAATTCTGTTTTCAATTGATCTATTTCACACATAGGCAAAAGAGTAACTTGACGATAACTATCTTCAGCTAGAAAATCAAAGTTCAATATGTAACAATGGCTGATTACGTAAAATGCTTACTCATAAATTGACGGTCTTCAGTGGATATCTTATTATTAAATTCTACTCGTAAATCATATGCATTCAGTGAAATTTTTATTTGATTCAATGTTGCATCTGACTTCATTTGTAAACGCATATGAAGAATTTTCTTGCCATCACTACCATCAACAAGCGATGGATTCCAGATTTTATTTTGAAGAAATTCTTCAAGTGTATATTTTCGACTTTGATTCTTACTATTTGACAGCGCCTACGTATATAAGCAAACAAAGAAAAATTATTGAATCAAAATTGTTTCATTTCAAAAATTACTTTTAAACCATGACCTTCTCTAATGTTCGTTTTTTGTTGATTGAATGCATTTGGTGAAGCGCTAGGTGTAGTACTTGTACTTACCAGTGACGCTGATTTTATATCAGCATTATTATACGAAAGTGGTACAGTAACAGCTCGATCAATGTTACCATCGGTTGCTTTTGTTACAGACACTTTTCGGTTTTGAATTGTTATTGTACCACCATTAGTCCAAAGGTCCATTGGAATTTTTAGCGATGAATTTGTCAAATCTACGAAACAATATCTAGAATTGAATAATATAACGCTGAAATCTTACCTGAACTTGTTAATAGTGTTTGTTGGCCATGTGTCGTCGATGATCTATTAGGCTCATGAATAATAATATTTTGATTGTCTGTATTCGATGTAGGATGCTTCGATGTATATGCACTGTAAGTATAAATATTGTTATAATTTGTTATACCTGCACTTTTAAGCAATTCAATTGCTTCGAACGGAGGAGCAGTTGCACCACTTGTTGTTGTTGTTGTTATGGTTTTTGTAAATGATATTCGTTGAATTTGTTGACTTGATATTGATAAACTAGAACTATCATGTAATGTTGATGATAAACCTTGTTTATTAGATAAATTAAATTTATTTAGTGAAAATGATAGACGATGTAGATCATTTTGATTGCCACTAATATTTAAATGTTCAACTTCTGCTGATGGATTCAACGGAATTTCGACAACAAGCATATGAGCGGGAGTAATAAAAGATGACATTGAATCAACATCAGCATTCACTGGAATATCGAATTTTCTTTCAAATTCTTTTTGAACAAGACGATTACCATCACGCTCTTCATAAACACCTGATATCGTTAATTTGTAGTTTTGAATATAGATCTAAACAAGATACAAAACAAAACGAGCTAGTAATATGATCACGATAATTTTCTTCTATTTACTTTAATTTTTTTCGGTTGAAAATTTTCGACGTCAAATGTAATACGAAAATTTTCTACATCACTAGGATATTTCTTGTGTACTGATAGTTGATTAGGACGACTAAGCCAACGTATATGTTCATCTTGATCATGTGTAAAATCAAGTGCATTAAACCATACATCATTTTTATTATCTGTACTGTTTAAATTGGTAGTGGTACGATAAATTGGTATGGTTTGTGTTGTCATTTCTAGATAATACTGGTCTTTATAAATAACTATGGTTGGTGCTAATGATATTTATATAAGTATGTATATCATCGTATTTTTTTTTGCTAAGTGGATGGATAAAAAGCAATATTTTATTGATCTGTAGAAAAGTTTTTCGACACATATTTTACATTAAAGTCTAAAACATTATTGTTGTTTAATTGTTGGCGAGTATTTGCGTTTTATGCGTTTCTTTTATGTGCCAAAAAGTACATGTAAGTAATATACATAGATATAACAAGAAATGTCTACTTGCAGATGTAAACTAACACTCTTTTACATACGAAGACAGCATGCTAGAATAAGAAGCTATACATGTGTAAACAAAAAGTTCCTGGAGCTTTCTTGTTAATGTTAGATAAAAAAACCAAATCTATACTATACTTACATTTAATACAGTGGACAATATTGATGTATTAGTTTATAAATAGATTGATTGACGTATATTTCTAGGCACTCTTGTTTTCCGACAGTAAAACGAAATGATATTTAGATAATTATTGTTACAATAATATACGTATATAGTTTTAAATGCTATTCTAATCATGTTAATAGTCTTCCTATTGAAAAATTATATAAGCGTTTGAAATAGACTTCGTTGTGTATACTATGTTCAACTTCCATGTGTGAAATGTTTTGCTGATCTGATCCATGATCGAGATCGTATTCCATAACAGCGTTAATTTATTATCTGATGATCAAATGTTTCTCTTAATTATCCGAAAATCTTTAGATTCGTTATTATCTTTATACTTTTAGCTAATATATACCCCGAATATATTTGCTGGACACAAGGAAAATATGGTTTAGAATGTATAGTGATAAAAAGAAATGAAACTCACTTATGTTACAAAATTACATATTGAAATGTTACTCATGATACAAAATAACATATGACTACCGGTAGATTGGATAAGTTTTCTATGAGTTTATTGGATGCTTACTAAAACTTTTGTTTCGGATTATTCAGTGTTTCTAATTTACTGTTTTAGATAGTCTCGTATAATCCAAATACAGGAGTCTAAGTTATATAAATATTTCTAAGATAAAAGCTTGTTATCATGAGTGAATATTTAAATCATTTTTTTTTCGTCTTACTTTTACTCTCGAGTCCAAATAGATGTAGAATTTTAGCAATCGAGCTACTATTTCAAATTCACATATTCTCTGTTCAACATCAAAAGTGTTGCGTTTTACGACAAACATCAGTTACAAAAATGGTTAAGAAATTCTCTTAGCGAGAATAAAATGATTTAAACCATGTCATTGAATATTTTTAGTTTTATTTTAGTATACTATTTATCATTTGGATCAAATTATTTAAAAAATATTTTTAACAACATCATTTAAAATAGATTTAAAAAACATAGATTTTTATACAAAGACTTCTAGTAAACTATCGATCTGATTTCTACACATCGGACAGGCTTGTTTCGAAGTATTATTCCACAATTTTTTACTACAAGTGAGACATACACATAAATGTCTACAAGGTAACAAAACAATATTTTTTTTATCATTACAACAAATGACACATAAATTGGGATCATTAGTTAATTCTTGTTGTAGTTTTCGACGCATAAATCTTGTATAAGATGGTCGTAATGAACGCTTATCAATATTAAGTCGAAATAAATAGTCATCATCATCATCATCATTATCATGGTTAACATTGATTACATTGTTCCTCTTCTTCGTCAGATCAAAAAATTGAGGCATTAAAAATTTCTTTAGTAGATAAAAACTGATAATAACTAAACAAATGCTTATCGTAATATCAATCCTATTCAATAAGAATAAATTGAGCATTATTGAATAAAGAGAACCAATTATCTAGAATTAATATTATTTATATTCTTTCAAGAAAAACTTGACATATTATGAAACATGCATTATAATTAATAATGAGTTACAAAGAAAAAGTAATAATTTAGAACAGAAGGAAATTCTATTCAAATATGTCTAAAACATTGTTTTTATTATTTGTCGTGATTAGGGATGTGAACTGTTCAGACAGTTCTTTCGCTCATTTGATCTAAACTTAGATCTGAGAACTGTAATACGCCTACTCGTGATCATTCATATTTGTTCTATTATTTGATGGTAGCCGTGTTGTTAGAAACTCATCAAAAGTGCGTGCTAATGTATATGATAGAGAAACTGTTTTCCGTGAGTTTTCGTCATGAAAAGTATGCACAGATTCAAACATTTGATCACAACGTGATAGCCATGCAAATTAAGAATGGCACGCAAATAATATTCAAAGCGAAAGAACAAGGACATGATATTTTTTATTTTCGGATGGACGCGCCATATTTTTCTTTTCATTTATATTTATTATTCAACAGAATCATTAGTCTGCACATATAGTCGAAAGAGAACAGTTTTAGCTTCCAAAAATAAACTTGATATTAATTAAATTTATCAAGTACTTTTGTACATCAACGACCAAATGTACATTTATAAACAATCGATTTTTTACTCAAGTGATAGAGCAAAAAGAAACACATCTGTGCATGAATATTAAAACGATTCTCTAAATGATCGGTACTACACAGGATAGCAATAACTTTCCATAAAAATGAACGTGACTCGTTTGTTAAAATAACAGAAAATCTTCTAGATCTCATTTCATAAACTGAATTCATTCTTATACGAGTCAATAGGAAAGCTTGCCATATATTAAATTTGCAACAAAAATAAAGTTTTGCTTTCATTAAATCGTTAAACTTGGCTCTTTCACAAAGGCATCATTCTATCCCTAGACAATAATATAATGTGCAATGTAAAATAGTCTTCAGTAAAAATAAAATCAGTAGGCTCATTGTTTTAATATTTAATTATCATCTGAAAAAACAATTGTTTTGAATTTTCTCAAGAAATATCTCTTCATTTATGACTCATTTACTCCTATAAATAACTAATAAACTAAATTCAAACTATTTTTCAGTATCATACTGCGATGTAATAAGAATCCAATTATATTACCGACAACTATACTCTACCTAGATATATCACAAGATGACCCACTTTTGTTATAAAAAAATGAAGATTTATTTATTTATTTATTTTTCGTTTAAATCTGAAATGAATAGAAGCATAAATGTCATTTATGAATATTCTTATGGCAGCTTGTGACTTTATTAAGTAAAAAAACAACCAAGTATTATTTAAACAGCTACTCCTTGATTTCCAGTTAATGTTTGTATCAATGTTCCTTCTTCTTTCATTTGTTTAAGAATGTCTAAACCCCCAATAAATTGCCCATTAACATATATTTGTGGATATGTTTGCCATGATGAATATTCTTTAAGTTTTTCTTGAACCTCTTCATCTTGCAATATATCAAATGTTTTATACTCGTTTATATTAGCATTTTTTAGTAGAATAATCAATTCTTTGGTGAATCTACATTGCGGCGCTTCAGGAGTACCAACAATAAACATCATCAACGGTGCTTGATTAATTAAACTTTCTAGATATTTTCTCATATCTTTTTCTTTATCATTTTTTTGCTGTTTAAATACCGCTTGAAATTCTCCATTTTCAATCATTTGTTTCATTATATCTAAACCACCGATTAATTCACCATCAATATATAATTGTGGATATGTACTCCAATTCGAAAAAATTTTTAATTGTTCACGTAGATTTTGATCAGAAAGAACATCAAAATAATCATATTTTATTTTATTTTCATCAAGTATATGACATGCTTGTCGACTAAAACCACATTGTGGCTCTGTTGGTGAGCCTTTCATAAATATAATGACGGGCGATTTTAATAATTTTTTTATTCTATTTTCAACATTAGTATCAATAGTACCTGTAGATTCGACTTTTGCTGGTACAATATTTATTTTATTGATATGATATTGAATTTTTTTTAGTAAACCACTTTGATTAAAACCATCCACACGGTCGATTAATTTTGCACGACTATAGAAAAGTACAGTTGGTGCTGCATTTACATTTTGTAATGTAAGAAAATCAGAAAAATGATCTGCATTCAAACGACATACAGCTAATTTTTGACTAAATTCTTCGTTACGAGCTGTTGCTAATAGAGCTTCATTGACTGCTTTACAAACAGGTATTTGCTCTAGTTCAACATGTACTAGTAAAAGTTTATTGATGATAGATGGTGACTTGATGTATCCATCAAAATCTTTTTGAGTGGCAATTTGATGAACATCAGCATTATTTTGATTGGACATGATTTATGCTAGAAAAGAAAAACACAATTGGTACAAAAAAAACGTGACATAGGATCTTATTCTTGTTTAATTTTATTTTATATACAAAACAAAAAAAAATTAACTCAAGCTAATGAAGACCTAAGACAATATCTTGTTCTTCTTCATGTCAATGACGACGTTGTTTTTTTGATGGTGAAGGACTACGTGAACGTGATCTAAAAAATTATAATGAATCAATTTATATATATTTCATAAGAGCTACAAACCGTTTCCGACGTCCACGAAGACGTTTTTTAACATCCTGTGATATTGTTTTAATGTGCATAAAGTTACAAAAACCACTTCTCATACACTATGAAAAAATTTTAAAAAAAGAATGTTTTTTCTGCGTACTTATTTAAATACAAAAAAAACAAAAACTTACTTCGCCTAATTCATACTGTCGACAACTCGCTTCTTTGAAGTCAGTAACAGGACTAAAATCATAATATTATCATAGATAAAAATTCTATTTACCTTAATTACCTTAATTCTGCATAAATTGGTTTTCTATCGAACCATCGTGTATTAAGATCTTCTACAGCTCGTTCGGCATCTCGTTCATAACGAAACTAAATAACAATAAATTTTGATAATTAAAAATATGAAAAAAAGAATAATTTCTCTGTTTTACTTTAATATAGATATTTCCTACGAGATGTTCGCCAAGATTGTCACAGACAGTCATTGCTTCAATTTCACCATACTAAATCAGTTATATACAAATCGTATTCACGGTAGAAGAGAACAAATAAAATAGGGATGATCAAAAAAAAAATACAAACAGTTTTCCTAAAAAACCTGTAAACACAGAGAATGTTTTTTGTTTTCATATTTATCATTCTACCTTTTTATCTTTATACATATGAAGAGCATTTTGTTACAATAGAAAAGAAATGCAGAGATCCTCCTGCAAAAATGGGACTAGAAAATTTGAGAAAAATATTAATTTAATATTGTACGTGATAGTTTGAGATGCAAGCGTCGTTGATGTCTGATTTTCACAAATCAAGCCTGCAATAATGGATAGAAGCTTAGGCAGATCGGTGATAAGAAAACAAATGAAATAATATCAAAAAGGTTTTTTTCCGTATTCTTTAGATTATGACAAAACATTCAGCATGAAGGATAAGGGTAAAATCGAAATGTTTCTTGAATAGATAATACATAAATATACAACTTACCTTATCTTCAACTTCTGTATAAACTTCTTCATAGAATTCACTAAAATAAAAGCATTTCTATTCAATAAAATGAATACAAGAATAGAATCTATCGAGATACGCATCATTAGAAGAGGAGCTTATTTTTTCTAATGATGAAGATTTTCTGTATATATAAATTGGTTTGTGAAACCAGCAAATCTCTACCAAATAGAATGACTATGAAATTTGTATGATCTTAAATGGTTGATCTTCTTCTCAACTAGTTTTATGTATCGATGAAAAGATATCTTCAACATTGGGTAGACCTGGAATTTGAAACCAAATTTAATATTTTTATATCAAACTACACTAAATAGGAGAATGATTTATTGTTGAAGAAAAAACTCAATATTCTTAGTATCATAAATAGCTACGTGATACTTAAGTTGTTATAATTGAAACAAACAAACTACCATTAAACATAAATCCATCTGTTGAATTATACAATAATCAGTTCTTTTTCAATAGAGATAGTTATTACATTTTCGAAACAATAAAACTAAATGTTCAGTTTTTATTCTATTCAATAACATATGCTCGATCTAAAGAAATACAAGTAGATACATACTCAAAATGTTGTTGTATTTCTTCATCTGTGTAAGTATTCCCACTAAATTGTTCTAGAAACGACAATGAACGGTAAACACCATGATTTTACATTAAATAGTGCCTTACCAAAACCACCTTCTGGTTTGGGAACAGAATTATTATTTGGATTTAGATAAAGATTTTTTAGAAGGATTGTCTGAAAAATGAAAAACAAAATTCCATCGACTCTAACAAAAATTTATTCATCATACTTGACTAAACGTTGGTTTATTATGAACACGAGAACATCTATAAATACAAAGATGAATTTACAGTTCAACGGATTTGTAAAATGCATACCGTTCACCATGACGGCACGCACCAATTTTAAAATAAAAGGAACAGTTTACTCTAAATAGAAGAGAGTATATATCAGTAGAATGAAATAAAAACAAAATGAATCAAAACATTTACTTGTCTTTTTCGGTACCGAAAATCGAAGCAAGATATTCAGCCATGATAGATTAAGATCGATTTTCCGAAGAAGAACTATGGAACGGAAACTGATCTAAAATGCTGTTATTATGTAAGTCAAAGAATGGATTCGCATTCTTTTTATTCACACTACTTTTTCTTTTAATATGAAAGATGTATGCTACATTATTTGAACAACTAGCGCTACGAGCAATATTATTTATAAACAGATTGTAGCGACAACATATATAAAATTAAAAACAATATTGTCAAGTAATTCTTTAAAAACATCAAAATAAATTGAGAGCAGTTGATTTTATTTCCTATTTCTTAATGATATTTATTGCTATGATAAAAGATTAATCAGTGCGACAATAAGTGAAAAATAGCTGAACTAGACTGCTAGTGACATCTGTGTTCGTGTATATATCCTTGTATGATTTATTATACTCTGTAATTTTCAAGCATAGTAATTATTATAAAATATCTAAGAAATACTGTTTTAATTTAACTTGAACTAAAATTGATTTCCTATATGCGTTGCAAATTGAAGATTCTTCTGAAAAAGTATTTGGTTCACTTTTTAAATATCCAACCACGATCATTAATTTCTATCACATAGCATAATGTATTAACGAAAATATATTTTGCGTTTGACACTGAAATTCTCTTACATTTATCATTGGTTCAGTCGAAATAAGACACTGAGATTATCTAATATAATTTTTCTTTTAACTGAATTGTATTATAGTTATTTTTGCTAAATAGGAGAAGCTAACGAAAGACAAAAGCTACTAGCAAGATTCTGTCGTTCTTGTAAAAACTTCATCAACCAAAAAAGTCTACATTGGAGTGTGCATGCGATAAGAACCTTGTGCTGATTCAGATTCGCATTCAGAGCCAAGTAGCCACGAACGCAAGACTAGAAACGCTCATATTCACCTTCAGTCATATCTTTTTTTTATCGAAATTTCGTCATTGTGCTGTTCATAAAAATGATTTCGATTTTTATTGAGGAAATTTAAAACGTTAGCTAAGTTTTGACTTCAAGTAGAATGTTAAAAGTTTTGATTATATATTTTTATATATAACACTAAGAATATACCTGTTTTACTAGTGCCTTATAATTTCTATTTGTTTCGAAGAGTACCGCTACGAAGAGAGATCATATTCCATCACGATGAATTGTAATTATGGGGTGTGGGTGTGGGAGTGAGGGCATATAAGCAAGACACACACCTACACCCTTGTTGAATCGACTTTTTGAATCTCTCCAGAACGCTATCCATCTTATCATGTGTTAAATGTAATGCTTTCGAGTTCAGATGTTATATCATCGGCATCATTTTCTGGATTGGACAATGAAACGATATTTTGGTATTTGCCGATTCCCATCACTAGTGCCAATTTACGCTTTGCTTTAGTCGGAGTTGCACTGGTTGATGTAGCCATACTCAAAAATAAACTCAGTTTGAAAAATGCTACTGTCTTGAGAAAAGATCTCTAGATAAACGAGCTATGAAATTTGAATCAACAGAAAATAGAATTTGAATTAGATTAAAAGCTAGTTAGATACGGTATGTTCCAACATCTATTTTCTTGACTGAATGTTCACATGATCTATTTATCATCATCACCGCTTACAATACGATGCATGTAGAATTGCATTCTAGTAGTTTCACTGCTGATTTAAAGTGTGTAGTCGAACTCCAGCTCAATATTATAAAACATCAGTTATTGAGCGATTAAACTTTTGTTTCTGAAGGATCTGAATCAAAAGAGAGGTGGTATATCACTATGCAGTTAAAGCAGAAAAAGTCAATGTCTTATTATCATGTAATTATTTTCATCTATTAGAGTTGTCAAAGAAGCCCGGCATTTCTCTACTGGTGAAATAGAGTATTTATTACTCTATCGCTCTATTACAATATCTTGAATAGACTAATCGATGGTGTTTATTTAATAAATAAATGATCATAAAAAAAAACTTTTTTTGGGAAGCATACTGATTTTCATCAAAAAGAAAAACAAGACTTGATATGAACGACTACTATTCTAATATATGTCTAACAGTATCCGTATAGCAGTGGTAGCATAACGATACGAGTATCGAAATTTGTAGTATTAGAATGCAATATAGAATGTTATAGGAATAAAGGTTAACTGAATAGAAATGTACTCTTGCGCAGTCGCTCATTTCTTTTAAAAATCCTTGCAAATCCTTGCTAAATTTTTGAAATTCCTGATAGGTTCCTCCAAATCCATACTAGACTATAGTGATAAAATGCATGAAAAAGCTACTTTTTCCAGTCTTGCTTTTCTTCGTTCACTAGAAATCCATGAAACAAGTTCTGTTCTATCGAAAGCTCGATGCTAACATCTTAATTTGTTTAATGAGCTAGTTAAACTACTTGTACACATTAAATGTGGACTAAATGAAGGTATATCCTTTTATTAGTGAACGCAACGAATTGTATTTTGCACGTGTTACAAATTCGAATCAGTCATGTTGGTTATACTTATTCTTGGGTGGTCGTGTTTTTTCCGAATACTAATCGGTTAAACGTTCCATCGAACACTTCGGGAGTTATATCTGATATTAGATACTGTTTGCAATATTCCATTTTAATCTGAATAGAAGCAACGAAATCCGGTATCTTTGTTGGAGATGATATTGTTCCTTACCAGTAAATAGTGGGTTGCAGTCAAACAAATGTTTTTACGTTTGCTGTATCTTTCCTTTTAACGACAGAGAAGCGCATCATTATTTAT